TACGGGGCAGCAGCAGGCTCACTCCGCTGATCAGCACGTAGCTAATTGCAGTCACACGCCACACGCTTAATGTAGTTTAAAAAAAAAAAAAAATAATAAAAAAAAAAAAGCAACATTCAGCCAACTATGTGTGAAATTTGCCAACTCTTCCATTCTCGAAAAAAAACAAAAACAAAACCCAGAACCCCAGCAGCTTTCTCTAGGCGGAGTGAAACAGCCAGTTAAGGCTGACTGCGGGGAGGATGGGGGCTACCGGGGGCGACTGCTTCGAAGACACTTCTGTGAGGCAGCTGGGTGGGTTTTAGAGCGACTGATACAAGTTCAGGCTTGTCTATGGAGAAAAGTTACTTGAATAAAGGATGATGTGAATTAGAGAATAATTGTTCCCAGTTAACACAAATGTTCTTCCTCTGCAAAGAGCCTACCTAGGAGGGGAGTTATTCAGGAACAGCGTTGCAGAGCAAGCATCATAAAACCCCTTGCCTGCACAGTAACTGTAAAATTCTGAAATGCATTCACTAGCCTGAATACAAACGAGAATGTCTACATTTAAACTCTACCATAACATCAGGGGAAAATGGAACACCAGAATTTAAAAGAAACATGAAAGACAGCCATGTGAAAGCCAGGTGACATGTTAGCACGGTATGGAGAGAGGGCTCCCACATGTGATTTATTCCTTCCCAGAGGAAGGCCCAGCTGGGAAGTTAAGATGCAGGGATACATCAGAGGAACTACAAGAATAGCTGAGAGGTGAGATAAACAGGAATTGCTTCTCCTAGTAGGATAGCATTTGATAAATACACCTTGAGAATAAAGCCACTAGTTTCAAGAACATTTACATAATAACACTTGTTACAAGAACATTTACATAACTTTAATAGTCTGATCCTACACATCAGTTTTCTGTCCCAACCAGTAGGAGATTTCCAAATAGGTTCTAACCTCAGAGCAACAGTAACAGTTTTTCTTGGTTTTGAAAAAGATGGTGAAGGTTTATTCAGGGCAACAGTGTGCACAAACTACACATATGCTTAGCTTTGTCTTAATTCACAGTTCTCATAACACTGAGATGCAAGGCTATGAGGGTCATGCATTTAAAAATTAACACCTTTAAATGGAAACGCTTCTCCTGCCAACTGAAAGCCCTGAAGACAACACCTGGGTCTTGAGAAGAGCTGGGTAAGGCTAAGGAGCAGGGAGGAAAAAAACAGGTGCTTGCAAACCAGTGTCACAGAGGTGACAAGGGACACTAATCCCTGGCTGCCTGGAAGCTCACATCGGCTCCTGTTGAGTACGGCAGGCTTGACACAAACCAGCAATACTGTCAAAAAAGGAAGAGACAGTCCACAGGGAAACTCAAGAAGCATGAAAGTGGTGTTTCAGTGTTTTCCTCCCCTACCTCATTCTATCAGTGATGGTCATCAGCTAAGGAAGGAAGGAGTCATTGTTTCATACCTGAGTACTGAAACACTTCCTCATGCTCGAGATGCAAACAAATTCCCTCACACGCCCCTAGAAGAACACCATGTAAATAGGGTTTGGTACAAAATGCCAGGAAGACCCATTAGCTTTGGAGTAACTTCACTTTCCTGAGGGAAGAGGCAGGAGCTAAGAGGAGGGTGAAGCTGGAAGAAACCCAACTCATCTTATCATACCTTCCTCTGTTTCATAAGGCGTTTGTTGCAGGCTTCTCAGAGGAGCAAATGCTATTCTGAGTGCTACAAAAAAGACTTGTTCACAATACAGACCTGCTGGTTGAATCTGAGAGCTGGGCCATCTGTATCATCCCAGTAATGATGCTCCTGAGAGAAAGGATGAACCGCCCCTTCCCCTCTCTCATTCACTGCTACGCACCGGGGACAGGCTGCAAATAAAAAAAAAATTCTCCACAATTCAGTTTGTGCTTACACCTAGGAGCATATAATGTGGTTGCCTTTATTTTGGTGCATGTAGGTCTCAGTTACACTTCATGCACAAGCAGCATCCCTTTGGATAGCGAGCTGAAAATTGTTTTTCCGGCCGCTGGAGCAGAAATTTCCAAAGGACAGCAGGCAGCGCATCACCGTCCCTTCTTGAGCAGGAAGGGGGGTGCAGGACGGGCCTGTACGGCTCCCGCAGAGTTACAGTGTGTGTTTCAGACTGCACAGTCAACAGGAAAGGAAAGTTGGAGGCAGAACTGAGAGGCTGAGGAGCCTACAGGCTCCTACAGTGTATCTGGGAGCAGGAGCAGGCCAGCTTCACGGAGAGTCAGAGATCAGGACTGGCAGCGCAGCGGTCACAGGGCAGCATTTCCCAAATTACACTGACCCACATCCTGCCCCCAAGTGATTTTATCGGTCGTGCTCCTCCTCCTCCCAGCTGCAACTCGGCTGGTCCTGAGCTACAATCAAAGCAGTGCAGATCCCCGTCCCTTCTGCACAGAGCTTTTCCCACTGAGCTTTGTGTGCCTCCCCCACTGGGAAATCCTGCTGAAGGAAATACTTCGGGAATATGGGAATAAAGCAAGATACAGCTCTAGGCAGGCAGGCGGCTTTCCACAAACGGAACAGGAGACAGCAAAGAGCAGATACATGGTGGTGGGGAAAGCATGCAACAGAAACGGGGGAAGGCACAGAAGTAACACTACATTTGGACTGTGCAGTATTAATATCCCAAAGTTAAGAATTAAAGCAGTTCTAGGTGAAAGCCCTCCTGCAGTAACCTGTTTATCTCTCTGCAGAATAGGAAGAGGTGATCTAGTGGCTAAACGAAGAGAACAGAATTGACCCATGATAGAAAATGGCTTGAGGGCTAATTAATCTCCCCCTGATTTGGATGAAGTGGACTCCAATTTATCACAAAATAATTAAAAGCAGAAGTTGAAAGAATTCTGAAGACACCATGAAGCCAAGAAACCGAACCAGTTTTAAGGAGTGGGAAGCTTGTGTGGAAGGGACCGCACAGTGACTGTACAGCTTAACAGAATGATTTCTGAGACAGAATGATTTCTGAGGACAGTGCGATGCGGGTCCCTGTCCATCTGATACACGTGATTTTGAAGAGGAGTCGAGATGCCAGAGTGCTCTATTTTTATAGCATAATAACCCTACATGGTGGCTTTCACAACCTGTCTGTGGTGAGCAAGGAGAAGTTTTTCTCTCGCTTCTTTCATGCATCATTTGGCTCATTTTTTTTTCCCCAGCTCTTTTGCTTGGTTTTGACATCCTCAAGGGTGCTGACGATTAACCACATCCAGAGAGAAGATGGAAGGTGAACTGCACTGGGGTTCATCAGGTTGCATTTTATCGGTGGCCTGGCTGGCACGGCCTGTCCACATGCTTAAGGGTTAAATTCAGCAAATCCCTTTCTCCTGGCTCTGACTGCCCTGCAATATATTTTTTTTAGAGAACATAATGGTTTCGATTACCCTTACTCTCTTCCAAAGGAATATTACAGTTGCAGTTTTCAGTCTTTAACTGTAAGATTTAGTTTTGTCACTGCTTGGTAAGACTTTGTCGACTGCGTGTGGCAGTGGGCAGAATGGGTGTCCTAGGGACCCTGCTGAACTAGACATCCCTTGCAGGCTGAACTACAAAAATGTGTGTGAGGGTGGGACATGACAGCACTTTTTAGTCCTAACTTCTCAGATGACCTAAGAAAATGATCACCTTTAAACATCTTCAACAGTAGTATTAATCAGTGAACTGTATTTAAAGAGTTTTGTAGTAATTAGTGAGTAAAATGCTAACAGACAGCACGAGGAATACACAGCATTCCCAACATCCCCCAAAACACACTGACATCTATTACACCATTACAGCTTAAAACACAAACTCAGTTCATTCAATATTTGTTTTCTGCCACTAGCAAATACCTTAATCCCTCGAAGGAAAGTGACTTCCTCTGCCATTAATCCACAAGACAAGTGCGCAACACACAGCTGGAGTGAAAAGATGCTCAGACTGAAACCTCAAAGAACAAAGCTTCAGTGTGCGTGTCCATTTTACTCACTTCACAGAAGTGTTCCCCACAGTGTTGACCACAAAACTACCTCCAGCTCCTTAAAAAAATTCCCAGTCTTTGTCTTTCTAGCACTACTTCCTTTCCCAAATCAAGAAATTTGAGTAGACCAGCCGTCACATGAATTCCTCCTAATTCCTTGCTTAGTATCACAGCAGCTCAGTTATTCTATGATGCATAATACAAAGAATGCATCTGTTTAAATTTAACTTTTTACAGAAATTGAACTGGATATGTTCTAGCAGTTCATTTACTTCACTGCTACATTAGATCCTCCTGAATTTGTTAGCCTGACACAAGGTTTTGCAAGCAGAGAGGCTATCGATACTTTTGCCACAACCTGTGATGTCATCTGGTATTTCTTTTGAAGATTAAATGACTTCATATTTTTATATTACCAGTTTTAAAAATATCAATATTTAATCTTCCAAAAGTATAGCATGCAACAGTACATATTACATTTGTGTAATCTTTTCAAGTTACAATTTATTTTTTTTCCTCTCCACTTTGGATTACAAATTGATACAACTGTCTAGCAGTTTGAAAATCAAGACCGCACATAAAAAAGTCCTTTCAACTCCCATTGAAAAAAATAAAAAAAAAAAGGGGGGGGGGGGGGGGGGGGGGGGGGCGGGGTGTGGAAAGAAAAAACAGTAGAGTATGACGTCCCAAAACAATCAACTGTACTGAATTCAACGATCATAATTCAGGTAGTATGTAGTTACACATATTATACTTGCTTCTGTTTTCTTGTGAACTCCTGCATACTTACTCCAAAACAGATTACGAGATAGTCAGTGAATACAGACATGCCATAAGGGTGGAGCTGTAACTGAAAAAGGTTACAAACGTGATATTCAGAAGAGTGTAGACGCTCTAGAGCATTACACTGAGCAGCATATGTCTCTAGATGCATTTCCAGATGCGCACTCTCCATGCTCTCTTCCCTAATCCTCTCATTCATACAGCTATATGCATAAAAAACACAAAGACACTGATTTACATAAAATTATCTCACTCCATTTTATTTAAGATTTTCTTCTCCAGTTAGTAAAAGAAAGATGTGTCTCTCTTTATACATATGTACAAGTTCAGTTATAAAAATAGACAGCACATTCAAAGAGAAAAAAAGGCTTGGCATTTGTCTGATTCCCTCTAAATATCATATATACATGTGAATAGGAGGGGAAGGGGGAAGTCTTCATGAGTTAATTAAACACCACTTCCCCCTCAATTATCCCCTGCAAATCTGTTTAAAAATCAATCTAACTAAGCTCAGTTCTGCTATTTTCAGGTGTGCAAATTAGAGGCAGAGCCAACAGGAAGCACTCGCTCCACACTGTAGGACGCCAGGCAAAGGATTTGGGGTTGGAAAAAAATTATAATAATAAAAAAAAGTCATCTTCTGCTGTCACAGCCCAGACCTGCAACTCAACTTGCTTCTCTCAAGGGATGAAAGTGCCCCGGCAGAACAGCCTTTTCATTCGACGTGTCAGACAGAAGAACTGCCCCACACCTAAATCTCAGTGCAATGCAGACAACGCTCACGGCAAAGCGAGGGGTTACGGGGGGTGGGGTTTGTGCATCGAGAACGGGGAAGGAGCAACCAGGGCATGAGAAGACAGATGGGCACCGGCAGTGCTGCCCCCGAGCAGCCTCACGGGACAGGGGTCCCGGCACCCGCACGCCGCGGTGAGCTCAGCCAAGCGAGGGTGTGCCATGACCACAAGGGTGAAGGGAAAACACACTGGAAGAACAGTCAGCGGATGGCTGGGATACGAGATTTTTTTTTTTTTTTTTTTTTTTTTTTTTTTTCCCCAGGATTTGGCTGGAAGGGGGAATGGCACAGTTCTCTCCCTCTCAGGACTGTTTTTCGTTGCTCCCCTCGCAGCACGGCAAGCTGCAGAACCGCGCTCTGCTATGGCACAGTGAGAGGAGCAGCAGCAAACTCTTCCGCGGCACTTCAACTTTCCCTCCTCTTGTGATTTGTACAAATTGCAGCCTGACTTTGTTTCTACGCTTCTAAGAGTCCTGCACACCTCAAAAGGGAGATAAATCATTCTGAACATGGCGAGTGTTCGTGCTGATGAGAACTCTGAAGTCCAAACCAGACCACTGGCTCGTGGTTTCTTTCCCTGCATGAAGCAGAAGCAGAGCTGCTGCTCTCACTAGGCCTGCCAGCATTCTGTCCTGCCGCTCGGAACCTCTTCCTGACAAATGGTGCTGAAAAGAGGCCATTCCCTGGAAAACACCTGAGGCACCTGCTTTTGCATTTTAAACCTTTAAAGAACCCAGAGGCCCATGCCAGAAGAAGCCAAGATTGGGTGTTTTTGATCATGCATCATCTTCAGCTTAGCCCCCAACTACCCCAGCATGTACACTGACCAGCTGCCAGCACGGAAATGTCTTGTGACTCTACAGGATACTCCTGGGGCTCAGATACTGATTTCATAGGATAAAACAAACGCTGGGTTCCACCTCAAGCTACAAGAGAGAAAGTATATTGGTGTGACTTCAAGCACACACAGCTGCAGGATATTGCATGGAGTAGCTGGATTTTTTTGGGGAACCTCTGTCAGATGCGTCAATAAAACACAAGCTGACGCTCTCCCAGTCACCCCAGACTCCCTTCCCTCCTTCTCGCAGTGTCTGCAAAGATAGTTTTTTGGAATACACATAATCAAAGTGCTCACATAAACCACCCACTCCCATTGTGCTTTGATTTTCTTTTCACACACACGCTGGACCGTAACAAGGCATTTGTTTGCATGCCTTCAACTGGCAGGGTGGTCTACTCTGAAAGCCAACGCAGTTCAGACAAGCTTTGGGGGTTCAAAATTACTACCGACCACCTGAGGTGTGGGCACCTTTGCTTTGCTTCCGAATTGGAGTTTCCGATATGAGACTGCTGGTCAGGTTTAAGCTTTTGGGAGTCCCACAAACACTGTTTCCTTTGCTCAAAGGGGAGCTCAAGGGAGAAGAGGCGCTTGAAGGTCCAAAATCTGCTAGTCCAGAGGGCCGAATAATTGCTGTTTGCAGAGGGCTACTTGCAGACATGCCTAGTAACGGAAAAGAGAATCAAATTCCACGTGAGCATCTTATTCCACTCGTGTCTCTTCAACAACTAACAACGTACTAACAATCAGCCCTAAGAGCACCCTGTGTTCAATATGATTTAAGAGAGTTTAATGAAGAGGGATGTCCTTAAGATACAAAACATTTTGCAGTTATACCCTGGGCCACCTTCAGCTGGCGTAAAGCTGAAGCTCCATCACCATCAGTTTAGCAGATTTTGGGACCTGATGCTGTAACTTCAACATGACCGCAGCGCAGGAATGCCACAGCCATGCCCATGGGCTTAAACAACACTATCCGATTTGTCTGGACACCAAAACAAAAAACACGAGGAAAAATATCCGGTATGAGGTAATTCAAAGGGCAAGACGAGACTTCTGCAGGACTAGCCTCTCAAGGCCATCTGTGGTAAACCTGGCTAACCCCTCACCCCCTCCACCGCTACCACGCCACACTGTGTACTGCCTGGATCTCAGAATATAATGGACCAGCAATACCAACACCACGACACTTCTCAGCTGTTTTTTGACAGGCTGTGGACAGCAATCACCCGGAGCCACGCTGGTGGCTCTGCGCTGGGCAGCCTGCCTCCTCCCCCTCCCCACGTACCTTTCGAGACGTTGTACCCGTAGGCCGCGTACGCGGCGGCCGAGGCTGCCGCCGCCCCGGCTTTGGCACCTGCCATTGCGGCCGCGCTTCCCGCTATTGACTTCCGGCTTCTGGCTTTCCCAGCGCCGCCTTTCGATCCGCCGCCTGAACCTTTGGGACGGCCCCGGCTTCGGCCTGACTGGCCTCTGCCGCTGAGAGGTGGATCTTGCATTGAAACACCTAACCAGAATGTTGAAACAGTAACTGCTATAGCGTTTCGGGTGACTCACAAGCGAACAGAGCGTCACACCTACCCATCATTTATATTAATGCTGTCCCTATTAACTGATACTTTTAACCTACATTAATACAGACAGTGTTAGCAAGCAGTGATTCCATGAAAACAAATCACGTATGCAAAACTTTACTCTCCATTAACTAAATCTTATTAACTCCGACTGCTTGTCATTATTATTACGAATCCAATCCACAAATAGGCGGAGGATTCCAGGTCCTACTTCAGAATGAAGCATCTTCTTACTTGAAGATAGATATGAAGTTTCTTCCGTGTGCTATCTCTGAAGAAACTTGTCAAGAACCATGGCTCTTACTTATTCCAGTGTAGAAAACTATGGTATTTGAAAACATTTGCCATTATTTAAAATTACAGTGGCTCCAATCACACACTGGAAATAGACAACTGACTATTAGCCCAACAGTAAAGTCAAGGAAAAGTTTAGAGATTAATAGTTCCGTGGTTGTCTGAAATTTGGTAATGTGTACACAACGGAAGGCAAGCCCTCTGTATCACAGCAACAAAGGACAAAACTTTTTAAGAGTAACTAACACAGAAAAGAGGAAACACGTGGTGAATGACAGACTATAAACAGATGTCCTCTCAAATCAGAAGGAATTTCCCAATGAAAAGGCAATCTTTTCCCCCAAATCTTGCCAACCATCTATATACTCTGGTTAAAATGCAGACAACATATCACCTAGCTATACAAAGTCAATCTTTAATAAATATTAGTAGTAAGTCAAAGCAAAAATACTGACCATTCATGGTATCTGAAACAGAGCCAGTAATGGAAGCAGGAGAATTTGTTGCCCTTGACTGAGGTGCTGAAGAAGCTGGATCATCCACAATCACAAGCATATCACTGCTGCTCTCATCGGGGGGGATAGAGCCCATATGTAATTCACTGCTAATGGATATCTAAACATGACAGAGAACAAAGCCATTCACTTCTCATGTTAGGGAAGGGTACAAACATAGTAAGATCTTTAAAAGACATATAGTCACAAGCAATTAATTGGCACTTGATCTGTTCTCTCTCATTTTCTCTCTGCAAGACTAGCAGCATGATACACGATCTGCCTAATCACACCACACCCTCTATTTACATGCTGAGCTGCAGTAAAGACCTCCAGGAACTGCTTGATTTCGATTAATGAAAATAGATGTCAAGTTAAGGAGCAGGAGACTAATGGTCTCAGCACAGATTTAAGAAAACGGCTCTTCAACTGTGCATCTTCAACTGCATGAGAGAAAACAATAGGATTCTTAACCTATTACTACTCCTAATAAAAATCTTGGTCAGCAAGGGAACAATACAACATAGGAAGCTTAATCCACATGGCACAGAACAAAATATATTTGCTGCCAAAATCAATGTGCAATTCTTTACAAAAAGATGAAGGAAAATAAGATGTGTGCCACTAAGAGTTTACAATTTAAATTCCAGAGGAAAAAACCCATGCTAATCCAGAATGAGAAGCAAGCAGAGAAGGAGATGTAGATGAGACTAGCAGAAAGAAACTGAACATCAAGCAGCCGTTTGAGGGATACTGTTTGATTCAGGAGCAGAAAGACTGTTCTTGCTATGGAAGGTATTGGTATGGAAGAAGGCACACGATTACAAATGTGAGCATGACAAAGGCAGGAAAAAGGGAAAATAAAGTAGGAAGGAAGTAAGTGGGACTGCAGGCAGGAATGGAAAAATTTCAGGGGCTGGCCAGGAGGAGAGTCAGGGCATGAGCTCACTGAAAGAAAGTGAGGTAGAGAGCAATAATGAGAAGTCAAGCAACATGAGGAGCTGTAAGGCAGCTTGTTTAACAGCTGTTATGCTTTCAGTAAATTATTTCATTTCCACGGTTTACTTTTAAGACACCTCACCTCCCCACACACTTGAAGTTCTACACTAGCTAAGATAATGGAAAGCAAGACTCCTACAAGACGTAAGGCCACAATTGAAATAGTATATAGTTTAAAGCAGCAGCGAGCTGTACCTCACTGAAAGGGCTGGGCATGGCCGAGTCCACACTAATGAAGGAGTCATCCCCATCAGCAGACAGGTTGGAGTTATCAGCTGAGGGAACAAATGGGATCACAAGGTTCATGCCCTCCTTCTTTCTCTTCCCATCCAATTCATCTTCCTTCTTCTTCTGAAATACATAAAACAATACCAGGAATGAGAAAGACGATACAACAGAAGAAAGGGAAAAATCAACCCAAAATCTCAACATCTAACGCAGTATTATAACTCAAGGAATGCAACGTCCAGAATTTCCCAAAACAAGTTTCTGAAGGGCACAGTAAAGGCTCCTTCTTTAGATTTAAGCGGGGTTTGGTATTTTTTCTTCCTAAAATAGTTGGAATCATGGAGAAGTACTCTTACAGAATTACTTTGGTTTCCATTACCTTTTGGAGTGAGCTTGAAATTCTTCACCATTACACAAAATTCCAATTGATTAATGCAAAGTGTCCCTGTCGCAAAAATTATAAACTAGTTTTAATGATCTTTTTAAACAAACTGATCTTCCCTTGTACCACAGAAGCCAGATAGCTACATGGGTTTTATCTGTGTTTGGTGCTTCATTTACATTCCCTTTTTGTCCTTGGAGAACAAAATCTTGATTAAGTCACCCTTTTGTATGCCATTTGTTTTTTTTCAAGCACAAGTCCTCAAATTGTTGCTTGTAGACTACTGGTGATCTACAGTGTTGTTTGGATACGCAGTACTTCCCTTTTTTTTTTTTAAGTTGCTAATGATATAAAATGCAGATAGCTGTGATATTTTGCAGTATCCTCCTCCTGTGTAAGGAAGTGCCACATGTTGATGTTCAATGGTAAAGGGAAGAAGGCTTTACTCATTAAACTGCCTTTGCATAAAATGTTTCCACACCGCATAATAGTGAGCCTGAAGCTCTTCCAACTATCACTGACACAGGCAACCTCTTTGCCTCAAAGTACCTTTTCAGCATATTTTTCCCTTTTACGTTTACGTTCCTTCACACGATTTGTTTCTTCTTGCTGTCGCTTCTCTTCTTGACGCTGACGCACTGTCAGAAAAGAAATACAAAGTTATCACCACTGGAAAGATATTTCATATCCTTTTGTGAATCTTACAAGAAATTCTAGTTCTAACAGAACTGTGAAGAAAAGTCAGCTGTATTAAAACTAAACCATGTTGAAAACACCACTATCTTAAAACTATTTGTATCCAAATTACTCAAAAGTCTCACAGTGAAATTCTTTCAAGCAATGTAAAAGCATACACCTCTAAATACAGCTTCAAAAGTATGATGAAATACAGCATTTTAACTGATGCTTTTCTTGTCATGACCTACATAAATCTTGTCAAAACTTTGTCATTCAGGAACAATGTAATGATCCTGAGTGAGTGCCAATAAAAACTTTATCACATCATCATTTCTCTCTTGCACAACTTCATCTTTCAGCTCAGCAGGGATATGAAACCAGCTTGTACTAACAAGAATTGGCAATACAAAAAGAGCCAGGAAACAGAAGTTGTTATCAGCAATACATGTGTTTGTAGAGATAAAAACACAGATTTCATAAGCTGAAGTGGAAGATGGGGAAAATGCTACAACACAAATTTCACATACATTTCTTTTCTAGTTCCTCATCATCCAGCAGAAGGCTGACCACCTCTTTTGGCTTCAAGGTGTCAGGCTTGAAATTGCCACCTGAAATCACCATTCGTTGGATCTAGAAGGAAAAAAACAATTGAGAAAAAAGGGGAAATTACTCAAAGCAACCATGAACCATTCACTGACAGACAGCCAAAAAAAGATGCCAGCGCATCTGTGTAAGTCAGAATTCACTCGACTTCTCTACCATACCAAAGTTAGTAGCAAAATTTCAGGGAAGATATATTAAGTGTATAATTAAGAGTATGAAATACGAAAAGCAACTGAGCTAGAAAGCAGAAAATTACCATCCCTTGTGCAAAGCTACACTTCTTCTAAAGCACCATGTAACACACAACAAATGATAACAGTGTTAAATATACTACTGAACAAAAAAAAAAATACAATGGTATTCCTGTCAAGTATAAAATACCAGTCCAATTTTTCAAGTAATCTGCACAGAGGACCATACAGATCACATTCTTAAAGTGCGGGTACAACGTTTTTAGTCTCCTTGACTGAAAACTAAATCTCTGTATGGAGTCAGTGTCTCAGTTTAAGCAATTCACTCAACCTCTATTACTGCAACTATATTAAAAAACAAACAAACAAACAAAAACTAACACAGAAGAGTTGTAACTTAGGAATAGAGTACAAGCTTTAGCATAAGCCAATTCTGATGTTCTGGATTACTAGCAAAAAGACCACACTTTATTTTCAGGTTGATAACAGGTGACTCTAGTGGGGTATCCTACAGAAAATGGGTAAGTTTCAACAAGGGAAACAAGAATGCATTCAGCTGGAGATGCTTCAGTTGCTGCAGCACCATGATCAGCAACTAATTAAGAAAAAAGCTAAAAGAAAGCCTGAATACACAACACATCTGAATGTGGTATGTAGTATGCCTACGGCTACCAAAGAAAGTGAATCTGCTTAATTTTTTCTTGCCAATAAAATGTCACAAGGTTTAAAGGTTCTAATACACTTACTGCTTGATGCTGCAGGACACTTAAGAGTTCTGGCCACCCTCACACCTCAAATAATTTTCACTTGATTAACTTCCAAATTTCTTTAAAAAAAAAAAATTCAGCTGTGATGTAAGTGTAACATGAGAGGAATCAGTAGCCCTGACACAGCAAAGACAGAAGCTCTAGTCTTAAAGAAACCTGAGTAGTTTCACTGCATCCTACGAAATAGTTTTCATGAAGTCATAGTGTAAATAATTAGCTTCTTCCTAGTTCATATAATGCAGCTGTAATGCTGCTGTATTAGAGACACAGATTTGTTTATTTGAACATTCCTTTTCGGCTTCTCTTCCATCTCCCTGCAGGTACTTTTTCTGTTTCTTTACTCATTTTGATATGTGTTTTCTGATACTGTTTTTGTAACTTCTTGTTCCAGGTGATTTCTTTATTCCTACCTCACTCTTCTCCTTAGCCCTTTGTAAGATGCGCTCCTCAATGGTGCCTTTACATATCAACCGGTACACAGTGACTTGTTTGGTTTGACCCAGCCTGTGTGCCCGGTCCATGGCTTGCTGGTCTACTGTTGGGTTCCAATCACTGTCATAGAAAATTACCTGCAAAAGAACACCGGACCAGAAAGGATTAAAATAAAACCATACATTTAGAGCAGCTGGTGATTAAACAAACAAAAACTACTGCCCCACTGCAGACCGTATTAACCTGGCTTTGCCCAGTCCTATGAAGTCTTTCCTATTACATTTCAGATGAGTTTCAAACTAATTGACACTCCATGTTTCAACTTCCACAGAACGTCTTTAGTATTTTCTTCAACAAATCTGCTTCAGAGGCACAAAATTCCCAAGTTTGTCACATTAAATCACTGTCATGTAATTAATTATAGGCTAACAACATCACAAACCCACTTTAGTGTTATTTCCCTTAAGAAGGAAAAGCCCATCAAATTAGAATTTCACATGAGCAGTATTACTCCAAGCTTTTTTTTTTTATTTCAAATCTGGATTAAGTCTAGTTTAGTCTGACACTTCCAGTACTTTTATTGCAAAAAACTGAGATGTCACATTACATTCATATCACCCTATCTTTCTAACAGTATTTATAGTACGCATACAAAACAAAAACATTGGAAAAAATTTTAGACAGCAAAGTATTCAAGAAGTTACAAAACCACAGAACTAAAAACTCTCATGCAAGGAGCCTGCAGAAGCATGACGGTGCTTCCATCCATTTATTTCCTCTGTTGAAGCAACTTCAATGAAGAGAACTTTTCAACCCTGAAAATCCTACAGATACTTGCTTTCTTCTTTTAAGTGACAGCAAGATATGATGGGTTATTTAAAGAAAAATTACATAATATTTTTGATTCAGAGAATTTTGGTTTTGTGTGGCCAAGGATTACAGTCTGTCTTGGGGTCAAATCTGCATGCACACAAGGTATTTGGTTAGAAGCACAAGAATAGCTCTTTACTGAAGAGATAAATGGTTCATGCAGGTCAGTATTCCTTCCCTAGTGATTTAGTGGCAGCTCCTCCAGAGTGCAAATCTTCGCAGTTCACTTGAATCAGTATGCCTCTGCATCTTGTATGAGCAGGGGGGAAGCAATTTATCCTTCCTGACTAGCTGTTATTTAACTACAAATGACTTTGTACTTTTAGAGGCATTGATTCATTCTTCTCTTCACAGAAAAAAGGTGCCTGCTCTCCTGGTTCCTCTGCAACTGAGCCTTAAGAGCAGAGAGTCATAAATAAAACAGCATTCAATGTATGAAAGCATCATTTGCATCTGTTGACCCCTTCAGTCATGCAACTCCTTGCTAGACTCTGGTACTAAAGTATGTGGGGAGAAGGGAAATATTTCCAACTGCAACCAAAAACTGTATACCAAGTGTCCCTTTTTCTACAACTTTATCATCTTGATAACAATATACAGTAAGTATGAGCAAAGGAAACAAGGTCATTAAATTTCATTATGTGAATGGCAGTACTAAAAAATATTGATCAGCATGGCTAAAAGAATGCCAACTTTCACACAGAAAGACCAATTTTCCTACACAGGTCATGAGGCCGGGAGGCAGAAGATGAGCAGCCTGGGAGAAACGGTGGTTGGAGGCATATGAAACAGGAAAAGTAAATAAATATTTATACTGGAAACTAAGTATCAGTAAGCTGATTTTTTGTTCTGTATTACTTTACCAAACTTCACCTACCGTATCTGCAGCTGTAAGGTTAATGCCCAAGCCTCCAGCTCTCGTGCTTAACAGGAACACAAAAATATCATTCCTGTAGATGAAAAAGATTTAAAAACCCTTATTTTGTGCACGATGAACAAGAAATAATCACAGAAGTAATTTTTTTGACCCATATAAAGTGATCAGGGCTATTTCTATTACTTGAACCCTTCGGAACATTTTGTGCTGTTCATGGCCAAGAAATAAGACATATGAGTGAGTGACAGAAGCTAATCTACAAATCAGGTCTGTGAGAACACACAAACATTCAGTTTGCAATAGCAGCTTATTAATCTCTATCAAAACAAGCCAGGGCTTGCTTATCCTGCCCTCATTGGAAATTAAGATTTCATATGGACAAAGAACAATTTTTTGTTTCACAGAACTGATTGATGTTAAAAAAAAATCTTTCCTTAACAATGCTCAATTGATAAAGAAAGAAAAATAAATGTTGAAACAGTAGATGCAAGTTTTGTTCTAAATTTGTTCTTTTGAACAGAACAAACAAATCGGGGGGAGGGGTGGGGAGAGGAATAATCTTAGTATAAAGGCAAGCTGGCCAAATATAGAGGTACATGAGAAAAAGGACAAGGGTCCACTGGCATGAATAGAAGTCCTTCAGTCTAAGAATTTCTCAACTCTAGTCCTAACTGCATTGCTGATTCAAATTTAAAGTTCTAATCTCTGTTGTCCACTTTTCTTATCTGTAAAATGAGGATAAATTGATTCATCTCAAGGTAGTAATATAATTCAGTTGTGATTGACCGTAAAATGTTTCAAGGATGACTATGTAGACAGTACTAATGATCAGATACTGCACAAAAGCAGGAGTCACTCATTTCACTCCAACTTAAGTTCTTTGAAACACACTGTCTGTAAGTGGACGCCATTATTACCCCACACACGCCGTCCTTCCCACCTTGGAGCAGTTTCAGTTTGCTCTAACTGTATCAGATTTACATTCCTCAGGATTCCTCAGACAGCATGGAAGTAGATGACAAACCAGTTGCCTTTGGTAAACATGGCCCTCCAGACAGAAGGCCCTGGTAGAATACCGACCATCATTCCACAGCACACTCCAGGAGGAGCCATCTCTGAACACCTTCCTGGGAGATCCACAGACCCTAATACAGTCATACTAGTCCCAAGGGTTAGAGTTGCTGGCACCAGATTTAGGGATGCTGGCTGCTAATGCAGACACCAGGCATCTCAATACCTGGCTGGGAATAATCCTCTAAACCTAATAATCCTTTACATAACTGATGAGGGTGGGGCACACTAGACAAGTACCTGTAACAGTGCATTAAGCTGTAGTTACCACGTGAGGAGTCAGACAAAAGGGGCGTTTGTTGAGATTCAATGGCAGTTCTAACACCGCACGCGCAGAAGACAAAGGAGACAGGTTTATATGCAGGATGACCAAGTACTGATGAAAACTCAAGTGGTGTGGTGGTGCAACTCTCCCTCTCTCTTGGGCTGCTTGGTACAATTTCCCCCCCATCCCCTTCCCTGGGCCACAGGCCAACCCGAGATGAATTGGGAAAGGCAGTGAAGCAGAGTGTTGAGGCACCCCCTTGGCACCTCTGGCTCCTGCCCCATCCCATACTGCCTGGGAACCGTAATGACAGTCAATCACCTCCTGACAGCTCAGTACATCTACACCTGGGTCGTGGCCCAAAGCGGGCGATACCAGATCTTCAAGATCTAGCAAGTTCTGGGCCTGTGCAACTGGTAGAAAGTATAAGAATATTCTGTAAGCCAAGTTGAGCTGAAGTGGAAAAGTATCTGACAAAAGTCCTTTATCTCGAACCCTATAAATAACGACCCTAAGCAAGACCCTTTGAGCTTTCCTGGGTGGCAGTGGGCTGTGACCAGCATCTCCCCTGAGCTGGGATGTCTCTCAGGCACAGAATCCTCAAGGTTTGAAGACCGTCTGCCCAAAGCCGACGAAAGGCCAGGGTGAAGTTGGAATTCTTGAGGCTCAGTTATTGCCCACTGAGGAATGCTGATGCATTGTCAGTATTTGCTCCAAACTGAAGAGGGAGATTTTCACTATAGACGAGTCTCTTTCATCCACCTCTCTACATACGTGATTGAATATGTATATTTGTCTTCATGAGTGTGGGTATCTATATATTTCACTAGATCCAAATATTTTTGTCTGTCTGTGCGTGTATGTTTTGTGTTCATACATATGTACATATATATTTTGATTTAGGGCACCTTGTAGTAAGTTAGTGTGAACTTTGTCATTCTTGAATCTGTAATTAAGTCGCTGTTTTAATTATAATGTATTCTATCAAATCACCTTGCTAATCCATAAATTGGTGAATCATTAAATGCTGCTAAAATTCAACCTTTTGATCCACCTCACACCATTAATAAAACCTGAATTACTGCTAAATCGTAACAGTGTCAAATATTTTCAACCATGGCAAGTGGTAACAGTGAAATTAGGATTTCTGTTAAGGTTGTGAACCTCACTAGTGCCACTGGGGCATCAGCAGTATGTAAAAGTCTTTAACACCATATGGATCTGTGAACAACTTGACGCAAACAAAGCAGACAGTGACAGTAAGGATTACAAAGAGGGTCACATACTGTACTTTAACAGTGGCAGAGCAAGGCCCTCTGCTTAAGAGAGGACACTCTGCCTTGTCATGTTCTTTTGGTATCACACTGCCCGTGCAAAACCAATTTAAGCACCAGAGACTCTTGCTGGATGAGCAGCGTGAGACATTTCCTTCTTGACTAACTATGTGTAGGCATTCTGTCCTTGAAAGTCCACTCATCAAATCTAAAAGTTCTTTCTTGCCCTTCCTGGAGGAAGTGTGGGTGTATTGCAGGCTATTACGCATATGCTAAAACAACAAAACAAATGTAAGAAACTAAGGGTTTTGGAATCCGTATCCTTGAAGGTCAAGCAAAACTATTTTCTCAGGACTCAATCCTCAAGACATTCACAAGCACATGGGAAGGCTGTATCATAAAAACCAGACTCTTAAAGAACCAATTTTGGTCCAAGGTAAGATTTCCCCCTGACTCCTCTAAAGAAGTTACCAATACACCACAGAAATTATTATGAAAACTATCAATTAACACACACCAAAAAAAGTGCTAAGAACTCTAAAATTATAAAGGCTTCTGGCAGTCCAAAAATCTAAGAGTACAAAAATCCACCCTGAGCCATGGGCAGCTGGGAGGACCTGAAGCCAAGCTGTCAATCTCTAAACTTTATCTTGCAGGTACAAAGCCAAAGGAGCCAGCAGGTCCCTGTTCACAACGCAGGTAATCCTCAGCCAGGAAATCTTTTCACTCTTGTAACAATAGTGGAATGTGCGTATAGACAGTCACCTGAACACCCAGCTGTGAAATGCTTCTGGGAATGCTATATGGGAAGGGAAGAAAGTGGACAGTGCCACAGACTACAGGAACAGATGATCATTCCATAGCTATATATTTTCAGCACCCTGCTAGGATATCCTGTAGGATAGTTTAGTCTCAGTCAGGTTTTTTTCCCTGGAAATACTTCTCGTAAGTAAATCATGTATAAGAGGAACTCAAGTAACATTTTAATAGGAATTCTTGTTTAGACTGGCTGACCTAGATCTCAAAGGGATTTCCTGCCAAAATGATTATTTTTCTTCAGTTGTTCTATTCATTAATAAAACCAAATTTTGTTCATTAATAAAACCAAATTTCTTCACTTCTTTTGTTTAAAGGACCTTGAAGCATCAGGATTCCAGAAGGACATCAGCACCTGCAAGGTGCTGACACCTGGAAACGGGCAGAAAAGTACTACATGGTCCTCTCATTTACTTCACGTACTTGGCACACTTTCTTTTCAAGTTTTATTACTCTCAGAAGTTTGCTGTAAGACTCATCACTGCAACACAGTCCTTCAGGTCTTTAAGCCTCATGAACCAGTGGCTTGAAAGGCTGTATACAGCTTCCTCACCTCCCTTCAGCTACGATACCTTGGGACCACTAACCAAGCACTGTTCTCTAGTCTAGAACGCTGCTTCCACCCTGCAGTAAACAACAATCTATAAACCTACCTCCTCTGAACAAGAAAAGTGACCTTCTTACAAGCTCACATCAACAGCCAGGAAGGGTAACCTTACGGTGAACTACCATACCAAAGTGACATTCTATTGAGCCATATCTCATGATTAAAAGGAAACTTAATAACCATAAATTCAATCATTATAAATAATGCACCCTAGTGGAGACAAAGGTATCCTAAAATATATTAACTTATAATAAGATGATTACATTACTCCTCTTTCCTGATGTACTCGTAAAAATTGCAAGAATCCATTTTGTTTTACTAAATGAAAGGAGTTAGCATACCTTACTATCTAATAAAATCCCCCATTTTATCACCTGTATATTAGTTTAAGTTTTCTTAATATAACGTGCTTAAATGGTTTGTTTTGCAGAAAACTAGGTCACTTTCAAAGCTTCAGCACAGGCAAGATTTTTCAATCTCATCTTCACAGTGTCAACTGTCAGAGCATATAATAAATAACCAATGAACATTTGCTGTCTTTCTACTCAGCTTCTTTATAAGCAATAGCATATCTGGAATGGCAAGAAGCACATTAGGTGGGTACACTAAAATTGCTTCCAATACTGTTTCACAAATAGCAAATTACTAAATACAACTGCATTTAATAACACCACCAGTGACTCCTAGTCAGCAAGTGACCTAGAAACTGTTTCAGATAAATGAGGTCCATTTGATATCAGGAAAGTAATATTAAGTGATTAAGTACAAATTTCATTTATTTCTATTATATGTTATACCAACAATATGTACACAAAATTTAGCACAGAAACACCTTGTAAAATAAATTACCTGTTCTGAAAATCTGCTACCATGTCCCGTCGTTCAGAAATCTTTGAAGAACCATCCAATCTCATGTATGTATGTTTCCTATAAACCATGTATTCCTGCAAAGAACACACACCAGAAAAATACAAGTTGCTCTTGAAACCGTTCAATCTTGATTCTTCCGGAAAAAGCAATAAAACCAGAATTTCTACTTACAAAAAAAAAAAAAAATCCCTAAATGTCATCAACAAACATGCTATAAGCAATACTTTATAATAATAGAAAGTCAGAAATTAAAGCTACTCAATCATGTCAGTTGTTGGATTTCATATAAAAGATAAATTACAATGTCTGTTCAGGTTGGGGATGCATTTGCTGCACTACACACAATGTTATGGTATCGTGCCTTTTTCTATAAGCAGGTAAATAAAATCACTAAAATAGGAAGTTTGTTTTTACAGTGTCTAAATCTTTACTTAATCCTGAGCCTTCACTGTGTAAGTGAACCTTTCCTAACAAACCAGCTATATCTGCTCCCTGATGATTTTAAACCATTTGACTAGTAGTTTTAAAACCCCAGTACTGTACACTGATGTCTGTCCAGGCTTTATCTCGCCTAGTAAAGAGCCCATGAATCTCACTGTATGCAAGAACATTTTGAACATTACACTGGTCTGTCAGCCCACAGCTCATGCCAAGCAGCGGAACTGAAACCGCTGCCTGAGACACAAATCAAATGGCAACAACCAGGAATGCTGTAGGCAAAGGCTTTTTCCAAGGAGAGACATTTTTCATGCTCTAAGGCACTCAGCATTTTCTGATACCTGTGCAACTATCAGTAAAATCTGAATTACTTAGAAGGCTCTTCAAGCTATACAGATAGCCATAGTTTCTTTGTGAAGATACCCTCCGATATTTTAACAATGTGATCCTCGGCTGATGAGATGCAACTCCTACCAGTTCCATGCGTTAGATTTAACCCTACTGGTGCACGTGTCTTTTTGAGATGCTGTGACTGCAAATGAAGACAGAAAGGAAACAGATGGTGCTTTAGCAGCAAGAACTATTGGATTCATCTTGCTCCAAGCTGCAGCGTTCAGCAGATACAGAACTGATGTGCTGCGAGAAGACATGGCAATGCTTGCACTCTAATGAACCTTCTGACAGTGCCATGCTCCGTTCTCCTTTCCACCTATCCTTCAAGGCTCCCGCTCCTCTTTGTTCCACTTCACTACTGCGAAAAAGGTGAAAGAGCTGCCATACTATAAGCAACCTGGGAAAATGACTGCTGTACTAGAAAGAAGCTTCAATGTGTGGCAGATGAAAGAGAAACATAGGTAAATAAAATTAACAGTGTGGAAATAGCCAAAATCTTGGTCCACCTATACAAAACAGAGCTCATGGCTAGCATCATTTCTTGAGTACAACAGAAGTTTAAAGCAGAGAACAGCTACTTTACCACACAGACACTCAAGCCCTAATTTACTACAGATTTATTCAATTTCTATGACAGGTTTCTGTCACCAGCTAAAACCAGAGAGATACAGTTGTCAATCTGGCACTATGCAACCTTTTCTCTAGATCTGATCACTCCTTTTTTCTATTATCACAAAGGCTTTTTCCTTCAATTTCTTCATCTGCTTTTATGATGATTCAACCTTTCAAAATCTTGTTTCAGTCATACCTCATCTCCCTATTAACTATCTTTTCATTAGCATCTTCTAAACAAACTTTAGCACAAACAGAAAACAACTTCTTTCATTCCATTTATCCTTATCCCAGATCGTAGAGATTTCCACTAAGACACAAACTACAAAGGAATAAGCTATTCTACACCTGGAATAATAGCATTCACAGTTTGTTCCCCCAGCCCCGCAAACCAGCTTAGTACATGAGCAGTTAGCTAGTCATCTATTCAACCCTGCTTAACAGGTTCTGGTCTGCCTCCGTCCACCCTCCTTTGGTCAAGAAGAATACTTCACATTAGTGTAACAGTGCTCATATGAAATACCCTTTTTTCTGAACTGTTTTTATCCAGTATTTTTCCAAATATTAACTGTACATTCTTTCAATTCAGAAAAAAAAAAAACAAAACCACAATATTGCAACTTATACTACACTTGTCAGCAGTTGAGTGCTTCGATCATGCACAGAAATGGCATGCTTTTAGCAAGGAAAAAAAAACAAAACAAAAACAAAAAAACACCAACAAAAACCCACCAACCAATAAACACCAAGCAACACAAAAGCCCCCCAAACCAACCAGGAAACAAGAGAGCATTCTGATGTCAAAGAAACTATTTAATTAGTAATATATCTGGTTTCTACTGTAGCTGTGGAAGGCACTTCATGACTGCTCATTTTTCTAGCTCTCACAAGGAGTGATGGGGTGGGGGAAGCCTCATCGGGAAGCTTTAATCTCATGGAGACACTTATACTAGACCTGCTTGAAAAATGTACCTGCCAATATTGTTTAATGTAAGGGGTCACCAAACCACCAAAAGTATCAGTCTAGGAAAAATAGTGACAGTGGCCCTGGCAACAGAGTACCTATACAGGAAGCAAACAACACAATGACTCCAGTGTGCTAAGAATGCAGTGCCCTTAGAAGTCAGTGCTCTTCTGGGCTTTGACACTGGTACTTTCTCAAAAACTACAAAATGTTTTCCCTTCACGTTATTTCACAGACCACATTGAGTACTCTTATGTTTTGACAAAATTAATAAACTTTTGGTAGAATGTAACTAAGACATTTGACTTCATGCAGAATATAATTCGACCCCTCATCACATGAATGCAATGTGATTTCCACGTGAAATAATGGACAACTAGTCTTCCAGAGAGGAGAGAAAACAAATATTACTATTTTAAAATCATCTGCATGAAATAACAGTACTGAACTTACACTTTACCCCCTTCTGTTGAAAGAAAATAATTTTCCTCTTTGTATTTCTATTTGCCATTTTATAATGGCTGAATTAAGCAGCAGTTCTTCAGCTGAGGCTAAATCAAACAAACATGGTTTTCTAACTTTGTAAACAATGTGTTTTGTGCTCTCTGCCCTGCATAATTAGGTTAGTATGATATCGTAGAAATTACACTGACACAGTCAAAATACTGTTAAAAGAAATAGGACATCTTATGCTCTTTCATACTCAAGTAGACAGAGGGGGTGCATTTTGAGATCTCTGGTCAGGAAAACAGTATCTACTGCTATACAGCTTTTGCAAGGATTTTCTTATAAACTCAGTAACTGCTTGATTTTTAGCTTGCTTTACTCCAGCTTCTGTTACATGGGTGGAGAGAAGGAAAAACAGAAGACTTGGTAGGTGGCTTGTTTGGGTAATAAAACTCAACAAGTAAAGTTGAGCGTTTAGGGGGTGGAATAGCAAAATGGTGTGCTCCCAAGCCTTTAAAATGGAATGCTAACAGAAAACAGACACACTAAACACTCCGCTTTATGAGCTTCATGGTGTAATGTAGGGTGTCAACAAACCTGCACTGTGTCCAACTTTTCCCAAAAAGAGGCACAGAAAGCAATGCTGGGCAAAGAGCCAGAATACAGAATTATAACCATGCAAGTTCTGTTTTTCCTCACAGCAGCAAAACCAAAATTCAGCTTGTGCTTTGTTACTGAACTATTAAGTGCTGACCTTAAAATGCACTCCTGCTTATAGAGGACTCATGATTTAGGCAGCTACTGATTCATGTGTCTCATTTTTTCTCTTCTCGTTACTGTGGAGAAGATGGTATCCCATGTCACTGCTAAGGGAGCCCATGTACACCTAGGACTAATGGCTGAAGGATCGCAGGATCTTGATGTTTTAGCAGTATTGAAATTATACTGCCAAATACAAATATTTTTCTCACCTACCACGTATTCACAGTCAGAAAACTTTATCAGGATTGCCTCTCTGAAACTAACATACATCAAGCCTCTTTCTTCTTACTCAGAATTAGATAGTCATTAAAGTTATTAATACTTCACTAACATGGGACAAAAACATTGTGGCACATGATATTCTTTTTTCGGATCCAGCTGAAAACTCACACTTTGCTGTCTTCAACCGAAGCCCAGAGAAATAAAAGTATTTCTCTTTCTATTTGTTGTAAGTATTACCAATAGGAAACCAAATTAATAGCTCTCCTCCTAATGTCTCTTCAGACTAGCTCTTTGGTGGCATGGTTGCTAATGAAATACTGACCTATTTCTTATTATTCTAAGACAGACTGACTGTATTTAAGTAACGAGTAATTGCTTAATTCCTAATTTCTCTCCTGTCATATATGCCACAGAACCTCTTATTATGAATGTCTACCAAACTTCTGCACAGGAATAAGATGATATAGGGAAACAGTAAAAGTCTGTGAAATTACAAGCAACACAAACAATGTACATTTAATCACTGTTCTCCCTCTTCCTTCCAATAAAAGGACATGTGAGCATCAAATGAAAATAGAAGGAAGCTGTTCAAAACCAGCAAAAGAGGCTAATTAAGCCATGTAACCCCTTGCCACAGGGCAGTGCAGATGACAAAAAGTTACATAGACTCAAGATGCAACTGAACAATTTCATGGAAGAAGAATCCATTTAGGATTGCGGAATACACAGAAGGCACATCTGGCTCAGAAAGCCCTTGAGCTGCAAGCTGCTGGACACAGCGACTAATTGTGAAGTACCACTGTTCTCGTACATCTTCCCCATACCATCTGCTGTTGCAGACTGGTGGAAGCATGACACCAGGCTGCACCTGAAGTCTAACTTTGTATGGCAGCTCTTACATTGCAGATTAATGCACTTACCGGGTATCCTTCAGTATAATATTTTTACGTCAGGATTTCTGCATCCAAATTGTAGTATTTTCCCCAAAACATTGTTGCTAAATCTGCACCTACAGAATTTGTCTTCTGTAAGCTATAGCTCTCCTACCTCCAGTAAGTCAATCATCCGCGTCATCTGGGAGTAGATAAGAACTCTGTGACCTTGAGATTTCAGCCGTGTCAACAGAAGATCAAGAGCATGAAGTTTCCCACTGTCAGTGATCAGACTCTCTTTGTCTAAAATGAAATGGAAGAAAAGCAGGTAACTAATAAAGCCAAACCAGATACATGCAACAAGTTAAATTCTAAGTTTTCCTAGCCCTTCTCTGCATTATAATCCCTGAAGTAACAAGTTGTGATGGAAGAAACTGTAACATCCCTTCTGGCTAACACTTACAATCATAGTCACTAACAATAACTTTTGTTTGATGGGATGGGAGAATATATCCACTTGGCAAAATCTCATCACAGACTGAGCTCCTCAGAGTACGGACTCAGCCCTTTTTTGGACAGCCATTTCCCCTTGCGTAAGGGCTCATCCTGACCAGATCAACCACTACAACTTGCCTTGACAGTTGAAGAAAGTTTTCTCCACTTCACACATTAAAACGCTGTCCCCTTTGGACATTTGCTGCTACCTGCTGCTGAGCTGTAGACTTATCCTCCACAGATCTAACATCAAGATCAAACACCTCATCAACATGGAAAGTGAGTAACGGTTCTCTAGGTCACTGTAAAATAACAGCCTCTTCGCAGCATTGCCTTAACTTTTCTTTTTCTTCCCTGACCTCCACTTTTTGGGTTTGGGCTTTTAATTTGTTTTGTTTAAGAAATATTTCCAGATGGCAATCTTTTAAGTCACTTCAGATTTTATACTTCATGTCCTCTCTACTTCAGCACTGCTCACGAAGTATTTTTCAGGAAGGAGATCTTCCTGTTTGTACATTCTGTACATAAACTTCAGTAAACAATACATTACTGTTGAAAGAGGATGAAGAGAAATTTTCTTCCAAAAAAATTATCTGTTGGAAAGGCTACTGATGATTCTTTATTCTTTGGGATATCTGAATTTAGGTTTACAGCCAAAACGGAAAGTTGACAACTGCAGATGGTGCAGGCTAGTACAGAATCCAAATATTTTCAACATGTCTAGCAGGTACCATTCTCTAACGTCTAGCAGGTAACACTTCTGCAGGCTTCTCACTGCACAGAATGAATTAACTGATGGGCTGAAGAAAATCCAGCTTTCTGTAAGGCAGTTAACTGTCTTGCACAATATTCTGATTAAAATAAAGGTATATACAAAAATTAATTCATTCATCTGAGCAGCATGCATTTAATATAGCCAAAACCAAGTTCATACGAGTGGAACAGAAGAGTACAGATCACACAACAGTGCTCCTAAAATGATTTTACAGCAGACAAAACAGTCCATGAGTGCCCAAGTGTGGTGATGTGACACAGAGGGCTAAGTTCGATTTTTACATATACAACCAGGGTTTTGATGAGAAAAGCAGGAATATAGTTTTTGTTCTATACTTAATTCAAAAGATCATTTTGAAATAACATGCCTAAGTTTAGTATACCTCTCAGAAAGGTTGTAAAAAGAAAGTGTTCAGGAAAAATCTCCAAGATTTCAGTGTGTTAAAAAACTTTACTTGCAGGGAGTTCAGAAATTTGATCCATTTCCATTTTTCAAAGAGCATTTGGCACTATTCACCGTTCTTCTTTTGGTTAAAGTTTTTTTAACAACAGAACACAACTTCATACAAGTAGAGAAAGGCACAGTATCCAGTGACTTGTTAAAACTGTAAAAACAAGGTACACTTCCCTCTTACCCTTCCAATAGTGAGGAAAAACTAGACAGCAATACTTTTATCCAGAAACATGGTTTCTTCATCGCTTTAATATGTCAATCAAGATCTCTTTCAAAAATATATTTTAGCTTAAATCTAAAAAATGGGTTTGATGCTGGAATTAGTGGGATCTATATTAGGCCATAAGAAGAAGCAGCCAACAGTCCTGCTTCCTGAAATTCAAAAAATTTTGAGTTGTCAATATCACTTAAAATTATTAGCCACTATATTTACACTATAAGCCAACGATGTGAATGCTATCTCCTTTGGTAAGTTTAAAGCCATACTCCTGCAATTCACTAGCTAAGAATCCAAGACAAGAGAATTCTGCTCCCTCTTGCTTGTCTGCCTATCCAGTCACTCTTTCTCAACTTGCTTTCCCCTTTTGATGGTGGCCTTGTTGCTTTGCCAGGAGCAAGTGCCACATCACTGCCTGAATCATTAGCAACTACCTTAGGGAATCCATCAACAAGAGAGCCAAGCCAAGGAGATACCGCAGGGAAAACTCAAGACCACAGCTCAGGCTGGCACTTCTTCTAAGTGCAACATAATGGATAATGACACACTCATCCCTAGAACAGAGCTCAGTCTCAATCACACACAAATAGTTAATAGTTTTATGCATTCTTCTAAGGAAAGCCAAACTTTGAACTTTGGCAGTTAAGTAAAAATGGAAATGACTTACGGTCATTTGGTTTTAAAATACATCTATGTAAGTCAAAAACTCTGCACAGTAGGAATGTTTACTCTTTATACAAAATGTTATTCTTTCCTTTAAGTCCATACAACCATGACATTCTGCCTTTATTCTAATTGGTAAGCTTGCTATTTCAGAATTAATTGAGTGAAGCAACATGAAGAGTCTAGATATACGTAACAAACTAATATGTTTATTAACCAGAAGTCATCTGACTGGAAGGAAACAGAGAGAACAAACAGGGTCTGTTCAGAAGTCAACCTCAACTTACTCAGATTAACATGTTAGCAAGTTTCAAAAAGCAAAATGCTACCATTTTTCTCACACAGGCATTAATAGGTAGAATTAAGTTTTGGTAACTGGAAATGATGTGCACCCTTTGCTGCTGGCTCCTTAGGTCTCCACTGTGTAAATTACTATTTTTAAATAGCAATGAAATGCAAATTACAAGTAAAGAACTTATTGCAGATGGTCTTACAGTCTGAAAAGTTAGTAACCTGTTAACAGTTCATAATTTGTCCAATATCTCAGCATCAGAGCAGACTGCACTGGTGAGAAAGTGTTTTGTTTTGTTTTGTTTTGTTTTGTTTTTTAGGAAGGCAAAACAGAACTAAGAAAAAAAAGATTTATCATCTCTGGAAAAGAAAACCATTTGACTTTAACCTGGCACCTTTAAGAATGCTGTCTTGATACCACTGTGTTTTCCAAGATCAAATATTTTTGCATGCTTAAAGCCTGCCACCTAGTGCTTCAGAGGACAAATTCTGGAAAGCAGTAACAGAAAATGTTCTTTATTCACACCGTTTTCAGAAAACACCACAATTATTCAAAGGAGAAGAAAAGAAAAGATGTCTTCTGCCTCTAGTTTCTCTCACTTCTATTTCTCATTCCCCTTTCACCTTGGGGAAATAGAAGGCTGTTTACTTCTTTTTTAAATGGAATTTCCAAAATTTGCAATTCTACATTTTCCATTTTTAATGATTGGTGAAAACTTCCAATGATAATGTCTCTAGATTTTTTTTTTTTTTTAATAGCATTAAAGGAACTTTTAAAATTTTAAGCCACTCAGGAGATAGAGGTCCTGGACTGCATGTCAAAGGACTCTCCCCAGGATGCAATTTTTGGGTTCTTCAGTACTGTGTGACATAAACAAGCAAGTAACTGTCAAACTATACTGTATGGCTTTCAGTCTGGAAAAAAAAAAAAAAAAAGTCCTTGCCTTCAGCCACACAGGGAGTTGGACACAAATTATCTACAAGGGGATACAGTGGGATCCTATGGCCTGGGGGGAATAGTTATAAATGATTATGACTCAAAATAACCCTTGTCAGGATCTCTGGCCGATGACTGTAGCTGGGCTCACCGCTCTCTGGAGAATGAGAAAAAGTGCCTCTGGACATGCAAAAAGCAGAGGAAAGAGAGATAAAGTCTGGGTTCCAGTTGACACCCCTGGTTCCCCTCCCGACAGTCTGCACGGCACAATGGGGTCAGTGAGGAGCTAGCTGGCTCTCACAGTAAACAGCCAGTGAGGCCGGTGCTTTTTATCGATGCTAAAAGGACTCAGACACTTCCTGCCATTTAATCCAGGACCATTTTTCTTTCAAAGAACAGGAAAAGCTTCAAGAGATTCCCACAGTGATCGCAGCTGAGCCTGCTGCCAGGGCACTGGGAACGCTGAGGCTGGGAGAGGATAGATCAGGGTTAGGGGGGAGAGGTATCCCCTTTTCTTCTTGCCACCTATTTACCACAGACCTTCACACCTACTGTCCGTTTGCCACTTGCTGGACTTCAGCCTTGTAAATGGCTCCTTCAGCACATCAGTCACTTTGTGATGCACTGTGCCTGCTCCTGCACGTATAAACACAGCTGTCCCATTGTGGTACGTGCCCTCTCCTCTTAGAGTTAAGTTTAAGCTTAAATGCTACTTTCTACCTAATTAAAACACAGCTGTACAAAACTACTTTTTTTTTTAATCCACTTTTAGCTCCAACACCACCTAAATTAAGCCAGCTTTACATAACACACTCACCCCAACCACCTTCTCAGCCAAATTCTTTGTTGTGCTTTGACAACTTGCCTAATCTTGCACCTATTTATTCACTCCTGTAAGCTTCTTGTACCCCATCTTTACTCCTCTGACAAAGTCATCGGCTTGGAATGGAAGTCTTTTCAGGAGAATGCAGCCCCCTCTATTCTACATCAGTTACTTTTCTTCATTTTTCTATTCATGCCTTCTATCTTAATTAATACCTTCACTATTTCCCTCCTTTTTGCTACAGCAATTCATTTTCCGTTTCCAAATAACTGATAAACAAGTCAATGAATTACTGAAGAAACTTCAAAATTATCAACTGTTTTTGAACATTAATCTACTGCAAGCTCATGAAAAATGGTTCCTCCATTACACAGATACAAGCGTGCATGTGTTTCAAATAACTCCAAGTACTTATGAGGTACCTTCCTAAACCAGGCTGTAGCAAGCAAAAGGCCATTTTCCTTTCACTGTACTAACTTCCCCTGCCAAACATCCTTGACCCAAAAGGGTCTGGGAATAACTTAGCATCTGGCAGTGTAAGTTGTTTTTCCTCTTGGCTATCTCTCAGATCTCTAGCACTTTCTGCAGAACTCTGTTCACTGTTCAGGACCATCTTCCGACAGCAAGAATGCGTCTGGCCCATGAAAGTCAGTGCAGTACTGGCATTCAAATTTTAGCTAATCTTGGATTACTTTAGTCTAATTCTAGGAAAAAATGAAGCTCATTTACTTTACTAGTACACTGGTAACCTTTTTCCCACTTTACCAGGAAACATGAGTAAGTCTTCTATATTCCAGATGAGACTCAGTAAATTCCTCATGCTTTGTTTTCCAGGACAACTTCCTCTGAACTTGGTCCCCAAACCCATTCTTCTCATAGCAGATTGCTACAAGTAATGTTTATCCTTTCTAGGAAGACCAATAAAAGATCCCTTAGGTCAGTGTGAAGGTCCTCCAATACACTAGGAGGCAAGGTATGACTTACTTTTCCTGCAATCTTCCTATCTCCAACCCCAAAATAGTATTTGGTTGTACAAGTAGACTGTGCTTTAGAAAGCAAACCCATCTCTTTACAGTCATTTGGAGAGCTGACATGCAAAGAGAGGCTTATAAGCATTAGCAAAGTTTGCATTAGACTTGTTCAGTATCCACTGACAGCTTTACTCTAGACAGAGGATATGAAATCACAGTGCTTTTTAAGATACCAGGGTTAACTTTCAATCTGGAGGAAAAACAAACACACAACCACCCCCATGCCCTTGAAAAGCCCATAACCAAGCATAGTTACCACCGAAGAGCAGATGTCCTTATTTATCTCATCTCTGTTCAATGACAGCCTCCAAACTTACCTGGTATCCTGATAAAAGACCAGCCGTTCTGAGGCCTGATCCCTAACAGCCCTCCTGGATACTCTGGGAAGAACTGGGAGCTTTGCTTCAGCCAGTCAGCTGCTAGCTCAGGGGCTCCATTGAGTACACACTGCTTTGCTTCCAGGCTTCCTCCTTCCTTTAGTGCCCTGCGCTCGTATTCTGCACTTCGGTCATTGCAGTAAAACTCCAGTGGCACAGCTGTTACCTACAAGTAAAATAATCATCAGTACTCTTGTTCAGATTTCCCCTCATCCCCAAAGTTCAGGCACCTTCCCACAGGATGGAATTTTAAAAGTCAAATCATTACTGACACATACAAATGGGAAACAATCTTAGACTGGCTTAAAATAAGCTACGATGCAACATCTCCCCACACAACAACAACAAAAAAAAAGGTCCTGTAAATGACCAAGCACTGACTACTTGCCTTGTGATAAACAATGCCTTGCTGCACAACTGATAGCAAAGCTGAGAGTAAACGAATAATATCCTTGCTGCACCTCTCATTTTGCCTTGATTTTTAAAATTTTTATGTTTTCCCTTCACAATCAAGTATTTACCTAGCAGAGATGAGATTTACGTATTGTCCTTTAACAGAAATTCATGTGGTAATTTAAAATTAGGAAGATACATAAATTAGAAAGGAAAAAAACAAACAGGATAACAGCCCCATTTTGGAAGAGCACTTTTCTTGGTCTTGACAGCTGACTTGAAGAGAGGTGGGCCACAGAAACAGTGCAAGTGAGCACAGGGTGATCTTCCTCTGGCTGTTCTACGAATCCCTTGCCCTATTACCTGCTTCAGCACATACAACCCAGCTGGACAGACCAGTGTTGCAAACACAGGAACTCTTGATTTCACGCCACGTGAGCTACTCTGGAATGGCTCCACCACTAACTACACCCTGCTCTGCCCTGTCCACCCAAATCCAGACAAAGTATGGAAGGTCCACGTTAGGCAAAGAGCTGTATGCCCCATGGCTGTCAGGTCCTTGAGTAGAATTCATCCCAGCAGACAAGGCTGTCCTTTGTACAACCTATAGCTTTCTCTTATCTCTCCCTTACCAGGGTAAGGGACAACTTCAAAATACTGAAGCAATAAAAGCCAAAAGCATAACCGAGCCATGGTACATACCAGGACAGCCTACTCTGCTGGGTTTTAATTAAGATACTTCACCAGTAGTTAAACTGCATGATCCAAAGCAAATATAGCAACTACAACACTTTCACTCAAATATAAAGACTCAATAATTCACTATCTAGCACAAGAATCTTTCCAATAAAAATGCAGACCACCAACTTCTTCCTCCTATCTTTTGTAAACAGAAGTCTGTTTTGGGCCAACATTCTGGGGTAAGCATTTACAAAGCTGTTTATAATGCAATTTACAAAAGAAAGCTAGTAGAAACTTTCACATCCTATCAAGAGACTTAACATACTGTAAATTCACTTAACAATTAGACTAAAACCTAATATTAGACAATTAACCTTATAGCATGGGCTTAAAGCATGGAAAAGTTGTAAGTTTTCAATGCTTTGTTGGTTTCTTCACCAATACAGGAAGCAAATAGATCACTACTTTAGCAGTCATCATTGCTTTTATTTCAGAAGTACAATTTTAAAAAGATCACCCATGTAGATTCATGTAAGTTAAAAACATTGTCATGTGTCCTAACATGCAAAATGAACACATTACCCAGGGGACTATGAAAAGCAACGTAACAAATGAAAAGGAACACAAAGGAAATCAAGTATGTGAAAGCTTTCACATTTTAAAGGAGAGAGCTGCACAGGAAGAAACAGTATGGCAATCTCTAGGGTTTGATGGTGAACAGTATGTAGCTGAGTTTCTGGAGAACTGAGAAAGGGTGGGAATTGGTTTGGTAATGGGACAACTGAAACATTAAATGCAGTGAAAGAACTATCTTTGTATCGCAGCCAAAAAACTTTTAGGTATTTGAAGGGGGATGAATTTTTTGTTCTAGCTTACTCTTGTGTGACATAATTAACTGCTACATACTGAGAATAACATATGTAACATTATATCATTCAAATGAATATATTTTAATGGCTTCACTAAATGTTAAGCAATAAAATAGTTCAAATATCAACAGTTTTAAATATTGTACTTTGGAACTGTAAGATGAAGGGAGCAACCTGTACCTCAGGACAGACTGCCTGATATCTTAGATGCCGGCTGCTCCTCTCTGAGCATTTACCAGCTAACTCAAAGTCAAGGGTATCAAACAAGATCTTCTTAGTAGAAGCCTGTGGTCCACTCCTGATTTACAGGAGCTCTTCTCATAGGAAGAAAGTAATCTCCCAAACAGAGACATATTTTTGCAAGGGCATATCAGCTGTTTAAACAGATTCATAAGCACAATTTTAGTCCATATCAAAATAAAATCAGAAAAGCATACAAAATCTCAGCAGTAACGGTAAAGCTACTGTTTGCAAGATGCCAAGAGCTATTTTTAAACCAGATTGGCTTTCAAGTCTATGCACACCATCACATGAAACACTGTAAATTGAAAGGGACTGTGTTAAGTAAAACCCTGTATACATTCCCACAAAGTACTAGAGACTGTTAAGAGTTGATGCTATCTTGTACTGCCATCTGCAGTCAAAGCATAGGATGTCTTTTGTGGGAGAGGACAAACCTCTCACAGCTCAAGTCTTGCTGCCTGAACACAGATGTACACCACAACAATGGTGCAGACTTCAGTTGTTTCTTTTAAAGGACACTATTAGCCATCACATTTCAGTACATATTTCTGCACTGGACAGACCGGAACAAATACTCTCTCAGGCACAGACAACCCGTCATGTTTATTCCCAGGACACCTAGGATCAGCAGCAACTACACACAAAACAGAGCAAACCAATTTCTGACACAGAAACACGGCTTATCTACTGAAATCAATATGGAGATTCGTACACTAGGATTTTTATAAGAAAAATAAAGTCACATCATAAAATTCTACACGCTACATTTTACTAATACCTTCACCTAAAGAAGCGCTGGGAGAGACAAACTTGAGACAAACTGTGTGTGTGCCTCAGTGCAATTTCTACATTAAGAAGAACAAATATTCCCATGTGGGAAGTATGCCTGTGTAACACTGACTGACATCCAAGGACATAAGGCTATCTTTACTGTCAGCTCCATGCTTTTTTAAATGCATAAACACACTTCTAGGGTAGATCTCTGCATCTTTTACATGGCCTTACAAAACACAGCACATTTCTGAAAGAGATCAAAAAAATCTTCCATTCAAGCTTGCTCATGATTCTCCTCTCTCCTTTTTGTCATGGTGCAGTTTTTTAAATTTCTTTTCCCCAGCTTTGTTTCTGTGGTTTTGCTTGTAACAAAGGTAGTACTAAACCCTCCTATATGAACACATTCTTGTCAAACTCGCTGAATGTAACAGTCATGGTTCAGAAATACATCCAAAAAATAGAGTAATAGGGATATACGAACGCACTGTCACCTTAAATTCAATAACTTAGCTTAGTTAGGGCAATTGTAAAAATGTAAAATCCATTTATCTCCATGCAAAGTTAACCTTTCAGATGTTGTGAGATGTCCAAAACCGCTTCTGACCACAATACCTCTGACACACCGGAATCTACTGAACTGATAAACTAAAGCAAACAGTTTGAGCCATCCTCCAAGTTACTTTTTTTTTTTTTTTGTGATTGAGGCCTCTCTGTACTCCAGAAAATTGCCTGCATAGAAAGAAAGTGACAGCACTAAAGCCCTCCCTCACCACTACCCCCCAGCTGCTACATAAACATACGCTCCTATTTCTATCATTCGCTCCATTAACTTCCCAAAATTCATCACAGGTCAAACAACAACAGAAGGCTATCGTTTCTGAGAACATATGTGCTCTTTCTGCTGTTTCAGGTCTTCTACACTCCTGCCAAAAGTTTCTAACAAGCGTAAAATTAAGTCTTTGTATTCCTAGAAGCAAAAAGCCATGCCTCCACTTAATCATTTTTATACACCAGCCAAACCAAAACAAGCAACTTTTATTCACTAGAATGTATGTCAGATATGATCTCCCCTCATTTTGCCCTTCCCCTTCCTACGTAGCCTTCTGAATCCCTCTCCTCCCTTCCTAATGTATAGGAAGTATTCAACATACTCATCTGCAATGTAAATTTAAGTACAAAAAGCAACAAAATCAAAGAAATCTGAAGGAGAAGTGATTTTCACAATTTACTCTCAGAATAACTGCTTGTTCTAGAACCAGGTAATGTGGTGTGACTAGGAGGTGGTATGTGACTGAGAATTCACTTGGATTCCTGGCCCCTAGAGCTGCAGGCACAGATGAACTCAGCTTGAGGAGCAGCACACAGGTGATAAGCAGTCTGACTTGCCATCCTCCCTTCTCCAGATGCCAATGTATAATTGCACATGCAGCCCCATTTGATCAAGACTACAGCAATAACATCAACAGTAACCGAAGTATATAGCATCTGGATAGCCTACAAATGTAGGTACATTTTATCCAGCTTTGTCAAGATCCAACAACATGGAATGAAAACAGCCATAGACTTACAAAGGTCTCTTGTGTCAACCCAGGAAACAGCAGCTAAAGTAATTTCAAAATTCAGTTAATAGTTGATGGACAACTCCAAACAGTACCACTTAACAGCCAAAAGATTTAGAAAATGCCAACTCAAATAATCCTTACATATTGTGATTTGGTGGTTCCTGGTTTGGAGCATAAGCTGACGCAGACAGAAAATGAACGTTCTTTTCAAAAAAGCATTGCTCCTCAGCCCCTTTTTGTCATCGGAGTTGACCAAACAATCAACCTATTCTGTTCATATCATACCTACATCTTCCCCTTAGATTCCTGGGGAATAATATACTTGACATTCTCTTCTACAGTTTTACTGCTTTGTGTATTAGGAGAGAAAGTGAAGTCTATGTATCTCAGAATAACTCCTGTGGTGTGCATCTTATTACTTTCCTTTTCCTTTCTGTACACATTACAGTCACTTCCCCTACAAAAAAACCCACTATTGAGTACAGTAACAAAAGGATATCCTCACAACAGCTTTACCCAACCAAAAGAAACTAATAGATCATCCTGTCCCTAAGACACAATTCTAACAAGATTTAAAACACAATAGAAAATCTGTAATTTACAACTTCACTTTGACTTACCCGCGGACTGGCTATGCACAGGAAGGACGGCAGCTCAGTCACCTGGCAGCACCGTACACATGAGGTAGCTGATCTCCTTCGATGTATGACATGATCCGAATAGCCAGTAACTGCTTTACAGTGGCTACTGAACACAAGGTTCTGAAAACAAAATTAAGAAGTTACTGGGACTATAAAGAAAAACTCCTCTTAAGTCTTGTGACCACACATGAAAAAGACAGACAAAGGACATTCACCAAATATTTCTCTTTGAAAAATGAAACTCTACACATCTTTTGCAGTGACAATGTACAGGATCTTTGTGTAATTATCAGAACATTCAAATCCAGAAATAGTTGAAATCAGAATAGCTCGTATCAATACTTGCCTTTACACTCAGGTGGAACCAGAAACAAGTTTTTCCTTCTTTGAACCTTCTGACCTTAGCTTTTATAATGAAGGAAGTATGGGAATATTCTAGTAGGTCTGACCCTCAAGCTGTTTTCTAGCTACTCCTTTATCTATTCTGAAGCATGGGTAAAATGAAATTTGGCAGAGAAAAAAAAATTAAGACTCTAAATGAGACTGGACTGGAATCTTTGGCCTTTCATCTTTTCCATCCTTTTCTTCCTTTCCCGTGCAAAATGGCTCTGAATTTTATCCTGAAGATGTTCAAGGTGCTCCTATGGTTACTCACACACATGAACACTCATGTGTAAAACCTGGAATTTGCCACAAATGTATCAATGGCCTTTTGATACAGAAAATTACATTGATTCCAAAGTGGGGGCACTGAGATGACACTGCAGTTTAAAGAAAGGAAAGCTCTTTGAAGATGCTCAACTCTACACAGAAAAATAACAGAAAACAAAATTTTCTTTGCTTGCATCAGTAATTATATTTCCTTATTGTATATACCAAACAATGAAATAAACTGCTTACAGACTAAGACACTTTTGCTACTTAGTTTTTATTCTGACTCTTCTGCATTCATAGCAACCAACTGTTAATTGTTATGTATAATTGCTTCCTATAGTACGCAGAGCATTATTCTGCATACTATAGGAAACAAGCAACAATTTTAGAAACATTAAGAGGTACACCTCTCACTGCCATAGGATCACAGGATATGCTCTCCTGACAATTCCAGCAGTTCACTTAAGTAAAATGTGAACAGCATCTAAAGCTTTGGTACTGTTTTGCCCCAGTTTCTAATGCAACAACATTTACTCCATCCTGATGTATCAAAATTAATTGCATGAGATTTTATAAATTCCCAGTGTTTTAAGTTTTAAACATCAGGGCACACGATAGAAGCAGACACCTTGTGTATCATGTCTTACACTGGTTGTATGCATTCCTATGTATGTCAAAAAATGCTAGAGAACATCCATAGCAGTAGTCTATTATGGATCATGCATTTTGAGCATTTTCTATTTCCAGATGTAGAAGCACTGAGCAAGATACAGACGGCTAGCACATATCATTTGGAACCTGCTGACAAGGGAGAAAAATAGTCTTACTGTACGTACATGCTAGCACCACCTAAGAAATACAATCAGTCAATCCTAGCACATGAGTCTTCCAGCTGCTACCAGTGTGACTGGTGGTCTGGAGCTGGCAAAGAGAAAGTTCATAGTCCCTGACTGAACATCTGCTCCTCTATATCAAAGGTGAGAGCAGAAAGAGCTGACAGTAACCTTTCACTGACAGACGGCAGGGCTAAAAAGCACAGGTCAAAGCTTGGGCCACACTGGGTAACGTGAAGTGATCCCCAAAACAGGCTCTTACTCAGCTGGCAATTCTTTATCAGTAATGCTGGCTTAAGCAACAACTGCTTCACATGTTCACTCCTGTCCCTGCAGAGCCTCTTCCTGTTGGCCTAGCTGTCTGTACTCAGTAAGATGCTGACCGAGACGAAAACAAACCCTTGCCCCTTCACTCCAAGTTAGCTCTGTGATCTCTTCCACCACCTGGTAAAACAGGCCGTGTGCTGAGACAGCAGAGTGGGAAACGCAAGGCTGGGAGCACATGGCTGTGGACAACAGATGTGAACGCTGGCTTACTGATCTAAGGGCCAGAAACGGTGCCAACAGGGCACCAGAGCTGCTGCTGAGAAGGGGGAGTCCCTTCCCATGACATGTTTGTGCTGCTGCTTCTGCTTTTATCACCTGTCACACCCCCCCAGAAGCCTATTCAGCTACACATCTAATTAAAGAACAAATCCGATAGCCATGAAAATACAAAGTTTTCTGCAGTTGCCTCACGCAGCGACGTGACAGTGCAAGCCCGCATCAGTGGAGGCAGGACTTGGAGGCTGGGAGTAAAGAAAGGACAGCAGGAGTCAGAGGGGAAGAGTGACTCCCCCCTCAGCAAGAGCAGGCTACTAGGTGGACTCAGAGCAACTGCTTTAGCTCAGAGCCCCCCTCTTCCCCACCCCTGGCCCACACACTGGGGGTACAGCTGAATTTACGCAGAGGAATCAGCATTGCATGCAGTCACCAGAGCTTTCCAGTAAGTCTTCTCACAGTCAGCACTGGCATACTGATGGTGGCCCTGATCATTAGACGGGTTTGGTAACTTTATTTCCTGGAAAGTGAGAATACAAGAAGTGGATAGAGAGGAAGCTAACAAACTGTAATTCCAAACCTATGCAAGTTTGTTATTTAATTCTCTTTTGGAAGACAATATCAAAGAGCCATCAAAGCTGGCTTTAGCCCAATTAGAAGTACCCAGGAAGAAACATAAAGGAAAACTTCCAAAAAGGTAACCAAATAAAGAGAAAAATCTTATTTTTGTATATGCACAGTATTAGAAGTAGGTCTTGTACATGGGCATTAATCTGGTTTTCAGCATCATGCTTCCTGTATACGAATTATGAGTGGGTCACATAAAAACCATCCCTCTGAATTCCCTGACATACGCAGCCATTAAGTATTCATGAAGAGAGCAGATACCAGATATAACAGGGACAGCAGAAACCAGCTTCCCATCAGCCAAATACATGGAAAAGACTAGGTAAGGTTACAGAACTGAACACGGCCACAGCTCTGAAATGGATCATATACCTTAGTACAACACAGTCAAGAACTGAAGAGGAGGACTGGTACAAAATGATAATGTACACATCTACTGCAACCATGTAATCCAAAGTAAGTGTTGAAAGAGCCTTTCCTACATTACAGAGCTGCACATAAATATGGGTGACTGCTACCAGCATCTTAAGCTCACTAACACTCCTACTTTTTTTAATAGAAAGAAAATTAGGAAAGCAAAGGAAAGAAGGGTTCATCTCAACAGATCAGATAGTCTATTAATTTAAATCAATGTATACAAACTAATACACATGTTGTGGAGGTGCTGAGTAAGGGGAATGAAGAGACCTCACACTGCAGGGGATTTCTGTGTTTGCATGAAGAAGCTCATACTATCTTTAGACAGATGTTACCTCAATTTCAGAAATATCCATTAAAAATAAATGGTTTTTTTCTACTGACTTATTTTCATATTTTGTGTTTCATATCAGAAATGCTGATCTGAGCAGTTAAGAAAAGCCTTTCCAGATTTATACCATTTCCTTTTTCCTCTGTTTCTCCCCCTCCTTACTCCCCTACACGTTACTATCTTATGAAGCCCTAAAGGAAGCCTTGGGGGATTTTACACTGAAACCCTCTCAAATTTTGGCTAAGATAAAAAGTTAATTTTTACTCAGAATGATGTATGCTGCTAAAAGACAGGTATGCAAGCGGAAGTTTGTTTTTCAACTGTCCCTTTGGTTTTACAAGGTTGTGGGGTTTTTTGTTGTTGTTTTTTCTTCTTTTGCTACCCCCCTTTTTTTTTAAAAAAAAAAAAAGTTCTATATGTAAGCTGTGCAAACAAAATTCTGCAAACATAGCTTATTTTAAAGTGACTTCAGGTGGCAATTTGTCTAATGTGCAGGTTAGAAAACAGTTCTAAATAATCTTTTGTAACTGTAGGGCTTAACTTCCTTTAGATTTACTGAGGTTATCACAAATGTGCTGTATTCCACACACTGATGAACTTTGCTCCTCGGCTGGCTGTTTTCTATGTAAAAGGTACTAGTTACACCAGTCACAGCACTGGGACTCCCTGAGACACAAGTAATGACTTCCTCAAAGAACAGAAATTATTTGGAGAAAGCAAAGGGTATATTTAAGTCTTGCCAGGTTGTGGTACAGGTGGGTTTGTAGCTTATCCAAATGCTTTACATTTCATTGTTAATATTAAAACATACATGTGCATATTCCACATCTTGTATTTAATATTTATAATGTTATCTCACTTTCTGTACTTTAAGAAAAATATAATTACTTTCATTTTAATATTTACACACACTAAGCCAAAGGTTATGTGAAGACCTATATTGTCTTTCTACACATGTAAAAATGAATGCTACCTTCTTTAAGCACATACAATTTCTGATACCATCTTCCACTCCTTTACTGTTAGCCTGCAACATTTATGACACCACACAAGTTTCTCTTAACTGTACCAATGGGAGGACAGAGCTGCAGTATAGTTTCAGAGATAAGCATTATACCGTCAGTAAACAAACAGCCAAATGTAATCGCAAAAAAAACTATCTGAAAGCAAATCCATATAGTGTAGACATTTTATCAAGCTAGACATGGAAACACAGAGCAGAAGACCAGCACAGCCAGAGTTAACTGGCATACACACTCAGTTGGCTTGCTCTTTGTTTGATAACTAGGAGGACTCATTTCGTTGGCTTTGCTGTTAACACAGCAAAACATGACACCAAGTCCAAAGTTGGTTTCCTACTGCTTACACGTCTTCCATTTCAACTTCCTCTACACGCTATTCAATTGAATTCTGGCTATCTCCTTTCCCCTTCCAGACTCATGAACAGAAGCAATATTCCCTAGAGAAACTTGGCACGATGTCACTGTTTCAGAAAAGTGGGTTTTTTTACTGCATATCTACTAACTGCCCTAGATGCCTTCCTGACTCCACACTGGCACTTCTGGGAACTTGTTTCCCAGTGAAACTAATCAATGGAGCTATAACCTAACTCAGGAAATCAACAGCAATTTAGTCATAAAAAGACAAAACCTTCACACACATCCCAGGCAAAAGGTCAGAGAAAATGACCTTGCATTACACAGTAAGATGAGTGCATTTGGAATGTATCAGACATCAGCAGAAACAAATTTCAGAGTAGAAAGACACCATGGACAATGTGCGTCCACCAACTCTGAAAGGCTGCTAGGCTGAAGTCTCTGCTTTCCCCAATTGCTGCAACAATGTATTGAATTTGAGAAGAAAAGAGTTGGTTTCAGTCAGAAAAAAAGCATCTTACATGTAAAAAAACATTACAAAACTCTTAAGCTTTTATGTTGAATCCACCCCTGACAAATCATGACTCTAGTTCGGTTGCTTCAGTAATATTTTTAAGATTTCTAATTCAACTGATTTATTTTTTATATCAAGTTTTGAAGTGTATCAGCACATGGAAGATAGCAGTTAAATTATTTTTTTGTTCAGCATTCTGAACTTTATGAACTATATCTAATAAAGCAGATAATAAAGTCATCCTGTTTCCAAGTTTGTTCTCTGTTTTATAAGGATAGAAAGGCTTTCATTATTTCTCACTCATGAGGATTTGCTACTGTCTCTAGATCACAGAAATTTTGCTTACCTGCAGCAAAGTGCAGCTGTGCAAGTTAGGGAAAGACAGCGGGAAATTTACATCAAGCAAGAAATCCCTGTTCCTCAGAAAATGTGACCCTGGCTGTTTCTCCCCATTGGTCTCCATCCAGGACCGCATGTGATGGAGCCTGTAGGATGCTTTCAGAGACAGGAAAAGAGCTAACCATCTGAAACAAAACACAGCAGATACTGCTTTGTGAAAGAAAGGCTTGAGTAAATTTACAACATAACGCTATTTGACACAAATGTTTTTTCAGAATTTCAGGTTTACAGTGTCCAGGCTTAAAGGAAATAATTTTTGCTAGACATTTTCCAATTACATTACTCTTACTTTTTTTTTTTTCTAAGGTGGCTTAACTGAATCCAAGTGTTTAAATCAAAATATACTTTGAAGTGCTTTGTTTAAAACAGTCGAGCCTGAGTTAGCCACTACTACTTCGAATTGTACTCTGACTTCTCTGTAAATTGCTCCATATATAAATTATTCATAACAACCTGCTATTCATAACAACCTGCATAATGAATGCAGAATTTATCATAAAGATCATTCAGATAGATCAAGGGAAATTTGTATTGTTACTGAAACACAAACAAGAAACAGTAGTCCAAAATAACCACAACAATGAAAGAGTATTACACTTACAAAGCCCTAAGCAAAACACCTTTATTTATTAATAAAGACTTGCTTTTAACCTCGTATTTCTTACAGTCACTAACTTCAGTCAGAGTACAATTCGTTGCAGGGTACACTTCAACTTAAAACCGATCACCTCCCTTTCCAAGATAATTCAAGTTCAGGATACTAATAATCCATTATCCTAAGCCTATGCCTTGGAATTCCATTTCATATTAGAAACAGGACATACGGAAAGTAGACAATATGGCTCAGAGCTGAAGAACAACTATCATAGCACAAGCTTATTCCACGTGTGTTAAAACACATGCTGAATTGCAGTTGGTAAGCATTGCAGTAAACTGGCCTTCAAAAGGCTGGATTTTGCACTTGATAATGCCAGCAATGTACAATGTGATCCTAAGCAAACTCTCCTGTTGCCCTTTGACCGTCTTGTATATTTATAATGTTAAATCTTTGTAACAGAGGTTTTCTTTTGACAGAGGCATCAAAATTGCCTTGCATAATGGTGCCCTATACTTGGAGGAACACTCTAGAAGTTCCTATAATATTAGATAATGATAGACAAATTATAATACTAGGAGGCACAGAAAACACAGGTTTACAGACAGACGCCCCTAACATCACCTGTACATTTCCTACAATTACTAAAACAGAGGAAAAAAAAAAAAAGTTGTCCTTACCTGGCTAAATGTCCCTGATTCATGAGGTTTGCTATTTCCGCTGGAGAGACATCAGTAAACCGGAGGAAAGAAAAACAGCTTTCTTCATTGATGCCTACATCAAAGAAATACTGAAGTTAGGCCAACACATTTCACAGACACTCATAGCTGAAAACTTACTTCATCAATTCCAGATACACATGATCTGACACACGACAAATCTGGTGAATAAACAGGAGATCCTAATTTAACCTAGATCCTTTAGAAATACTGGAAATCTAATCTGACATTGCTTTTGCCTGACTCCAAGTTCCAGTTAGTTTTCCTGTCTGGGCAAGAGAAAGGCATTTACCAAGACAAAGACGTTCTAGGCCAGAAAACCATGCAGCCAGTAAGGACATTGATTTAACTTACTAAAAATCAATAGGCAGCATGCGTGTTTGTGAATCTAGACACATTATCTGCCAGACAGCTGACCAGAACACACATACCTCATGCCCAACATGCTCCCTCTCACCCGCCAGTGAGTCGAACGGGTTGGAAGGAGATGTAGGAATTGGTAGGGGAATGTGAGTATGGGGATAAAGACGCAGTGGATATGGTGAGGAAGATGGATACACTGCAGTGAAGGGTGGCAAGCAGAAGAGATATGTTTCGGTGCTAATGAAGAAAGCTTTTCAGACCCACCCATGTGCACTGCAAATCCCCAATACCGTTCATAACTTTTTAATTTTTAACTTTTACACAAAAACTATATGCCCCAAATTATTTTCCCTTTATGGTATGCCAAAAAGGGTCTCCAATAAAAAGGCTATTACAAACAACAAAACAAACAGAAACCAGAAAAATCAATGAGACATACAGAAGTCAGAGCATTACAGACAAGTGCAGACTCCTGTAGCTCTATTTGTTTTTTCTTACTTGAGAAGGGTTTTGCACAGCTGAACAGGTCCACGCTAACAGAATTCAATATAGTAATGCAGCCAGTATCTATCTTGCTTTTTTCTCCCAAAGTTTTTCCCACCCCAGCAGCTGAGCAATCTCATTTGCTCCTTTTAGCTAAAAAGAAATTCAATCATCTATAATAAACTGTATTTGTCAATATAGGCAGCTTATGTGGGTTTTTTGCTCATTGATTAGATACTGGGTCACTTGCATCTCATCTACTTTTTATATGAAAAAGAAATTAGCAGTTTAACATACAATACAGAATGCTCTGAAATTAATCCAAGATTTCTCTGAATTGAATCTGTGAAAAATCCACAATAGACTAAAAAGGCAGCACTGATCCCTTGGAGCAAGTTAAAACAAGACAGGAGGAGTGGAACAAGAGACTGCAGTAGGATTAAGCAGTAACTAAATAAGCTGTCTATAGATTATTCTTCTAGCTGCTTCCCTCCTTACCTCACTGAGTAAATGAAATATATGTACGACTACAAACGCTAACAAATTTCTAACAGGTTCTCAGAGGACTAACTGATCTGGGGTCTCAGTCCTTCCCCCTGAATAAGACATATTATACAACATCATACACAAGTGTGCAACCCAACTTGCTTCCCAGGACTGTAAACCTACCCTTCCTATGGAAGAGAGACTGCTGGATGTGGTCTGGTGCAAATGGCGAAAGTAAAACCCGTAACCACCTGAAAATGAAAGCAACAAAACCAACCAAACTCACTAAGTGTTAACACATACAATTTTCAATCACACAATCAACAGAAAATGCAGAGTTGCCACCCAGTTCTTTGCTGCAAGTATTTCAGCACTCTGGATATCTGGAATTGCACGGCAGTAAGAGAAAAGCATCATCAGTCCACATGCACTACTATTGTCAATTTGACACTGAGACACACCATTGTTCTGGAATTGCATTTGACGCTGTAGAACAGTTAAGTCTTATCTTTGAACGTGGCTTTTTCACCTCTGCCCTGAGCATTTCTCATAACTGGATGCAAACAAAACTAATCAAGAATTGCTACAGTCGGAGAAAACAGCAAACTGCACTTGGGCAGCTTCTATTCATTTAAGGTAAACATTAAAAGCTGTAAAGGCAGTTGTAGATGCTCACGATATATCATGTCACAAGAGATACTGATAGCTTCCTTAAACAAGAAAACTCACTGAAGGGAAACCAGGGGGTTTTTCTTTAAGAATTCTTTTAAAGCTTAATTCTATTACACATCATCAGCAACAACTCTAAACTCCTTTTCCTGACTTTCTCATTCAATCAAAGGGATATCTGATGATCAAGATTCCACCAAGAAAGAGCATCAGATATCAGATCCTTAACAGCTGAATGAATGAAAGAAAACTAGGAATGCATCGCTTGGCCAATGTCATTTAAGCACATCAGGTAAGGGAGTTAATTAGCACTTAGAAAGCTAAAATAAGTCTAAGTAATAACACTATATATGCTAAGCTGGAGGAAGTGGAGTAGGCTTGCCTGTCCCGTGAGTGGTTAAAGACCCTGATCTGTCCATGACGGTAGATGAACTTTGAAATCTGGTATGGCTTTAGGGAGATGTGAAATGGAGACCAAGTTTCTTGTCGCTCAAACAGCTCTGGGTGATTGCACACCTGTAAGAAAGAGAGCATGTCAAACACTGGGAAGAATTAATTTAGTCTGATGCAGCACTTATGTCCCAAATCAACTATGACTATTGATCACTAAAGCTTTAATATTGATTATTATGTCACAGCTATTTTAGTGTATCTGCTCAAATTTGAATACTGTATCTTTTCCTATTCACATAACAGCTACTGCCTCTTCTTCCCAAGTGAATTATTTCCTTCAGCAATCAGTTTGTAACTAAACCAGTTAGCAGATGCATGCACCATTTGCCTACAGCTCTTATACCCCCACATCATGCTACACTGCATCAGAAACACAACTGAGTTGCATGCAAATTTGCTTGCCTATGCCAGAATTTTTTTTATATGGTGTTTTCTAGAAGTCATATTTTAGTTCTGTGCTAATAAATGATTATACTTTCTTAAAATTATTACTTAAAATAGCCTTACCTTCCTGAATTGCATGACTAGATTCATGAGACTACTAGTAGTAGTCTGTGCTTGCTGAGTAGTGCCCATTGAGGACTGCAGTAAGTCATCAATAGAGATTTTGTTTTTCAGAGCTTGGTACAACAGCTTCTGTCGACTTGTCTGCTGGCAGTACATAAGAATTTCAATCTGCAAAACAGTAAAGAAGATTCAGCCTTTTCTATTTCTGAAATGGAGGATGACCACATCAGTACACACAAAGCAGAGAGGAACATATCTTAAGGAAAACATAACTTTCTCAAAAAACACATGTACAGGCAGTTGCTTTCATATCTGTATTTCAGGATCCAGCCTGGGAAGGACTTAACCAATAGGTGTGTTCTGGAAGGCTTCGGTAATGATGTAAGAGACAGACCTTTAAAAGCATGTGAGCACAACTGACTAAACAGATTATTAAGAAGCTCTGAAAACATCATATTTGCAGCTGATCAGCTTAAAATCTGACCTCGATTCTCCTGTCCTACTGTTAAAATGCTACCCATTTAGAGCCAACTTAAGCAGGTGCCAGGAGCCCATGATAATGGCAGGTGCATCACGTAACAACTGCATCTGTGGGAAGTCCTAGTTTTGAAAATAGTAAGCACATCAGAACAAAGTATGTCTCTTAGCCAGTGGTCCCAATATCTGGGGACATGCTGACCGCAAGATCATCCAGTATTGCTAACATCCACATGAAATTAAGAGGCTAAGAAGAAAGAAGAGTATGATGTTGCCACTATGCATTTCTTGCTCTGTACAAGCAAGCAAGGTTCCTAAATCCATGCCACTTTGCAAAGGCAACTGTAGATGTTTATCACCCAGTCACTGCTGTATCAATCTCCTTCACTTCAATTAGTGATATTTCTGTCAACTTAATCAGGCTTAAAGATTTTTTTATTTCTAACTATTAAAATGTTTTCTCTAGAAGTTTATTAATTAGGGGTTGTTCAGTTACATTCACATCTAGTGAGATTGCTGGGACACGGTGCCAGAAACTGGAGGTCTGTGAAAGGTCTACAATCAAATTCCAGGTTTGCAGACTGACCAATGAGTTTGCAAAAACCAGAGTAGAGAACGGACGGAGCTATGACAATAAAGTTGAAATACTCATTTCAGATAAATACTTTTTCTCACCTTATCTGACAGCTCATTTTCCACATCCTTCTTGATTCTTCTCAACATGAAAGGCTTCAGGATCATGTGCAAGCGGGATAGCTGGTCTGAAATACAGGGAATGGGGAAGAAGGAACAATTATTGCACCAAAGATGAGAACTATATGGTATTTTATTACAAATTAAATCTCTTACTGCTCAGCCATTTCCCCCCATATAAGTTCTTACAGCACAGAGTTGTTATTTCTCTGTTAATTTTTCTTTTTTTAAATGGGTGATGAGCTACACTGTTTAACTTCTATATCTAAAGGTTTGCTTCAAAGAATGAACTTCTAAAGCATTTTATGTGTTCTGTGTTCCCCTGGACTCAACAATATGCGCTTAAATTTATCACTGTTAGTGAAGAAGAAAGTTTCAGATGAGATATTGCTAATTCATGAAGAGAGATCATTACAGTTTTAAGTCCTGCCCCTGCCCCCCCATTTATACCATCACAAGAACAGGACATACTGAATTGACAGACAACTGCACTCCTTACAATAACCTGTAAAAACAAAGTTCTGGATGAGAACTCCTAAAGCCTTTACTTTTGTGAAAAGTTTAAACTGTGCTGTGTTCTACTCCAGTTACAAATCAGCTATTCTACCTAACTAGATCTATCTACATAACTATCCCCTAAAATTTACTGTGAAGATTTACTTTTTAAAAAAATAATTTTAATGCAATTTTCCTGAAGCTCAAAAGGTGTTTAGGGATTTGTGTCATAATTTTTTGTCTAGAGCTTGCAACACACTCAGGAGATCTCCAAGATGATGTGCTCTGTAGAAATTTAGAAATACTTAAAATATGTGTTCTTCTGTGTTTGGGAAGGAGGAGGACTGGAGATAAGTAGCAAATCAACATTTTAACTTTTTTTTCCTATTCATTATACATGTTATGTAACAGTCAGAAACACAAGCTTTGACATAAAGGATGGACAACGAACAGTAACATTTCAAACCCATTAGGCACCCTCTGCTTTAGATGACATTTCTCATGCAAAAATGAGACAAAACTTATCCATTAGCAGTTGGAAAAGGCAACAGATTTTTAATATAAAAAATACTGCAATTACACACTGCACTCACTCTCATCAATGGCAGATTTGTTCTCTGCATGGCTCTCGATGTCCTTAGAAAACCACTCATTGAACTCTTCGTGGGAATCAAACAGTGTTGGCATAATAAAATGCAGCAGGGCCCACAGCTAAATGGAGAGAAGAAAACAGTAGATAAAGCAAAAGTCACCCTACTGTTGACAAGGTATTTGGAGATCCCAAACCCTTGCAGCTCTTTATAGGCACAATCATTTTACTAGATCATGAAACATGGCAAAATTAAACAAAACCCAGCTGCATCCTCTTCCTCCCCAACACCACCCCTCCCACCCTGAAAGAATGACCAATATATCAACTTAATAAAATACCATTAGAAAGCAGTAAGAAACACAGCACTATGATTACAGCCAACAGAAGGAAAACACAAAAATTAGATTTCATCCTGTAATCTAGGTATTACTAATCATTAGGTAGCTTCAGTTTTACTTTTACTTGACTGTGTGGCACATTTCCCAATTTTCACCTCCTAGAGCTGATCCCGTGTTTTCTACAAGCATGATCCCACAACCACACAAATGCAACATTTCACTGTTCACATATATTTAGTATATATTCTTGTTATAAAGAAACATCCACTCTTGTGAGCTCCTGAATACCTCAGCCATCGTGTTCTGGATTGGGGTCCCAGTCAACAACAATCTGTTTCGACACTGGAACTGTAGTAGGATCTTCCAACGAACACTGATAAATAAAATTAAGAAAAATCATTAAAAATGCTTTTTGTAGAAGGATATGAAACAAAGAATTTTAAGACCAATTGCTTCCAAGTGACCTTCCCAAATGATTTTTGGAGGTCACTGGGTAAAACTATCACAGCTGCTCCCCAGTCTTTCAAAAGACAATTACAGGAAGAAGTAGCCTTTTACAAATTACAAAGAAACGTGCATAAATTATTTTATTTTTCTAAGTATCTCTATTAATTTTTAATACAAATGCTTGGATACTAATAAAATCTTGTGGTCAGAATAATTAACTTCCCAAAAGAAAATTATGTACCAGAATGACACATATTTTTCAGACTTTACAACACTAAGTGTATGAGCTACTGTAGCAGGAGTGCTGAGCTATACATTACAATCCTCTTAGAGGAGCAGTTTCCAAAGAATGCTGAAGAGACAGACTTCAGTCAGAATTAGTCTGCATCTAAAGCTGTCTTCAATTTACTGTATACAGTGGCAACCTGGACAAAGGTTATGGGAAAGCAATTACAGAAGTAAAGACGAACAAATCCATTTCTTGAAAACAAGCAGAAAGCTTTCTGGCACAGTCTCTGATGAAAAAGACTGAGCTTTATTGCAACCAAGAGTATTCACAAGGTTCTGACCTTCATTTGTGTCTGGAAGTGCCACTGAAAAAGGAATCAAAACAATTCATTTAATGAAGCCAATATAAGCAACATATGCTAAAGACTACAGACTGTTTACTAGGCAGAATTCTGTGTGGAGTCAGGACAGAAGGTGAACAGCATTTCTGGCTGCTTTGATTAACTGTCCTGCACTCCATGAATGTTTCTGCTCCACAGTTCCTTTTTAATTACATTTTACACATTTGGAGAAGGAAAATCTAAATGCAAAAAACTAGTCGATCAATCCAGTGTCAGAGATTTATACACATACTTAACTAGGTTAGACACTAGGGTCTTATGTGTGTCGATTTTAACATCTATCAATTTATGTAATCCTGATTCTTGATATACCTTCATGAAGTTGACAGAGAGGGAAGATTTTCTTTCCAGTTAATTTATTACCTGGAGCTACTCTTGAGTGCTTGTGCTTCATCCAGTACCATATATTGCCACTTCACTCGCTGGAAATACTTCACATCCTGTACTACTAGCTGGTAACTGGTAATCACCACGTGGAAAGGAGCATCCTGAGTATACAATGTCTTCTATAACCACAGAATAAGAAACAAATGTCCACATAATGTAAGTATATTGTGAAGAGTTCACTTGTGTATACCGTAATTTCAGACTTCTGTTTCATAATCTTTTCTCATTATTACTGCATTTTTTCTCAGCTGACTTTTAAAACTAATTACAGCATAGTTATTCAACTGGTGGATCTGGACTTCAGCCCATTAGTCTGAACAATTTCTGATGCTTCTTAATGTGCCAGACAAGACCCAGGCACTGAACCCCGCAAAATGCTGTTGTTAAATCAGGACCAATCTGACAGGCCTGCAGGGATGCTAGACTTGGGCATCCTGAGTTAGGTTATTCAAACAGAATAAACAATCCTTGACACTGAAACTTCCTGCTTTATTTACAGAGCTCTAGTTTCTTCACCTGAACTCCACACTGCCCTGAATTGCCCTGTACCGTATTGCTCTCCAGCACAAGAGAGGCCTTCTACCTCATTATCTTAATGAAAATGCTACTATATGGATGAAGAAACAGAACTCTGTGTCCACCCGTTGTTTTATCTTGGTGGCTTGTAGCAATGGTTTCTGATTTACTCTGCAGAAATAACAAAAGGCGGTCAAAGCACAGAGGCATGCTAGTATTACCTGACTCCAGAACTTCCTGATCACCTTTCTATCGTGGGGATTTCCCCAGTAAGGTAGGACCTGGAACAGTACAAAAGCAGAAAGACATTATTTTAAAATAAAGACATACCTGCTCTAGAATTTTTTACTTTGTATTCTACAAAATAAGAAAGACAGACCTCTTTCTCCAAAACAATGAAAAGAGAAATTATCTTTCTTAACACAGAGAAAAATCAGAAAGCACTTAAAAATACTTAGAACCAGAGCACTCCAGGCAAATGTATAAAACAACTTAAGCTTAGTACTAAGACCAGCTATGCTGAGAATCTCAAAATTGCCCAGTAGCATTACACCTTCTGGTCAGGTTTTTCTAAACATTAAAATTGGAAATTAAAGTTAAAAATGATACTTTGCTTACGGCAGAAAGAGGTCTGCCCTCAACTGCTACAGTTAACCCTACAGGACTAGTGGGCTCATTCTTCTGTTTAACATTCCCCACTGTCCCATTGGTTTTGTATTTCAGAACTGTCCCCAGAAATCTGAGATGAAGTTAAAACATCTAGTTGATCTGGACATATTTTATATAAGAATTCTAAGAAATAAGCACTACTGCCAGAGAAATCTGTTAATCTGTTTATGGCTCAGAATTTCACGGGTCCCATTGCTCAGAACAGATTCTTTGCCCTGCACTGAAACCAGAGTTCCTGGTTAATTATACTGTACTGCCATCTTCTGTCTGATGGAAGGACTACACCCAACTAAGACAAAGTGAGAAATGCCAATTTCGGAGATTGTGAAAGGTCTTAAACATCCCCATCCTTCAACTGACAAGCTCCAAATTTCAAAGTGCCTTTAGTCGAATATTCTTCCAACTGTTCTGAAATAAGGAAAAAACAGACTAATAAAAAAAATTATTTGCCTTTCAGTTTACATATTCTGCCATGGACCTGAAGAAATTAATTCACTGTGGTTTACTACAAGCATGATTGACTACACATTTTGGTATGATTACAAGCACAAACAAAACCGGTTGAAACAGATTGCTTGAAGTTGTAAACATTTGACAATCTTAAGTTCAGAAAACTTATTTTTAAAACATGTTCTGTTCCATGGATGAGGTAAACATTACTATGCAATAAACCCAAAGAAAAGCTATATGATGACAGACACAGTTTGGGGCTTTTTTAAATCAAAAAAGGGAAAATTATCTTTTCACAAGCATCCTGACCACATTTTTAAAACTTTTTCTGTATTTTATTCACGGGAAGGAGAAAACATAAACAGCTGCTCGCCTTTTCTATACAATGAACTGATTAAAGGAAATGAGAGAGAGTAGGTAAAATGGCCAACTTCTCCAGTGTTTTCTACTCCAGGGTTTTTAATCAGGGCCCCTATTATTCTGGGCTATGCAAATACATAAATGTATTATTTTTAGGGTTTTTTAAAGTAACTCCTCCCTAGCTTAAGTATTTCTATTTCTTCATCAGTTTCTTTGAAGTCTCAGTAGTCCCAATTTATCCCAAAATATATTCCAAAACATATAGATGTCCCAGTTTATCCCAAAATACTCAAATCATCCAGTATTGAACTGTGTTCTAGCACTTCTCATACAGATACCTCAAACTATACACCACCATAACTAACACACGGGCTCATCAGGGATCTGCAGAGCAAGCTATGTGGTAAAAGGTAAGTCCTTTAATACTGCTGTACTCCAGATCAATAGATCAAATACTACTTCCAGTAATACTTTCAAGTCTTTTCTTCTACCTTATTAAGTAGCCAAGACATTCAAACAATTAGCTTGGATGTTACTGGTATACTGGTTACTTATAACTAGGTGTCTTGTACTGTTCTCAGTAAAAAAGAAAATCAGATGCTTAAACAAAAATGATCCATATTTCTCATACCAAAGGTTACTATGTTAACAACTCAACTATTTAAATTATAATCTATTCAGCTTTGCAGATGTTACCACAAGTGTCTGACACTTTTGTCTATCTCTAATTCTAAAATTTCAGCAGTACATGCTCTTTTCAAATCTTCCTTTGCAACACTCCAATGTTTTCCACTGGGGAATAGGTTGGCAGCTTGTTTTTCAGTAACTGATTGTTCCTTGCTTTCTACCTTACTATGCTTTCACATTCACAGTATACCTGAAGAACTCAACTTATGTTCTTCTGATTTTTTTGTTCTTATCTAATTGTGCCTCACATCTCTCCTTTTTCTTGATTACTGGCTGTACGTCTACAGTTCTTCTAATTTTCTGTAATAACAACTGCATTCCCTCTAATCTGTTTAGAGTTCAGTTTTGTTCACATACAATCTTTATCCTACTCAAATTGATGTGAATGACTGAAAACACTGCTCTAACCCTAAAGATAGTACATAAAATTGAAATATTATTCTCTAATCTGCTGCCAGGCCCACACATCAGAACTGAACATCCACTCCCTGCACCGCTTCAATTCCTCACTGAGGAGGTGCCTTTAAGCTGATGCAAAATGAAAATCATGTGCTTCAAGTAAGATCATTTTTTAAGACCTAGATAATTAAATGCTCCAGAAAAAACAGGATGATGGGGGGGAAAAAAAAAAGGCAGAATCAGATCCATTACAGAGTTTCAAATTCCAAGATAATTAGGCACCCAAATGTGGCAAAGAACTCAAGAGAACAAAACAGCCTGCTTTTGAGAAAACAGAACTTTCTTGCGCATGCTTATTACCTTAAATTTAGGTACAAATCTGGCGAACTCCTGATGCCAGTTGTTAAGAGTAGAGGCAGGTGAAATTATTAAAAAAGGTCCCCAGATGTTCTCTCTCTAGAATACAGAAATTAAAAATAAAGATTAACGACACCCACAAATTAATTGAGAGGAAAGGATACAGAGACAGTTTGATACAGCTTTACAACTACTAAATGACAGTGGCTACATAAGAGACTGAACTATATCCAACATAGCAAAACATCCTGCACAGCAGGGTGATACAGAATCAAACAGAGCAGATCTAATGTTTAACTAAGACTTAATTTTGTAACAGCAAAGTCACTTCCAGAACAATCTCCTTTGTTTCTGGAAGTTGCCAACTTCACATTACTAACAGCCCCTGTCATTCTGGGGAGGAAGAGAACTTCAGGTGGCATTAGAAAGCTTTGCTCCATCACATCACATCAGAATGCCCTCTGGTGAATAACAAAGCTGACCCATTAGTGTATTAGTAGTTACAAGCTGGCCTGCACAAAGGAGAGCCAGAAAAAGTAAAAGCTCTGGGCAGGCTTCTAAAAATCTCAGGTTTCAGTACTACAGGGAGACGAGCCTATCTGTTATCCCTTCCATACAGAGGAGCTCAAGGGCCTTCAGCTCTGCACACCCTTCCAGTATTGTGGCCAATAGTGCCAGTGGACTGTTATCAAAAGGAACATAAACAAATGCACATAATTGTCATTTGGACACTACTGCAGCTAATTCTGCTTTCAGTATCACTTGGTTGATATCTCCTATTTAAGGCAAGTGACTGGGTGCCAGTCAAGACTTTTTTTTCCTTCAAGAAAGATACCAATTTCTGCATGAAGTAGTAAGCTCCTGTTGCTTTTTCTGTTTTGTTTGTCTGCCTTGGCACAGAAGAATCACTACGCTTCCTTAGAATACCCTACTGAAATATGAAAATCCATGCTGATTGCCATGAAGCTCAAAATTTGGGCTTCATTTCTACAAGTCGCTCGGATTTGTAAAACTCAGTGAACCAGGAAGTGTACAACTTGTGCTCTCATCAGGCTTTTACATTCAGTGTAAGTGAAAAGTTGATTCTCTGTAAACAAATTAAAATTCTATTTTTATTTACATATATTTATATATACAAACACCCCCCCCACATCCATTTCAAAGGCTCCACTTTAAAACAAAGGTTAAAATGCCTTTTAAGACATTTAAGCTTTATAATCTAGACTTCATTTCCAACATGTGAAAAATATGCATCTTCTATCAAGCATACTGACCAGGAAAAGCTCAACCTACCTCAGCCAGATGTGCAAGGAGAGCAATACTTTGTACAGTTTTACCCAGACCCATTTCGTCTGCCAGGATTCCATTGATGCCCTGCAAAAGATCCATAAGTGAACACCTTCACATTACTACTTTTTAATCCATGCAGGACTAGCAGAACAGCTGCCACTGAATTTAGGAGGAGCAGTCCCACTAACAACTCTGAAACACCTTACTGTCTCTTACATCTTCTACTAAGAGATAATTTATCTCAACTACACTTTCATTTCTCAGTCTGATTTTTCCTCCCTCAGCCTGTCTGCATTCCGTGATCACACTGCAAACTGGGTACACACACAAGGACAAGGCTGCCTGCAGTTTACCAGTTGACACAAGACTGAAACAGGATGCAGTTCCAAGCAGCAAAATTCTCCTCAGGGTATAATCCAAGTGATAAACAGCTATATAAACATCCACAAAGAACCTCAAACTTAATGCCCCGAAGTTATTATTTCCTAAATAATCAAGAATACTGATATGTGGCTTACATAATACTTTCCTTTCTTCTAAAGGCATTACAGACTGAGCATATATGTGGCCCGTTTTTAAAACCAGTTATTCTGGTTTTTAACCAAGTTTACTCTAGTGACTTAAGTAATCCTAGAAGTTTTAAAATTTTGCAAGATGTACTCAGATACCTGCTCATATAGGTTGGCCAGCCAATTCATGCCTTTCAGTTGGTAACCTTTCAGTTTTCCATTGAAAATGGTAGGCTGTGGAATATCTTCTCCTGCTCTGATAGACGGGTTTGCTAAACTGTAGCTCTCTCCAAAGCCAGTACCGGATTTGTTAGCAGCCCGTAAAGCAGCTGCCCGACTCTCTTTTGCATCTTCATCAAATGATCTGGTCTAAAAAGGAAAAGGAAAGTATGCATAAAATGAACTTAGTAATTTATCAAGAAACTGTATAATAAAAGGCTTGACATTTCACATTAATACATAGGATGTCTGCCAGAAACTAAGAGAAAACAAGACTGTTCCTATAGCACAGGTCTTTATATTCTGTTTTTCTACCCGTCTAACACAGAAAGTGGCAGTGGAATTAAATTCAAATCTGGTACCCAGGATTAAACAAAGCTACTTGACTCGGCTGCTATGAAAGATCTTGGTTCTGTGGCCTCTAAAATTACTCTGTTATCTCTTCTACTTCATGGATCCAAAAAATACGTACCCTGGCCTGATGAATCTGGTAAGCATCCTCAGCATTCTTCAGAGCTTGGGCCTTGTAATAGTTACTATCTGAAAACAACATCTCCACGTTAGAGCTCTGCAGCAGTAACCAAATTAACACACAGATAAATTCCAGTAATTATAGGAGTGCTTCTTACACAGAAGGATTTTGTACTTGAAATTGTAAATTTGCACAACATGAGGAGTACAGTAAATTTCAAGAATTTGCACAGGAGGGATTACAGATGAACCGCTTACCATAATCTTCTTGGGTGATGTTGACTACCACTCCTCCACCAATATCAATCTGCCTTTGGGTAGAGCTGTCTTCCAGTTTGCGTAGGATTTCCTCCTGTATTCCATCATGTCCAATATCTCGTTTGCGACTCATAAAATGGGCATATAATTCAGTTTGTGTGATCAGGAAGTTAAGTTTTCGCTGCTGTCTCTTAGCCTAAGAGAAAAGCATTTACAAAAAACAAATGAAAGGGAAAATAAACAGGACAAAAGTTTAATGTTTAAAATATCATTGAAGAAAAAAATTTTAATTTAATAATATATCAACAACTAATTTATCTAGATTATGTTATGCACCATCACTGATAACAAAATATTAGAATACTAGTTGCACATAAGAATACTGATCACCACCATAAACACCTGTATTAAAATATAAAATTGTTGTAAATGAAAAGTTCTTTTAAATTCAGTAATCATGGCAAAGAACACCGTAATCTAGTAAAAGAAAGTTTAGAAGTTTTGCTTTCATTGAAAAATTAAATTAAAAGATTGACAAAAATAACCAGGATTTTAGTGGTCTACAGCAAAAGAACTCAACAGTTAAAAAAAAAGCTCTCATGACAGCCTAACTCCAACATTATGTTATTTTCTAGTAAAGAGAATTACGGTATAACACATGAAATACATCACTAGGTAATACAGTTGAGATATTAGCATTGTTTGGCATTTAGCAGGGCATTGCAGGAACTCTGTTCATTCTTAGGTTCTGGTTAAAACATGCTATTGTTAGAAGCTGTCTATTAATCTAAATCAGCTGAAACCTTCACAAAATGCTCATGAGTTTACAAGAATCACAGAATCAGAACAGTTTGGATTGGAAGGGACCTTAAAGACCATCCAGTCCCACCCCCCCCTGCCCCGGGCAGGGCCCCCTTCCCCCAGCCCAGGGGGCTCCCAGCCCCGTCCAACCTGGCCTGGAACCCTTCCAGGGAGGGGGCAGCCACAGCTGCTCTGGGCACCCTGGGCCAGCGCCTCACCCCCCACACAGGGAAGAATTTCTGCCTTAGATCTCATCTAAATCCCCCCTCTTTCAGTTTAAACCTGTTACCCCTCATCCCATCCCTATAATCCCCTATCCAGAGTCCCTCCCCCCCTCTCCTGCCCCTCCTTTAAGCCCTGGGAGGCCGCTCGAAGGGCTCCCCGGAGCCTTCTCTTCTCCAGGCTGAACCCCCCCAACTCTCTCAGCCCGGCCTCCCAGGGGAGCTGCTCCAGCCCCCCCAGCATCTCCGTGGCCTCCTCTGGCCCCGCTCGAGCAGCTCCGTGTCCTTCTGCTGTTGGGGGCCCCCGAGCTGGCCCCAGCACTGCAGGGGGGTCTCCCCAGAGCGGAGCAGAGGGGGAGAATCCCCTCCCTGGCCCTGCTGCCCCCCCTGCTCTGGCTGCAGCCCAGGGCACGGGTGGGTTCTGGGCTGTGAGCGCACATTGCTGGCTCACAGGCACTTTTCCATCCACTAATACCCCCAAGTTCTCCTCAGGGCTGCTCTCAATCCACTCCTCGCCCAGACTGTGTTTGTGCTTGGGATTGCCCTGAGCAGGACCTTGCACTTGGCCTTGCTGAACTTCATGAGGTTTGCATGCATCCACCCATGAGAATTAGAGGCACAGAATAAATAAGAGCATAATTTAAGCATAAAACTAAACATAAGGTATTCTAAAGATTCAGGCTTAGCTCATCACCGCACATGTAAGGTAACAACCATAAATCCCCTATAGACCTCTGACAAGGAAGCTTTTTCTTAAATTCAACCCTTATTACTCTGTAAAGGAGTCCATGAAGCTGTCACCTGGCCAACAAAAAAAGCAATCACAGAAAAATTCTGTGCTCCATACATAAATTACAACATCAGTTTACAGCAGGGGAAAAAAGGAGGGGGGTTAAAAAAAAAGTAAATAATTCCATGTGAATGAAAAGGTGGCTTGCCTTCTGTACCCAGAATGATGTACAAACCATCACTAAAGGTTGGTCCTTACCAACACTGTGTTATGTATGTCTGTGAGACGTGCTGCTTCTCTAATCCCTTCCTCCACTTCACTTACTTGTAAAGGATTTATGCAGTTTGAAGGCTTTTTTAATCACCTCTAGCTAACATTAGAAGAATTATGTAAAGAATTTTAAGATAGCAGAAGGAATACATGGATTATTGCTGAAACAGAAGAAATGACTGAATTTCATGGCCTGGATTTAGAAACTCAAATTATCTGGTCACTTCTGTGTCTCTTCAAGAGATTAACTGTCAGCAAGCTGTGTTTTTGCTGTACCTCTCTCATCTCTTCATCCAGCTTGCGTTGCTCCAGAGCCTCTTTCTCAGCTCGTTTGCGATGTTCTTTTTCTACCTTTTCATACTTTTTCCAATAGAGAAGCATCTCCTTGGTAAGACGACGTGCCCGTGGTAGAGTTTCCTTACAATTTTTCTGGGCCTGGATAGCAGCTCGACGTACCTCCCTCATGCACTGATGGGCAAGCTAGAGAGAAATAAGGTTTTGGAAACAATGGTAAAATGGGCAGATTTTAAAGAAAGCCAGCAATAAACACCACCAAACTTAATTATAACCAAGTCTGATCCTTCACAAGAAGAAAAACTTTACTCAGCAGTAATGCTTCTGAAATGGCGTAAGGGAATGAGAACTTCCAGAAACCTCCTGAGATGGTGAAGACAAAACCTGATGACAGTTTCAGCATGGTATGGTAATTTAAAGGATTGCCCTGGTGGGTAGGGCCTTGAAAGGGACTCAGCAGATCAGAGTTCAAGGTCTGCCTGCAACTCTGACTCACCTATTCTAGACGTTTTTCTGTGGTTCTTTTCTCACTGTTTTAATAAGGCTGCTGCAATAGCAGTATTGGTGGAACACAATCCCATTCACCTTAATACACCGAAAAGCAGAGGGGGGTATCCTACAGTTTTTCTACCATCTCATGAAGAAACATAATACAACATAGCTTTTTGTTCTAGTATAAATAAATTAATGCCATTGTCATAATGGTCAAAATTGCTGGGTTTGGTATTTGTGACAGGGTTTTTTTCTGCCACTAAAATTTGCACATCAACAATTGTAACACACAGATTTCAAGTGATCAAACAAAAACAAAGGAAAAAAAGTGGAATTTCAAAACCTCTAGGTCTGTTGCATCACTCACTTGCTAAAATGCAATTTCTGATACCTACAAATACAATAATCCCAAGCTATTTGCCCAGACATCACAAAGAAGTCCAGTCTCTACTAACTAAGGAGGACCATAGGAAAGAACCTAACCACAGCAAAGTTTCTTAAATATATACATGCAGGTCCCGTTTTCTGCATCCTTTACACAGAAAATGCTCCCTTTCTTCATAATGTATATACAGAATGGAAAATTTCCTACATCGTCTTGTCTCTGATGATTCTCAGCGATATACCTGGTTACCTTTTCATTAGCCATATAAATGAACCAGACACTTGAACATAACACCTGAAAAATGCTCAGAAAGCCACTACCAAGTGTTCCTAAAGTAAAGCCTTCTAGGTAGAAACAATGACACTTCTGAGAGAAGACTCTGATGAGAAGATGAATTCCTTTTGCAATCACTTAAGCAGAAAATGGATCTATTTTTAATCTCAGCTCCTATATATATTTATGTAAATTAACACATTCAATATCCCAAAAGCCCCTTTGATCTAGACAAGAATGCTTAAACCAGAAAATTCTAGTTAGTGGCAGTTCAAAAGTCAAAGTGTACCAAAGTCATTAATTTATTGTATCAAAGATCAGTAAATGAAAAATATATAAACTAAATCTTATGAAAGCCAAAAAGATCCCGTGAAGGAAATTCAAGTTGCTTATCTCTTCCTTATGAAACATGTCAAAATGACACATCTAAAAAGTGAAAAGCCTCATACTAAGTGACAAATATGTGCTTTCTCCTATACTGCCCTGCTAGCACAGTCAGTATTCTAAGAAACAGAAGAAACATAAAGAGGTTACAGTGTACTTGTTACATCCAGTACACATAACAATATAAAGCTAAACAACACTCACCTTTTTGCTGTTGGTTAGGAAAAGGTTGCGGGCTGAGGCTTTTTGTTTGTATGCCTATAAAAGAATACCATCTTACAATTAGTTAAAAGGTTAACGGCTTCACAGTACTTTAAGAGATCACTATCCAGTCTTCAGCAGATACATGTGCCAACTTCATCCATACACACTATTGTATAATTGGTTACAGGTACTGCAAGTATTTTTTATTTTGAGTAAAACAACTTTTTAACCTTAATTAGTGAAGGCATACATAAATGTGTTCCAACTCCTGAAGGAAGCATGTAAAACACCTCCTTTTTCAAGATAATTTCTTTAATTACTACTATCACAAAGCATGGTAGTAGTAATTAAAGATGTTAACAATTAATGTAGATCCTGTGTTCCTTACGTGATCAAAACCAGTCTTTATCATACTGCACATGTCCTTTCCCTGGCTTATGAATTTATAAAGGATGACATAGTAGCCATCACTCATATTTGACTTCTTAGAATTCAAAGTCTGTTAACCATGCACTCAGCAGGTTGTAAGGTCCACTCTGGTCACAGCTCAGAATACTAGCGACAGAGAACCCAGCTGCCCATTTCAAATGTGCCTGAAGCTTGTTTTGTAAATGATACAAACACTTTTCCTTAGACTGTTTCTGAAATCAGTTTCAAAAAAACACACATGCTACAATGATTGAAACATTCCTTTCCTCAACTTTTCGTAAAACCTAGAGCTACAGGATAGTTCTACATAGCTATCCTGTAGAATAGAAGGAGTTTCTGGTAGAGTTTACCGTACTATTCATAGAAAAGGGTGGGATAGGCAAATGAAAGCAGTGGCAAAGCACTGCATGATCTACTTAGATATCATTGGCGATAAGAAATTCGAACTACACTTTGCTTACAGATTACAGAATATCAGTTTGGTCGTTAATGACCACCAGAAAAATCAGGTCTTACTTCACCCCATTTTTCGAAGTGTCAAATCCCCACTAAGTTAATTTTCTATTTAACTTCCTTGCTATCATCACTGATCTAGTGTCATTAGCCAAGCTCACCTTCGGCAACTCCTTTTTAACAATGCTAAGCCACACTTTCCGCCGACGTGCATTAAGTTGCTCAATAGTCAAATGCTTTTTCTTGGACCCAGGTGGTGGTGTATCATGAGAAAACTTGGCAAATACTTTGGTCTGGTGATGGTGGCGTCGTGGTGACTCCTCTGAAGAGAGTTCTTCATCCCGTCTCCTCTTTTTCTTTACTTTTTTCAACTTGCCTGTATGGCAACAGCAATCATAGAAGTCAATTTCTTTTTCTATTTTTGGCATACATTTAGTCAGGTATCTTTCTTGAGTAAACTATCCTAGTCAGTTTATGTGTGAAAACAACAAAAAAGCCAAACTTATCCATGTTTGCCAATTCTGGTACCATCCATTTATCACATTAGATATTTCCTCATTACTTTATAATGGGAAGATTTTCCTGTTTAGTTTTTCCACCCAGAAAACATGCCTTATGAATCAAAATGTCTGGGACCTGGTGCAGTGTTTTCTGCTTTGCGGTAAAATTCTACTTAAAAACATGTAAAGATAAGACATTTAAAGGTAACTGCATTAGCATTCAGTAAGGTAAGTCTCAAACTGAACTCAGCAGTTGAAAAAGACTGGCATGTTGTCATGTATTACAGATACCAGCTTTCAGAGGAAATTGATACTGGTATCAGATATTAAAAATATTCTTTGCGAGTATGCAAAATCATGGATGCTGCAAGATTAGTGGAGAAAATAAAATACACAGTTAAAGGAACTTGCAGAAAGATAGGAAGGAAGGAAGCCCAAAATAGCCCCCTTAAAACACAGCTCAAACTTAAGTACTTGCGCTAGAGAGAATTCACCTCACACTGACAGTTCATAGCCTTCTCTTCCTGCTTCCTTACAGATTTACAGCTGCTGCCAGCAAAATCAAGACAGGAAACTGTACACTTCCTGGCAAACATGCATCTGAGAAACTCCAGCTGAGAGGTAACAGAAGTAATTCTATTTTAACTCACATTAGACATCAGTTCTGAGTTCCCTCCGATTTCCAGAAAACATTCTCACTCCCTATCATTTCTTGTTCGCTAAAATGACATATTGAGGAATAACTGCAGCAGGTACTGGGTAAGTTCTTACATTTTTTCAAAGAACTACCATGTTTTCAAAAATCTCTGCATAAATGGACCATGACACACAACTGTATTTATGGATTCCAAAGCAATGAATAAAGCTACAAGGTACTTAACTGCATAACTCTTTCATTCTAGATTCAGAGGTCCACAAAGAAAAGCTAAAGCCATGAACTCTCAATTCACACTCCTTTTTTTCACCCCAGCTTTCGGAAGCCAGAAGATAAAAAGCACAGTATTTTCTGAAGAGTTTTTTCTTTGACAGAACTGAGTATTTCCATGAAAAACTCCAAAGTTCTGAACACTTATGCTTATTCAAATGAAATAATATAGGAAAGAAGTTTAACCACAACAGCCATTTAAAAACACGAGGTTAGTGACTTTACCTTTTAATTTTTTCTCTTCTTTAAACTTCTTTTTCTTGGGCCCTAGCAGGTGGCGCTGCTGTTCATAGTAGGGATCATGTGTAGACAGCAGTCCTGCACTGTAGTACTGATATTGCTGCAACTGAAGTGGACGTAAATGAGCACAGTAATGGAAAACAGATACAGCAGATAAGACAGACAGCAGGTAAACAAGTTCAGATCTTCATCATAAGAGATCGGAAAACATGCACTTCTCCATATCTAGCACTGTTATCAAGGATCATAGTGTCCAAAGTGAAACCACTGCTCCCAGAGGTGGCCTCCAAGTTCTACACAGGGGGCCAAGACCACCCAGTTAAGTAAGATGGGAAGAGGGAAGCTTACACTTTCAAAGCACACTGCTCTACCTTCCCCACAGGGGTGCTGCCCAGCAAGACAGCACTCTACAAGAGGTGGCCCAATTACAGACCTCCTATTCCTTTTGCTTGCATTCCCAAATTACGTATCTGTTCTAATGTATCATTCCAAATGATGTAAAAGAATGGGTTTAGATAAAAAGCATTTAAAAGATTTCCACTAGGACAAACAACTTGAACATTCAGGTTGTCAAGTAAAAATACAGCTGCCTCAGCATTTTTTCCCCCAAATTATCAAAAAAATCAGTATATTCCAAGCATTATTCAACTAAAATATTAAACAAATATATACAGATTATGTATAAGCAGGCAAATTTAAGACACTACAGGTCAGAAATTAACTATTTAAAACCTAAGCATACTATTAAGCTAATAAAAGATTTTTGAAAGGTAGAAATATCAGCATAAACAAGCTTTTTTGGACAGATGTGTTTCCCCCCCTCATAACTGCGTACTGCTGATCTGACAATACCCTGGTTATTTCCACTGGTTATCATTTCTTACTAGGCTGGAAATACATATTTGTGTAAAATCTAACAAAAGTTATGACCTGTGTAAAAATTTGGTGTATGAATACTTGTGTAGTTACATAATATTTCAAGAAGCTAACACAATCTTGGTTTAAAACTTAACAAATAAACAAAGGAAAGCAGTGGACAGAAGCAAAGACCAGGGTGGGAAAACATTTATTCACTCTTCTGGAAAAATTTCAGAAGAATATGAAGCAAGAAGACAAATTTTAATTTCAGACACATCCTCTGATAGTAGATTAGGATTATTTCCTAAATCTGAGACTACTTTTTGATGCAATTCAAAACCGTTGAAAATAATTTCTGCAAAAGCCCTTATGATTTGAAGAAATATATTATTAGAATCAAAATAAGCATAGAATTTGGCCTAATATTAAGAAAAATACAGAAATGTGACAGGCTATTTTCTTATAAGAAGAGAAAAAAGAGAATATGAGAAGAAAATCAAAATAAAAAAAGAAAGGTAAGAAAGAAAAAAAAAGAAAGTAAAGTAAATCCCCAAAGAATGACAGAAAAAAATAAGGAAGAAAACTAGGAACTCCCTTTCAAGAAAGTAAACATCACCTTACTACTTGTCACCTCAATGATGATGGCAAGTATATTGCCTTAGGTTTAAATATAGAATTTTAGTCTTGAACAGCAGCTGCTACTTGTCTTAGAATTTCACCCACAGCACCTCAGTTTTCATATATATTATCCAAATCTTGCATTCTAGCACTCTATAGTTGCTCTAGTGACTGGGACAGAGTGTTGTGGAAGCCATATATAACACATGTGCCACTACAAGCTACATAAATTATTGGACAGATTCTCAGCATTAGGCATCAGCAGATTTTTTTGTCTGTAATTAATTAAATAACCCTTGTCCGAAACTGGTATTTGGTAGACTAGAACAAACTAACACCACAGTATTTTCCAGTCCACAAAATACTATGTTTTTTGATAAAAATGTAAGAGCAGTTAAAATAACCCAGTTAAAGGAAAGAATAAAAATTAAGGAGATGTAAATATTCTGGATTTTTACCTCTTTGTCTTTGCTATATTTACTTTGATGCAGTTTCTTATATTTGTGTAATCGCAGCATATTGTGAAGTTCCTCCCTTGAAAGAGAAAATTCCTCTTCCTCCTCTCCATCCTCATCACTTGGTGAATCTGTGTCACTGGAGTCTTCACTCAGAAGGATACTCTAACAAGAATAAATGGAAACTAAATTAACAATCGCAAGTCCCTATACTGAATTCATGCAAAACACTCATGGGCCTTTACCTAATAAAGGGCTGTGAATCTGACCCAACAGCAACACCTAGCATTTACAAAGTGTCTTCCATCTGAAACGCTTCAAATGGAAAACAGTTTTCTGAGGTACAGTACTGTGTAGCACCGAATCCAAAAAACATTTTCTGATTTGGGGGCAGGTAGTTTTCTGTTACGTTTGGTGACAGTTAAGTCATATTAAAATCCACGTAATCTGTTTGTGGTCTCAGAAAAGCAGCAGTGAGAAAATCCAGGATACCAGCAGGAGCATTTTGTGATATACGGTTGCAGGTGCTTTCCTATCTCATTTCTATCACTTCCACCTGCATCAGTTGCAGTGGGTTTGGCTTGTGTCTGACCTCTTGGAAACCTGGTTTTGCTAACCGGAGAACAGTACAACGAAAATGCAAAGATGGCCTCAAGCCACCATTCCACTCTCTCCTTCCATCCTCATTTGGGCCTTGTACTGAATTCATCTTAGAAACAAATTTTCAGCTGAGTCGCAAATGTACATTTAGTATGTTTCATAACAGATCATTTCAATTTGGACAGCGTATTAAAATTACTTCAAGTTTCTGAATGTATACTCATTGTGAAATTTAACAGAAGTGCTGCTCCTCACCAAAACTGAAATGCCTTCTTGTCCATTTTGCTACACAAGAAAAAAAACTTCTACTTTGTTCTAGCCGAAGTCTAATATAATATTATCAACTATCACATACTCTTCTTTCCTTCTGTTTCCACAAGGAGAGAAGCCTCTGTAGAATATATTTTTTATCTTTAGTAAGTGTTTTTACTTAGTGTAAAAAAACCCAAACAAACAAACAAACAAAACATCCCCCCAGAACCCCATTTCTTTCTTCTTAGCAAGGGACATGAGCCCCAGTTACCTCCAAAAAAACAGTGAGTAAAACAGCAATCCAATACAGAACAAGACTAAGGAGAATTCATTTGAAGCCTTCTTTTCACCAACACAAAATATTACCACATCTCTATCACCTTATGCCTCTTTCAGTGTGAGATTTTGCATCGATTAAATTGCATCACATTATTTAGGGCAGCTCTTAAAATAACAGTCTAGCTTTCTGAGGTCTCCGTAGTATGCATAAAGTAAAATTAAATGGACTACTGAGATAACAAACTTACTGTAAATGTACTGTATTTGGAAATTGTATTGGTGATAATGTTCTGACCAGTGCTCAACTTATTTTCTTGTTGTTGTCCACTTGCTTAGGTGTTCCTACACCATGATCTACGTCAGACGACAAGCTGGAATCACTCACCACTGTCTACAGGGTGTTGACTGGAAGTCTACTCACAGATTTCATAGAAGCTGCATTTCTTTCCAATATTCTTACCTTCAGCCATTTTCTGCTTTTCTTCAGTTTGGAAAAGTTATACAAGCTCCCTTTTTCAGACTTTGGTTCTGTTTAGAGAAAAAAAAAATAATTCTTAAGAAATAATGTTTTTTCCTGCTTATCCCAAAGAAAGCAGAGATTCAACCCCGTGCATGCCTACCCGGCTGCAGTACTCCATTCAGGGAATGTGTGTTCAGCATCCCGGAATTCCCTGCTCCAGAAGACTCCCCAAGCAAAGTGTTTGGAGGCTCTTCCTTAACTTGCATCAGGGGATCCCCAGACTGAGGCAGCAAAGGATTGTCATCCAATCCATCTTCACTTTCATCGCTGCAAGAAGATACATAATACGGTGACAATGAAATTAAAATATTCAAAAGAGGCGATGCCCAGGCAACTTTCTTACATGTGGCCATATGTCTAAAGGTTTGAGAATTGACACAGCTCCAGATGTAATTTTACACACTAGAAATACAGCTGTTAATAATCCCCTGTTAGCCTCTCGGCAGATATCTGAAAAACATGAACTAAGCAAGAAACTAGTATCAAGTCAAACCAAAGCACTATATTGTCATCCTCAGCACTACTGTACATGTGAGAAATATAAATCTATACACCTTCTACTCCTTGTGTGGATCTTATTACATGCTTGTAAATGTACCTGTTACCTACTACCTATACCGTTATCAATTCTGTAACTCTGCAATTCCAAAACACTGATGAAACTGAACTTAAATTAGTTTGGGATGGAAATATACCCTGGTAACTCATTTCTCATTGCTACAGCTTACATACAAATTCTGCATCCGACAACAGTCTTTGCGTTCTCTGATGGCTACAGACCATTCCCTGTAAAATCAACTTAGTGTTTCTTCATCCTGCTTTTTGCAGACAAAGTTTTGGCCACTCAGCTACGAAAAAGAGCTTTAAAACATCATGCTAATTTGTGTGTGGGCTGGCACCACACACAAGAATTATCAGTGTGAGTTAAGGGAAGCACAGCCGAAAATCTTTAGAGGAGAAGTGTTTATAATTAACAAGACACTACTAACTCCTGAATACAGTGTTGACTGGGAACAATATAATAAAAATGGTTGTCTTTCTTTGGTATTCCCAAGAAAAAGTGGAAGAGGTTTTGGTACCTGGATATACTCCTGTTAAAGATGGCAGACGTCTGTCGTAAAAACTGATCCAGTTGCAGAGCTTTCTCCAGATACTGTAGATAAAGGGGTTTTGCCAGCTCTGAGCAGCTGCCATCCTCCCTGGCACCCAGCTCTGAGGCCATAGAACAAACTTTTCCTCATGCACAGGTGCCTCCGAACACACAGCTGTTAAGAAGAAACAACAGTCACCACCACCACCATCACCTCTGAAAGCAACACATTCAGTGAGCAGGCAAATCTGCATGCTACACCAAACGCTATTATTTCACAGAGTGCATAACTGAGGTAGTTCTGGGCAAAAAGCTTAGGTTGCAGTTAATAAGTATATTGAACAAACAGAGATTCATGCTAACTTTCCACCACAACATTACCATAGCCAAAGACTAGCTTCTTAGTTTTCTGACTTTGTGGATGCCGTTTGGTAAGAACGAGCACTACACCGACCTAGTATGATAATCCAAGTGGTGACAGAGAAGAGAAATGCAATGTACAGTGAAGCCAGTCCCTGAACATCTCAAGTAAACTTTCATCACTATTAAAGATAACATATTTAACTCTGAACAGAGGGCAGGCGTGTATCATGGAGCTTGAATTAAAGCAATCAGATTATCATTCTTAAGATGAATCATCCATATAAATTTACTCCAAAATGGAAAAACTACTGGAAATACTGTTCTTTAGTTGTTTTTACCATTCAGTTCACATCTGTAGTCTACAGAAGACTAGCAGGACTTTTCATTTACTTTAAAGCAAAGTTACTCTTACAGCACTCAGAACATAGCTGCTATCTGTTGAGGCTACAAATACTTGACCAAAAAAAACTTCCATTCTAAAATTCAACCGTTACCTTTATTAAAGTAACACATAATTAACAATTTATTACATATTTACATAGTTTGTGTTTACAAACTTAGAATATACTCTAGCTTAATGTTTCTTCCCACTAGTAAAAATAGCCTGCCCGATTTCCATTTTTTATTTGTTCTCAGATTTTTAAATTCTTAAAAAACCAAACACATCCCCCCTGCAATATTTGCCTAACATATACTTTGAAAACAAAGCTATCAAAACATTTTATTGCCCTGTCAACTGCCATTTTATTTTCCTTCAATTACAAAAGATGTCTTAACAACTCTTTACAGTAATAGCTCTGTCAACTGGAATTCTATTTTTCTTCGATTACAAAAGATGCCATCATTGTTATAATAATAGTGAGAAAGATAATTTTAAATTATTTCCAAAGTCACAGTTATCATTGTATAAGCAAAAATGCTGTTGATACCCTAAATACCATCATATTTACTAATAAATAAATGCCTTAAGCTTTTGCTTCTGGTGGAGGACAAAAATAAAACCAGTCAGCTTTTGAAGGACTTAGATTAACGGTTCTTCTGAAGGATTCTTCTGGTTTCTATCACTTCTTAAAAATACTACAAAACCTGAAGCAAGCTTCACATTAATTCACTGCGAAACATTTAATATTTGTTCAATTATTAAACTGTTAATGACTGCATTGTTTTAGGCTTATATAAGTGAAAAGACAGATTGAGTATCTGGTCTTCAAATCATTCTCTCTTCAGGTATACAGTCTGAAAACCAGCATTTAACTTTTTCTTAGTCTTTTATCCTCAAAAACTACATAACAGATTCAGAACTTTCAAAGTTACAAAAAATTACGGTAAGTGATCACCACTTTGAGACTAATGACTGTGGTTGAACAAAAACAAATTTTATTATTTCTTAAAAAACACCTAGCTTAATATCTTTACCCATACACAATAAACAGCATGTCAGAAATTGTTACATGGGATAACAGCCCTCATTTAAAAATTATTTTTAGACTATGTTCAGCTTTCTGTATGCTAGATCTTCATATGCCTGACAGCAATGGAATGATTGGTCTCTGTTACCAAACACCCATTTCCAGTAGAAGTTAACAGACAGAACAAAGCACCTGAAAGCCTTCCCTATGAGAAGGGTATTAAGTTAGATGTCTTCCAAGAAACTTTCATCTACATATGTCATATTGCTTTACAGCCATCTGAAAAAAAAAAAAAAAAAAAAAACAACACACCCTAAAATCAAAATCTGTCTTCCAAGAGGCAGGGCCATTAAGAAATTAAAAGAGGTTAGGAAATGAGAGGAAACATGAAACTTGCGTCTCTGACTGAAGAAATAATTTAGAAGGAGATAGAAAAGGACATCAAGAAGGTGAAAGTGGTTTTCCTTCAGATCACCAGTAAAACCAATATATGTTATAGGAGCAAGATTCAATCCCTAGTATCATACCAGAAAAAGTACAGTGATCCCTTTTATCACTCCATTTCGAAATATATCCATCAACAAGCGCATGTGTTAACATGGTACTATTTTACTTCTCCAGCCAAAATGACAAGTGTAACCATTGTTTCATGATTCTAGTCAGAACCACAAGGCATTTTTCACCCGTTTACTCTCTGCAGAACACCTCCTTCCCAAAACTCAACATTTAGTGGCACTGCCTGTGCCCAAGGCGCTGTGGGAAAGAAACGTGTCCAGTGGGCACAAAGCACACAGGACTTTATTTGGATTCACCGCCTCCGAGGAAGCTAACCAAAGGTACTCTTTTGCACCCCAGTGAGCCTTGCCCTCACAAAACTATACAAGCTTAACAGCAAAATAAAGGGAAAGAAATAAGATCGATTTGAGGTCAAGTTTTTAATTGCAGGACAGCAAACAGGCCAGAGGCAAAACAAATACAGTCCTATTCCTGATCCCGGATGAGTAGCTGGATGCTTTTCCCGCTGCCCAGCCGCACTCAGGCCGAAGTGCTGGTCTGTGTGGATTCAGCAGAGCGGGTCAGCGTCTCTGCTCCGCACAGGCAACGTGCTCGTCTGGCTCCATGCTCCCGCAGCTTAGGAGAGAACCCAGCAGAACACCGCTGCTTTACGTGGAAGATATAAATGACACTATGAAAAGAGGATGCTATCAGATGTGTTTAGTAATTAGAAAACTAAGGTGTCTTCTCAGGAGCGGCTCATTGCTACCGCACGGATTTCCCAGGCAAATATGAAAACAAGCAATACTACCCTCTGGCTGCAGTGACTGTGAAGAGTAGGTTTCATTCCATATTTTAACAGAGTAAATGCCCTCGTTGTGTACACTATGCTAAGCATGTGTACATTCTAAGCACCTGTCTCATCTGTACTTGTTTCAGATACATACATTCTTAAATATTTTTTATCCTGATCAGGAAACCTTACGTTTCTGCATTTCATAAAGTCCTCCTTGTGCTGACACAGCCTAAGTACTTTGCATTTCACCCATAGAAAAAGACATGCTTTCAGTTGTCCTCCTGTTTTAATTGTCCCATGAGGCTCCTGTACTCTTGTGCTCGAAAGAGTTACTCCTCTGTATCCCACAAACAAACAAACACAGGAGAGCTTAACAATATCCTTAAATGTATTAAGGATGCCCAAAACAAATTTAGTAAGTGTTACACAGGCATACTGAACACAGAAGAGCTCAGCCACCGAATTTGGCCTTTCATTTATTTATATGCCAACAATCACACAATGCTGCTCTGCCGATCAAAGAAATAATACAGGAAGCTAACTGACAGATACTTACTTCTCTATTCTCTGTTCTTTTGTTCCCACTCTAGGTTTTAACAAAGATTTCCAATGGAAAAAACTGCTTGAATACTGAAGTGAGAGAAGATGAGAACAAACAAGTGAGAGGCACACAACAGCCTGATCCACCACAGCAGGTAACAGTGTTTAGGACATCACCAAGACATTGATTGCTTCAGTGGATTTACATAGTGATGACATTCACACCACTTTCCTTCACCATTTTTGAAACAAATCTAACCTTTTACTTACTCAGTTTAAGGAATATTGCAGAAATACAGATTTTTCAAAACATTTTCATTACTGATGGTGACATTTAGGTAAATACTCATGTTACAGGTGGCAAAATGACTGGATGCTGCAGAGTAATCCTGCTGCCATCACGATTTACTGATATGAGCCAATTTTCAGTATCAAATTCAGTGGTTATTTGCTTTCTCCCTTCATCTTCCCTAGAGTTATAAACAGTTCAGAAAACTGGCATTTGGAAATAAATAGCTGCTGCACAGCCTGGCTGGCACTTCGAATCCTGTAACATTCTTACTTCATCAGAAGCTCACACTGAAACCATTTAACTGAATCATGTCCCCCTTCAAATTATTAAAAGCACAGGTAAAATATCAGCAGCAGGATCTGAATTTAATTATATACATATGTACACACACATCAACTTCCTACCCTTCATAACCATATATGTATTTTTAAAGCTCTAAGTTCAGTTCTGAAGAAGCCTTTCTTATCCTATTTTAAATCACATTGCTGAGTTCAATGTTAATGTAGGTGTGGGGTTTCTTCACTCTTCTTTTTTTTTTTTTCAAGTCTGCCCATTATAACATCTAGTCAGTAAATAAACACCTAGCATTGGAGAAGAATCCTCCAAGGATGTCCTCAGAAAGCAGAGTTATGTTTTATAACAAGGTTTCTAAGTTTTATACCCACTGAGCCACAGCAACCAAACAGCAAAAACACTGCTCGCATGAAGCAGTTTAGCTTTAAAAGTAGATTCTCCCTGTTTAAACAAATATCCACTGGCTATTTCTGAATTAAGTCCAACAAATTTTTGCTACTGATACCAATTTAAAGCAGAAGCCTCATAGGTGACAAGCACACAGTTCAGCACTTGTGTCTAGCTGCAAGCTAGAAAGCATTTGCTTTGTATGGCTGTTTGAAATAGTATTTTTTCATCCAAGAAGTTTTTGGTTGCCTTTTTTTGTTTTGGTTTGGTTTGTTTTTTTTCCCCCTTCACTTACTGGCATCTCTACATCTCAGGTAAGACCCAGAGGATTACTTTTCCTTCTCTTCATGCCTAATGCTAACATCAAACATCATAGTAAATAATGGTAACATCTACACTCCTAGCTGAGGGCACATACACAAACAGAAGCTGCAATGGAGGTAAAAGGTACAACATAGCAGCTAATCCACAGTACCTCTTCTTAGCCTATGACAAGTGCAAGGCAAATCAGGGAGGTACAACTAATTCAGTCTTGCCCGCACGCACTAAGTGCACATATATGAAGTGTCACCAGCTGGCAGGGGAGCACACTTATTTGTTCAAATATTTCAGCCCACAAAAACAGTGTTTCTTACCTCTCCTCCATCCAACCAGTGTAAGCACATTGACAAAACATTCAAGTGGACAAAAACCTGAAATCCCAGTCGATACACAGAAAGTATGCGTTCCTCACGTATCTACTTACAGCACTGAAAGTTTTATCCATAAAGCAAGATTAAAAAATGGGAGCAAGAATACAACCTTCTATGCTATCTTAGTTCCCTCACAATTTTAGCAGTTTTCTGGTTTTTTCCACACATGGTCTTTTCAAGCTTTGCATTTTGACACCAACTTATTAAGAGAGATTTTCCAAACTGATATGAACACCTAAGATCGTTTTCTTTCTTGAAGAAATTTACAATTGAGACATACAAGTCTCATCAGAATAGCAGAATTTCTGCTGTTACTACAGAATTTCCTGTAGTAACATCTTCAAGAATAGCCCCTGACACAAACATACATATCCACACAGAAGATTAAGTCAAGATCTGTATGGAAAACTTAGATTAGTACAATAATATCAGGTAGGTATATTTTTGTCAGACATCTTTATAAGCATGTAATTTCTAATACAGACAACTGTGGTGGCATAAAAAAACTGAAGAGTTATTTTGCTTGGAGGAGAATTACATGCTCTTCTTTCCTCCCTCAAATTCTAGCTTGCTTTGATAAATATATAGTTACACTGACAACCATTTTCCAGAGCACACTATGTGCCGGGTCTTAAAGCAAAACATAATCCACATACAGCCTTTTTTTATGGCAGTGTCTTATATTTAAGTTTGACACGTAAGAGATTATCTCTTTTTTAAAAAAAAAAAAAAAAAAAAAAAAAAAAAAAAAAGCCAAACAGAACAGATACGGGGATTTTTCTATGAACCTAAAGCCCTCAGTCTCCACTAATACTCAAGTTGAATGAATAGAAGACACATGCATACAACTGAAGTGTGAGTTCACACCATCTCAGTTTGAAATTAAAAAGAAGCCATTGTAAACACTTTTCTGAGTAATGAAATCTAGTTAAAACTAGATGCTGTCCTATATACAGTAATTTACTTTGCTGTTTTGCTTTTGTGGTAAGGTTTCATATTGTTTTCTGAAGAATGAGACAGCATTTCATTGATCTCTGTTCCACCTTTTAATTGCTTTTAAATACAGAGAAGAGCCAGTGGGGCACAGGCTCCAAATTTTCTAATTGCTGAAATAACAGTCACAGTAGGGCCTAATCTATTATTATTATTATTAAAAAAAAGGCAAAAAAAGCTATACAGCTCTACAAAAAAAAATTTATCAGCAGCATATACATAAGTAAATGACAGAATACCTTAAAACATACCAAACACAAAAGCTGGCATGTCACAGCTCTACTTCTACATCTAAACTAGCAGAAAAAAAATCCTCAGTATTTAGTTGTTCAGTTAGGATACCTCTTGTCCCAAAAGGGCAGTTAACAGTATTTATGGAGACCTCTGACGATGCATCCATACTCTGCTCTACATAACGGCGCCAACTGTCAGCCTCACACATTGCTTTTGCTTCACTCCTCCTCCTCCCTCTGTGTACACAAAATACAAACTGCATGGATGTTTTCGGTTTTGTTTGGTTTTTACTCCCTCCACCCCAGGCCATGAAAAGGGAACTATGTCCAAGAAAGCCCCAAGAAGACCATTTTCTTCTTGCCATCTGAAACAATCCCTAGCATGTAATTCACTTTGTCAAACAGCGTGGTTATTACAGAATTTACAGCTTATTACATTATACCCAAATGGAACAAAACTTGCTCATTTGAACAGTCAAGAAATGTAAGGCAGTATTTTAAGCAACTTTAGCAATATATGTGTGAAAGATGGACTAGAAGTGAATTACAGGGAATATCCTTATACATTGGGAAAGGGTTGAAGCTACAGTCTTATTTCTTGTACTTTTCCCTCACTATCTTACCAACCTCTGGATGTCATGATGTACTCTTCCACATACACGTTAAAGGAACAACAACACAAATACACCATTTCTGATTCATGTAGATTAAAAAAAGATGAGTGCTGGTCACACACAGGCATGTCAGATACGCTGTGCAAATCCATACAGTAATTTGTTCATGAGAGAAAGCTAAAATTCTAGTAACATGCATAAAGACATTTCACTGTAAGAAAAGAACTTGACTTGCACCATTTTCTTCACGCAGTAGAAAAAAATGATCCGAAGGAATTTATTATCACCTAGAACTGTGTGGCGAGGGAAACTTACCACACAAGACTTGCAGCAAGGTAACAAAACGTAGGTATAAGGCTAAATAATACTAAGCCCGGGAAAAATTGTACTAGGCCGTGTATTTGCAGCGAAACGGGATTAGACTCTACCACAGCTCTAAATAGGTATTTCTGTAGCGTAGGTGTTCACTAGCGCAGAGGTTCTGCTGTGTTTTACACCCAACAGCCACTTTTCGGCCCGCCACCACCTCGCTGCAACCGCCGGTGGCTCCCGGGACCGGCCGGGGCCCGCCCCAAGGCCAAATCCGCGGGGCCGAGGCGCAGCGTTGCATCATGCGGCCGCTCCGCGCCCGGGGGCCGCCCCTGCGCGGGCCGGGGTTTGGGAGGGGGGCGGTGGGGTGAGGGTGGGGGAAGCAGCCCCGGCGAGAACCGGCTGCGCGGCCTTGGGGAGCGGATCCACACCCCCACGCGCGCACGTGCGCCCGCAGGTGCGGACTCGCCCAGCGCCCCCCCCCCCCCCCCCCCCCCGTTACAGCTTTTTTTTTGGGGGGGTGGGGGGGAGGGGGGAAGTTTCGGGCCCGGCGGCCGCGGCGTGCGAATCCTGCGCTGGTGTATCGGGGCGCATCCGGCGGGCAGGGCGGGGAGGGGGCCTGTCCCTTTAAGAAGAGGCCCGGCTGCTGCAGCCGCCGCTCAGCGAGGCGGCGGGGAGGGGAGGGGGGGGTGAGGGAGGGGAGGGAGAAGGGGGGGGTGCGGGTGAAGCCGCGGCCTGCCCCAGGCGGAGCCCCGCTACCGCCTCTCGTAGCCCCGGCCCGGCGTGCCCTTGGTCGGTCGGCGCGGTGCCTCACCTGGGTAGCGGGCCTAGCTTCGGCGAGGCGGCGGCGGGGGGCTGGTGGGGGGGGGGTGTTTCCCGGGCTCGCTCCCCCGCTCGGCCTCTCGCCCCGCGTTGCCGGGGCCGGCGCGGCTCGTCTCCTACCGCGGGGCGCTCCCGGCGCCTGCCTCGCCAAGATGGCGCCCGCGCTGCTGCTGCTGCTGCTGAGGAGGAGGCGGCGGCTGCGGGCGCTGGGACGGCGGCGGCGGCCACTTTCGCTCACTGAGAGGAGAGGAGCAGGGACACGGGGAGCCATGGCGGGGGGGAGGAGAGGCGCCATGGCCAGGCCTGAACAATCGAGCCCCGCATACCTCCCCGCCGCCCCGGCCCCGCGCCCCGGCCTCGCCGCCCCCACCCGCGCCGCCGCCGCCGCCGCACGAGCCCCGCGCCCGCCCCGCGCCCGCCGCCCCCGCCCGCGGCCGGCGGGGGGCCCGCTCCCATCGATGCGCTCCCGCCGCCGATTGGTAGCGCCTGGCGCTGACGGAAATTGCCGAAGGGACTCGGCCGAAGCGGCCCGGCGAGTCTCGCGTGATGGGGTGGGGGTGGGGGGAAAGCTCTCGCGAGGCCTGCCCGGCGGGGCGGTTGCGTGCCGGAAGTGACGCGCCCTCGCCCTTGAGCCGCCGCGGGAGCGGCCGTGTGCGCCCACCCGCGTCCCGTCTTCTCCCTACCCCCACGGCCAGGGGGGACGCACCCCCCCCCCCAGCCCCCACCGGGGGTTCCACTCGTCACGCGTGAATAGTTTTAGCGCAGGATGCTCGGGACGAAACGGGCCTGCAAGCGAAGCGTGGGGGCGCTCGGCGTCTGGGCCGGGAGCTGTGGGGCACGGCGGCCTCCCCGCCCCCCCCCCCCCCGAGCTGTACATTTACGGGAAACCGCCGAAGGAATGATTAAGCCCGATCACCTCTTGCCTAGAGATAGCAATTCCTACGCCCTGACTCAGATCTGTGTCACCCTGGCGCACGGTAGGTACTACAGCTAATCGGAAATAAAAAAGACCGTGGCTCCCGCCCCAGTAAAAGTCCGCCAGGGCGTTGTGCTTAGCGAGTTACGGTATCTGCGTCCCTGACTACAACCGGCACTTCCACCGTTTGAGAAGAGTATGTGATTTTGTCGCACATAACTACCACGCTTCGAAAAACTGAATGCATGACAAGGTCTTGCAGATCACTAAAGAAAAAATACTTTTTTTTTTTTCCTCCTTTAAGAAAATTGACGTTTTCTATCTTGTGCACCAATGTGCGATGACTCCATCCTAATCTATTTCTTTGCTTTATGCCGTTCCCAGCTGAGAACGGGAGAGCTGCAGCCACGTTTACCCAGGGTTTGCTGCCAAAAGCAATCCAGCGGCACAGATGCAGTTAGGCTGTCAAGTGCTGGTCTGGAAATCCCTATTCCCTTGTAATACACCTCCAGGCAGACACTTACTTCTCAGAAGGGGCTGAGAATGCAGCTCTGTCTCTTGCCCAGAAGGCTGCCTTTTAGCAATTAGTTTGTATCCTGCACAGAAACACTCCAGCCCACTCTCCATCCCAGGCTCAATGCCCTCACATCCAACCTCCTCTTCCCTCCTCCTTCCTTCCATCATCTGATCTATCGCCATTTTCTCTCTCTACTAATTCAGCTGGACAGACCCAAATGATTTCAGTTGTGGAAATAAAACATGGGTGCTCTTGAGCTGCCTCCAGCTCAGAAGAGCCTGTGTGTTCCACGCTCTGCCTCACTGATCTGTGGTAACACATCACTGCTTGGAGGAGTCTTGCTCCAGGTGGATGACAGGAGCTCTGGTGCTGGAGAGGAGCCCAGTCCACTGCCAGCAGCTCCCAGTATGCCAAATGAAGCACAGACTTGATTTCCAAATAAAAAGTTACAAGACGAACTGGTTTCAAACCAGCTTTATTTTTCTAAAGTGAACTGAGACAAAAGGAACTATACAGTTTGATTACAGAATACTGTTAAGAGTTAAAAAAAAAAAATGTGTAGAAAATGCACTGACAAAGAGCAAACCTTGGAAGTTTTTCTGCCACTCCCAAAGTGAGCAAGTCCCATCTACAGTTTCGAAGAAGAGACCTATATAAATACTGCCACTCTAGTACTCTTTGTGGAGATGAAAAAAAACACACCAAAACACCAGCGCGCATTTCCCCTAACAAGATTTAAATGCACACAGATATATCCGAAGCTTCTAGTCACACCAATTTACATCCAGACCAAACCAGCTCAAACAGGTATCGGTGTGTACTCGCACCCAGATGTTCTGTCCCTTGCAACCCAGTGTCACTACTCCTAACACATTTCCAGCTGGATGCCCAGACTCTTCTCAGGCTGCAGTTCTCACTGGGACACTGACCGTTACCTCTTCCATTCTTCCCTATTTCATGCTGCTCATCAGCATGTACCAGTACTCGTAGCCACAACCCTGAGAACAAAACTATCCTTAGACTTAAGGTGTTCCCCACCCTGTCTAAAGCATCTGGGGAAAAGAGGGGAAAAAAAAAAAAAAAAAAAAAAAAAAAAAAAAAAAAAAAAAAAGGGCATGTTTTGCATGTATTTAAATACATAAACATGCATAAATTCAGAATTTCAAAAGCAAAGAATTTTCAACGGTCCCATGCTTGCAAGTCAAATATAGTGAGATGCCAAAAAAAATGTTCCAAGACTCGGGCATGGCCTGCGTTAATTTTGTCATGTGGTACAATAGTATTATCAGTTGGAGGAGCTTTACTTTTAGGGAATATCAGCCAAAGCAAGTATACTGGAAGTAAACTAGTTTTGCCTTTAGATCTTATTTTGCTTGGGGGGGGGGGGGAGGAGGGGGGATGCTATACATCTTTTAAACTATTTTAACTGCTTTTTTTTCCCCCTTTATACACACTTGTTGATATACACACACCACATCACTGTTACAGCCTTGTCTACACAAGTCTGATACAGCAGTGCTGACAACAGTGGCGTACAACTTTCACCAGGAAGCTTCTTCTCTCAGTTAGCCTAAAATAACTCTGACTTGGCAGAAATGTCCTTTCTATTAGTATACCTCTTTGCTGGTTTTGCCAGCACAGTGGTTCATTAGGGTGTGATCTTTTTCACTTTCCTATGACAGACTGTTGTATAGCTATGCCAAGAGACTTATCTGTATATAAACCAAGCCCACGTGGGTTGGCCAGAAGGTTTATTCATTTTTCCAAGAAAACCCCTTCTAATCTCAATGAACAGGCATTTTCTAAGTTCCCCTGTTTACATATGTAGATTGAATGAGACTTCGGCATACCTGCAACAGGTAACAAAAGAACCAATACAATTTAAGACATTGGTCTGATAACAATGCAAGAAAAACAAAAGTCACTGTTTCAAAATTTAAAAATCGCTCTTGAAAAAAATGGATCTCAAAAATAGACCTCAAGAAGAACATCAGACACAGAAAGAATTGCCTTCTAAAGAAAAAACATCACTGTTTCCATTAAATAATGGGTTTACCTGTCATTGTAAAGAAATGAGCCTTTGTCTGACACTTCTGCATGGGGAATAGCCCCTTTTTTCATTTGGATACCCAGTATAAGCTCACCAAGTCACCTGTAGCATAAATTAGGTTCTTACAGCCAGCTTGAGGTTGGTCTGAGATTCTTCCACAGATCTACCACCTGATTTTGATTTTCAAGCTTTTCTTGACAAACTACATCCTGATTGTAGAAGGATGTCATTTCAGACACCACTTTATTTGTGGGAAGGCAATCCCTGTCACCTTTGTAGTTTCCATTCTTCTGTGGATCATTTCTCTCTCTTAATTCCATGGCTGGTCTGATCAAAAGACCATCCTCATTCATTCCATAGTCTTTTACTGCTTTCTCCCTTCGCAGCTTCTGGACCTTTGCCAGCTGACGCAGCTCCTCTGGCAGCTCCATGCAAGTGGGCTGATAAGGAAAAAGAAAAGAAACAGAAAATAAATCATATCAGTTAATATACATATACATTGCTCTGCTTTTGTTAGTATCGGGTAAGAGCTCCCTCTGTAATTAGCCAGTGGAACAGAACAATCATCTCTCATTAGATCTGTGGAATGTACAACTACCTGCTTACACAAACAACACCTCAGGGGAAAAATGTTGCCCTACACTCTTGCTTTCATTTATTGTTTACTCCTTTATTATGAAGATCTTAAAGTTTAAAGTAATACCTCACATACACGGATTTTAGATGTCTTCTGAGAAACCTTTCGCACTATGAAGTTGCTGTAAACCCCCAAAAGAGGCAAAACCAGTTCACGGTTGCTCATAGGAGCCACTGCAAAGGCAGCTTTCCCAGCTTTTAATTTAAAACCATGGTATTCTACCCTATGGCTCTAAAAAAAAACCCCAAAAAAACAAAAAAACAAAAAACCCCACATGAATACAGCCAACATAGTTAACAAATAAATGAAACAGCTGCTTAGGAAGTACATGAAAGGAGATACACTCCTTGATTTGGTCCCAAGCAGCACATGGGACACTGTGCAAAATCTTCAAGGATGTGCTTCTTAATAAGGACTGCAGTGCTCGCCATCTTTGTAGGAACAACAACAAAAGAAATCCACAGTTGCATTCAGCTGTAGAAAGGAGAATTACACAAATAAGGAAGCTTGATAAAAAGTACCACGAGGCAGCCAAACAAATTCAGTCCTAGCAGGTAGCGTGGAAACAACTTCAAGAAAACATACAAGCAGCATAGAGTAAACATTACCTTACAGCAAAAGATCACAGAAAGGTGAAAGGAAATTATCAGGACTACAGGTTAGGGGAATGGAGAATATGAAGTAAGCATTCTTCAGGAAAGCAAAGACACATCCAAGTGAAGAAAATAATAGTAAGGATGAAGTTACAGAAAAAAACAAAGGGCAGGCCAGAATAATTTTATTAGTATTTAACAAAAATATAACAGAACTAATAGAAAAATTTCTGTAAACATAATATCAACCATGCCGCAGAGCCAAGTGATGACCAGAATACAAAAGCAGCACAGTAAAAAACATTTTTTCTCTTCTACATTCAGAATAAAAAAAAACCAAAAGTGGAGATTCCCATACCAAAAACATTCATTATATACCCAGAACCTACCTAAGATTGTTCCACAAGTACTTAATACCAATACTTGAAATACAAACAGCAGGGTGATTTCACCCCAAATCCTCGAACAGTGGAAGATGAAAAAGCTGAACTACAGTATCTTGCTTAAAACCTGACTTGATACCTAGGGATTGGAAGATGGTTTAAAGAAATGTTCCCGGAAAGACACAGGAAGCAACACGCTGGTCAGTCAGATGTCTGTATGAGCATATGGGTAGAAACAGTAAGAACAGAATGAGAGGTTATACAGAGGTGATGGAAAGAAGAGAGTTACCACAACGTTTGCAAAGGGAAGCCATGCCTCACAAAACCTACGTCTAGAAGTTTGCACAGATCCAGAGGAAGGCTAAATAATTCAGACAAGGATTACAGAAAAAAAAGCAGAGCAAGCACTTACTTTTAAACATCCCACCTTCAGTTCTGTTTAACCAGAAGAACGTACATCCAGCTTCCTAACTGCTACCACATCCTACAGTGAGAAGTAATCCACGCCCTAAACCGCTTAAAGCTAAGCTGCGTGAAAATTTGGGCTCTATGTTCATAATGATTAATATACATTGTGTGCAGTCCCAACTCACCTGACAATTAAGAAAACTTCTCACTCAGGCATGCAATTATGTTTAGACACAGAACAGAGGTTATGCTATCACATGTCCTGAATGTGTTATCTGGTATTAAATACTGCACCGCCCCTTGTCTACTGCAGCTTTACCTTATGTGCACTGGCAAACCAGCTCTGCTGCACAGGGGTGTGCAACTCCTCTACGGTACCAGGGCTCTGCTTGTGAACAGTCACCACTTCAACAAGAAAGGACTGCACTTCTAGGAGAACATCTGCTTCTTTACACTGATGGGTCCCTAGGCTGCATTTGCTTCTTTGAATTTAAGTCTTAAACATCAGAATGCAGCTGCATTTCCAAGTCCCTAACACCACACAATATGAATCTATGAGGAAAGTTAGAAATTTAGCGCATATAGCTCCTTTACTAGCTCTTTTCTAGTGACAGAGCTGCAAATGCACAGAAACCCATTTTACTTGATGTCTGCATCCACAAGAAGAACAATTACTCCTGGCAGGCAGTTAAGCTGAAAACGCAGGCAACTGCAGAGACCTTCATGGCGGGAAGTTTGTGTTGAGTTCTCCTCCTCAGCAGTAAGATTATCAATTTGAGCAAGATGCTGAAGAGGGAAGCTGAGGGTTTTGATAATGCAGTGTTGGGGATCAGAAGTTACTGTTTTGCATCTGGTTTGTGGGTAAAAGTCAGTTGCTTGGGAGGGAGTGTCCACTATTCAGAAGACTCAACTACTACTTGCAGGTGATGACACAAGAAACCACAGAAAGTGTCAGCATACGTTTCCAAAACTGTCAGGATCAAGGAGATGCTTCCCTCCCCCACACCCCCATCTTTTCTCTATTCTCTTCTCCCACTACTACATCAACAAGGGTGTTGCATTATCATTTTTGGCTGCTGTGGACCACTGGCAATACTTTACTGTTGCTAGCAACTGCTAGGATACAGGATACCCATCTTGTCCGCAAGTCTTTCCTGGAGGAAGCTCTAATCCATGGAATTGCATCCTGCCACCTGGCCAGCACGTTTCCCACCTGCCATGCCAGCTCCTCTGTACATCTTCTGTCACTACTGCAACAACTATCAAACAACAAAAGAATGTGTTTTGGCTGTCCAGAAGCAAGGCTGAAGTCTTGCTGGAAGGGCTGCCCACTGCCTGACCATAAAGACTCTGTTTCTTTGCCATTTCCAGCAAAACATCTGAAAGATCATGGGGAAGAAGAGATGGCTGAAACTTCAGGTGAAACCAGGACTACCACCAGTGACTGCTGCAGTTGCTCACGAGAATTATGATATCCAAGTCAAAGACTCAAACATACTATCTGCACAAAATACATAACTGCTGCTTGCTCTGCTCTTACTAGTTTATTGCTGTAAAAGCAATAAACTGTCATTAATCTCCATTCCTACCAGCTTATCCATGGCCTCTGACAACCTAGGACTTTGTTTCCATCATATTATTTATGAAAACCTGTCTTAAGTAAAGGGAAAATACAAGTTTTGTTGAAATAAGCTGGGACGAAACAAAACACTCACCAGTCTTGCATATTCAAGAAACAAGGCAAAATTAGACACAGGTATATGTAATTATGCATAAGTCTGAAATTGAAGCACTCCTGAGTATGTTGAAGGCCACAAGGATGATCTGACCTTAGCAGGAACTGTGCATTTAGCCAGAAAGCAATTCTTGTATTCTGCCACTGATGGGGGCCTGCTAGAGCACAGAGAAACTTCCCACTGAGGAAAAGAAGATGCATGTGAAAAACTGACTGCAGGGATTGGGCACACAGAGCCCAGGGAAGGGTGGTGACAATGACATTCATCAGCCTTATTCACATTTGTTTTTCCTCAACTCTCAGTGGATGCACTGATCCATAGGGGCAAATGAGCAGGCTTGCCTTTTACTCCATGATTATGTGTATTTCCTTGCTGCTCTTTCCAAGAGGAGAAAATACTGGTCCACATCTGGTCCCAGAGGCTGAACCCCCTGATTTGATAAGAGGAGAGAGTAGGTAACTGTCCCAGTAGTCTTTATTCAACATTATTGGTCATTACTCAGCATTATTCAATTCACAGGCAACCTCAGACTGGAAAACCAAAGCATCTTCTTCACCAAGTATATCCTGATACTGTTACTACACACGAAAGCCATTGGCACTGAACTTCTGAATGTGGCAGTGACCCAGGAAAGATTAGGAGGGTGCTACCATGCTAGTCCAAGCTGAAGTTCAGTGTTGTAAACCCTGATCCAGGAGCTGAGATTGAACATGGGACAGCTGGAGATAAGAAGGAATGGGGTTATGAGTTCCATCCAGCTTCAGTACTTCATTTTTAATGAAGTCTCATGATTGAAACTCTCTGTGTGCTTGTTTTGCAAGTATAGTTGACATGGGAGTATCGTAAGTTTGGGGGAATGGGAGAAGGAAAAAAAGCATTCTTCTGTGTGACATGGTATCACTCAATAAGGTCAGAAGAAGCAAGAGCAGGCCAGGGAAGCATGGCTCTTTTAATTGTTCTAGTCAGATAGGACATACTCAAACACCTTTGTAGCCCAAAGGCATGACAGTAGGCATGTCCACATAACTAACTTTCCCTCTGTCAAAAGGCTGAAGACCTGGTGGTTCTGTTCAGAGAGCACAATCCAAGAACTAAAACAGAGGAGGACCCAGAAGCAGCTTCCTTACCTGGATTGATGGAAGTTAGTAAGCTTCCAGACCTGGTCATCTCCAAGTGCCTGTAAAGCAAAGAGGCCATGCTAACTTGAAGATTCTCTTGCCCATTGGCTTTCACTCCCACAACTTGCAGGTAAAGGCTTGATGTACCACACGTGGTTCCTGTTCACTCAGGAATTATGTCCACCTTCCAATTTAGAAGCTGAAGTAGTGCAACTTATCTTTGTGGCCCTGGAGAATTTATTGACTTTGGCTTTGCTACAGTCCTGCTTCAGCAAGAGGCCTCCCTTCCAGTTCTCCAGCATGCAGAGAGCATAGTAGATAATATATTTCAGGTTCCCAGAATGTTTTCCTGGCATGGGTATTTACTTCAGAATCCAAGGAGATCCATTACTTCTTCTGAAGCAGTGTTGGAACTGTGCCAGATCATGTCTGGAGAACACAGCCGTCAAGCATAGGGACTCCAGTTCTGCTGTTGTTGGAGACTGGCTCCAAGGTGAAGTAAAAGTCATCGTACCAGACTGCTGTTCACCAAGGGTCCAAGGTGGAGCACAAGTGTAAATTGTAACTGGTCAGTGTAAAAAGTAAAATAGTCCAGTAAAAGCATTTTCCAGGAAACTTTCAACCATAGCTCCACAAAGTGCACAGAAGGCATAACACAGACCTTGGTGACAGATCAATTGCACTAAATATCCACGAAAAAGCACGAGAATAAATGGGGGAAGCGGGTAAGTATCTTGACTATTACTTCATTCTGAGAATCAGATCTGAATAAAGGCTTTTTGATTCAGGGAATTAATACAGACTTAGCCAGAAAACCCAGAAGTTGCACGAAGAAAGCTTTTTTTTTTTTTTTTAGCCTTTTTTTTAAACCTTAAAACAGATTTAGCTGAACTCATCAACTTGCAAAGGATTCCCTTAAAGTTAGCTTTGTTTTATTCTTGGTGAAGAAGCTGAAGTAACAGACCAGATTTAACTAAACCAAGCTCCATATTTGGAGTTTAAATATGTATTGCAAACAGACTTTATTTAAAGTAGAAGAAACTTCCATTTGTGTGATCTTCTTGCAAGATATAGAAACAACAGAAAATGATGAACAGTGAAATGATGGTGAAAATGGCTGCTTTTACTATCCATACTACAAGACTCCTAAAGCAACTACAGGAAGTATGATTATCAGATGTGATTTTAAATAGATCTTCAAAATGCCATCTGAAACGCTCAGCATCTGATTAATTCTTTGGCTAATCTTACAGAATAAATGGATTTACGAAAGGATTGTTTTCAGCAACCTGAGTATCACTTAAAAAAACACAAATAGCCCAACACAAAACAGAATTCCTACTCTTTTCACTTTAATAGACTCTTCTTTTCCCCTGTGTCATGCCTACTTCTGCAAACATTTCACATTGAAAATTCAGATGCCAAGCTCTTTTTTTTTTTTTCACATGAATTATGAACAACCTTCTTTTTTTGGCAGCTCTCCTCTAAAAAGAAAAGTTTTTCAGATATGACCTCTTCCATCTGTGAAGCAACTGTGACCTCTTGTGGTTATCTAAACTAATCTCCTCCTAAATCCTCAGTAAGGGATTTACTGGTTTGAGCCCTTAAGTAATTCCCAAAGGATTCAACTCTGTGCTCTAGTGTTTTGTTAAACCAGGGCAAAGAAAAAGGCAATTTCTTCCACAAAGATAGACCTGCATTCTCTTTTCCTAATAAATATTTCAAGACATTTATGACTGCATAAATGAGGCAGTAGCAGGATTTAATCATGTTAGTTCAGTTTCTTTGTGATGAATGAGGATGTTTGACCATTAACTTTTCACCCGAATTTAATACCAGCAATATCTTACATAGTTATTGCAAGACCTCATAAGATTACTTCATTGAGAAGGCAGAAAAAGATGACACCAATACCACTGCTTGTTTGGTTCGCATGGACCTGTTCTTTCCTTCTTTCCATTAGTGCGCAGGAAGTCAAGTGCCTTAATTAAAAATCTCATTTCCCCACCTCAGCTTTAACACAAGTGTCTACCATACAAGAGCCACTCCAAGGTATCTGAGCATGCAATACTACTGGTTCTATGTGACCAAGTATGAAAAGTGTTACTTGATTTTTTTTTTTTTTTTTCTCTTTTTAAAATAGGAAGACAAGGTAAGTCAGAGATGCTTTTACAGAAATAAAAATCTTTGGCCAACAATAGACAACATTACTCAGAAACAGCCAGTATAGGCAAAATCGCTCAGCAGTAAAGATGACAGAATAGGAGAAAAACAGAACAAGATGTGAAGACTAAATGCTCTTAGCAAAACACCGCAACTCTGGCAGCTCCAGGTACCAACGCTTCACAACTCCCTGTCTCTCTCCATGCCCTTGTACATACAGAGCCCCTATTGAGCCCAGAGGTTCTCAAGCTCAGGTAAGAGTGAAGAGAAGGCACACGTACCTGTGCCCGTGCCTTAACAGCTGCAGTTCACCAACCACAATACTAACTTGAGGTGGATTTGTGCTAATGGACTAATACAAAATGCAGCTAGGTAGATACAGATACCATCACTTCTCTTGCAGCACACAGCAAACCAGGTATGTGGCACAGACTAGGGTGTACATTTGCAGAAAAGAAAGCTGCTGTAGCTAGGTCCTCCAACATTTATCCATCAGAGCCTTAGATCAAATCACTAGCCAGCAAAACAAAGACATACCTACCTTTGTGCTCCGAAGGTGATGTTCAGACCTAGTCCGATAAACATTTAAATAATCATGTACTACAGCTGTTAGGTCAGACATCAAGTTCTCCATTAAAGATGAGTGGAGCAGCAGAAGGTACCTAGCCTTCAGAGCAAGTGCTTTACACAGAGAAGCTGGAAACGGTCTCAAGAACCATATGTCAGGATTCTCCTGCATATCCAAATGCAAATGAAAACAGTTATTTAAGTAGCAAAAATTACAACAAAGCTTTTAATCGCATTCTTCCACAGTTTACAACATATCTCCCAATGCTGATCTCTCTTTTCAGTGCTACTGAATGCTTGAAGCTTCTAAGGCAATCTGTGTACAAGCCTGTGGATGTTAGAGGAGGGAGTTTGGGAGGAGGGATTGCTTCTTTAAAAAAAACCCCAAAACCAACACACACCTTGTCCTGCATTTAATCTTAGGTTCTCTCTCACCCATCTCCAAAACTCGGTTGGATTCCTAACAGCTGAGATGAAAGATCTAAAGGGAAAAGAACCCCTCCCCCCATCAAGAGAGCCAGGGAAGCAGCTGGGGATAGTAACAGGTTCAGCCATCACAACTGGAACCAGAACAACATGAAAATAAGCCCCAGTTAAGCAGCATGACGGATACCCTGAGCAAAAGTGTCACTACAGGGTGGCTTATGCTGGTATACCCACTACATACGTATTACACAGTCATGTTCTACTTTTGGTCTTCAGACCGATACGAGGATTCGGTCTGGTGAACTAAGGCAGGCATATTGTCATTTGGCTTTAATTTGCCACACAAAATTCTTTAAATTGAAATTTTGAGAGATACTATTAGCATTCTAAAATTTATATAAAAATAAAGCTGTGTTCAAATTAGAAGTTTCACTGAGCTGCTATTATGGCAATATCAAATAACATTTAATCCAGGCTTTCGAGAAAGATTTTTAAGTCTATGACCAGGCAATGCAAAACCACCCAGATTTACTCACTGAGTTACGAGACCAGCCTGAACGGAGAAAAAATGCTCTGGCAGGAAAGAGATTGTTCCTATTCAGTAAAGAAACCCTGCCTATATAGCAAGGTCTCATTAAGTATCTAGTTCTCAAATTCAGTAGCTTCTTTGGAAGTCTCCCCCACCCCTGAAAAAGTGAGGTCAGGTGATTAAAAATCCAGCAAAAAGACGCCACAGCTGGCGCTAGCATATTTATGTATTATTTGTTTAACAAATTTGATATCCTTCTATGATAAGGTCACATACCTAATGGATGAAGGAAAGGCAGTGAATGTAGTTTTTTCTGGATTTTAGTAAGGCTTTTGATACTGTCCCTCACAGCATCCTTCTGGACAAGTTGTCCAACTGTGGGATGATAAGGTTCATGGTGAGCTGGGTGAAGAAACAACTGAAGGGCAGAGCTCAAAGGCTTGTAGGGAATGGGGCTACATCTGGCTTGTGACTGGTCACCAGTGGTATTCCTCAGGGCTCAATTCTATGCCCAGTGCTGTTCAATATATTTATTATCAGGAAACTGGATGCAGGAGTTAAATGCACCATTAACAAGTTTGCTGATGATGCCAAACTGGGAGGTGGTGTCGACTCTCTTGAGGGACAGGAGGCCTTTGCAGAGGGACCTAGATAGGTTGGAGCATTGGACTATGATTAATGGGATGAAATTTAACAAGTCAAAATGCCAGATTCTGCACCTAGGATAGAGTAACAGCAGGCACATAAATTGGGAGAGTGTCTGGCGAGCCGCGCTGCAGGCCGGGCCCTGGGGGTGCTGGTGGGCCGCAGGCTGAGCGTGGGGCAGCCGCGTGCCCCAGAGGGCAAACCCCATCCTGGGCTGGGCAAACCCAGCACGGCCAGCCCGACACCAGCGGTGACCATCCCGCGGTGCTCGGCCGTGGGGCGGCCTCGCCTGGAGCCCTGTCTGCAGGGCTGGGCCCCACGAGTTAAGGAGGGTGTGACGGGCCTTGAGCGTGTCCAGAGGAGGGAAACAAAGCGGGCGAGGGGGCTGGAAGGCACGTCCCGTGAGGAGCAGATGAGCCCTTTGGGCTCCTCTAGCTTGGAGAAAAGGAGGCCGAGGGGAGACCTCATGGCTCTCTGCAGCTGCCTGAGGAGGGGACGTGGAGAGGGGGGTGCCGAGCTCTTCTCCCTGGGACCCAGTGCCAGCACGCGTGGGAATGGCTCAGAGCTGCACCAGGGGAGGTTCAGACTGGACGTCAGGAAGCATTTCCTTACCGAGAGGGTGGTCAGACACTGGCACAGGCTTCCTAGAGAGGAGGCCGATGGCCCAAGCCTGTCAGTGTTTAAGAGGCATTTGGACAATGTCCTTAATAACGTGCTTTGACTTGGCCAGGCCCGAAGTGGTCAGGCAGTTGGACTGGATGATCCTTGTAGGTCCCTTCCAACTGAAATAGTCTAGTCTATTCTATTTATCAAGCTTATGTTCCCCAAATCTTAGAAGCTCCTGGCACATTAAGTTTGCCCTTGTCCTTGTTTTTGTTAATCTTTCAGCTGGGGTCAAGCAACAGAGAACAATGATTTGGCAAATGCTGATGAACTGAACAAGCAAGAAAAAAAATCACTGCTCTAATTTTTTCATTCCAATAGTTCTGGCAATAAAAGTTTCCTCCTTCCCTACTTGATTCAGAATCCATTTTAACCAACTTGTTCTGATGGAACTAGGTTTCAGAATTAGTGAAAATATATTAAGATAATCTGGAACATTTTTTACTCAAGTTAAATATATCCTCTGTTGTACAAGCTTTGTGGTTCTTCAAACCTCAGTTTCAAACAAGCTATTAGGAAATACCAGCATTAGCACTAATGCCAACTAGTGCTTGCATCTGCCTCCCAAGTCAGTGTTACAAAATGTCATTAACTACAGCAATTTCACCACTGCATAGTGCTATGCTCTCAAAAAAACCTGACAGAAACATCTCAAGATGGGCAAAGCACAGCTCACAACTGAGTCTTCAGAAGGTGCCTCACTGAATCACTCACTGAAGCCATCTGCTGCCTGCACTTCATGATGGCATCCCCTTTGGAAGGTATCTTCAAGTGCTGCATCACACACTCCTGTAATGTGCAGACACGGTGTGGAAGGAAGCCGCCTGTTGCCACGGAGAAGTGCAGAGCATCAGCAACCTGTGATGGAAGGGATCAATATTCCATGAGCAGCGACCGTTAACCCAAGGCAAACAACGTGGAGGTTTGACAGTGGGGATGCATATTAGAAGTAAAGTACACTGCAAACAAACTAATCCTCATTTTGACTGCATGCAGTTGCAGAGCTAGTAATCTGACTCCTTAAAGCTGTTAAGTTACATAAAAGGGTAAATTAAGTTTTAAGAATGACTTATACAAGTTATATGCTGTATTAGGCTAAGGCTCCTTCTAGCTCAGTACTCTTGTCTCCAGAGAGCAGGTGGTTATGAGCCATATTAGAAGAGAGTAAACATACAGTGATACTTCCCCAGGATACTTATGGCTCTGACTTTTATCTGAAACCTGAAATAGTGATGCAATGTAAGGAAAACATGATGGAAGAATATGTAAATTGTCAAAAACCTTGTGCCTAAAACCTGATTTTGCCAGTAAGACTCATTTTTGACTACATACAGAGCCAGAAGGGAAGCAGACAACAGCCTCCTGCAGTGACTGCATGGCATGGTTTTCTCCTCCTGGTTTCAGCCCTTCTGCAGGAGCAGCCCTCACTCTTGTCCCTAACCAGGGATCGCAAACATGAGTGGGACTATTGCAACAGGTGTAGAGAGAAGCCAATGGAAAAGAGAAGCCTGGAGGAGAGTCCACTGATGAGGGGAATGGAAAGGAAAAAATAAAAAGCCTGCATCCACAGTCGAAACCTGAGACTGAGCTATCTGTCATTAGAACAACCTACCCTTCAGACTTCTGCTAACTCAAAAGCCCAGATTCCCACTCTGGTCCCTCAAAATGCCCACTGACCTCTCATAGCCCTTTTCTCCTTATTACTTTCTCCCAAGAAACCTTGAGCCACACTCAGCAGAAGCATCTGCAATCCCAACAACGAAACCATGAGCTTACAGGCCAGCCCAGTTTTACTACAAGGGTTAGAGCTGAAGCCACTTTTGAGCTGTTCTGCTACACACTGCCCATGTGCCACCTAGACCAGACCACAGAGTGTGTGGGGGCAGCTGCTCAGCCCCTGCAATATTGACTACAGATTCGTAACCAATCTCTTCTGGCCTTTTATAGCAAGGGTAAATTCCAAGAGCAAACCCCCATTCCTCACTTACCTATAAAGTCCTTGAGGACAAAAATTAATCTCCTTCTGTCCAATAGCACAGGTAAACAAGCTGGTATGTCTTATTAATGACTAAAGCTGCCTCTAAGGCATCAGATAAATAGCTAACTGCTGACTTCTCTGGGACAGAAGCCATGTGTTTGCTGAGCCTACCAGAAGAAAGTGCTAAGCCAATCCATTTACTGAATTTCCAAGGAATAAAAGATTATATGAAGGTATTATGAAGAAAATGCAAAATGTTAGAGCACCACAAGTAGACCAAGCAACCTTGGACTCAGGAAAGAAATGTCAGATATCCTGTGCTCGGTGGTAGGACAGAGAAACTAGGACTGCCTATATTTCTGCAAGGCTGACTACCTTGCTGCAGTCCAAAAAAGTCTACAACCACCAGCTGAAAAATGGTGGGAAACATACTTGGAGAAAGGAACTGCAACAATTCAAACTGGTGAATCCACTGAAGAGAATAAAATGGAGAAGATCCAGGTAAAGCTGACCGTCACTGGATTATAAGCATGAAGTTTCCATCACTCATTACCCAACAGTCCTTTATATTATGCTTCTGACCACTGAAACCTGCTCTGGCTTTTAACTCTCGATGGCTGGATGCAGATAAAGAGGAACCTCAGGAAATACTTTCTCAAACAATCAGTTACTTTTACTCAAAGTCAAAACAAAGATGATGTTCAAATCTATGGAAATATATTCCATTCTTCTCGACAGTTAGAGAGGGAGTTTCTAGTAAAAAATTTCAATGCTTTCCAAACAAGGAGGAAAGACTTAAATATTTAAACAAAAATGAAAGCATCTTTGTGATCAATATTCATAAAAAGTCTAATCTGAATGAACAGGGTTATAGAATAAACTTGTCCACAATGAAGACAATGTGAAAATCTTTCACTGTGAAAATCTTTGTCCAAAGTCACTGCATGCTAATGGCTTGGATCCAAGGGCAGAAAAACTGCAACATGCTGAAGAGTAGTGTATGTACATTCATCTCCAGAACCAGATGGCAACAGTGACTTCTTCACTTGTACATTTTATGAGGAAACCTTGCACAGGCCTCTGTCTTATGGAAAGTCTCAAGCTGTCATTTTTCTTTATTCTTTCAGCACACACCTCGAGGAAGAATTGTATTCTTTCTTCCACAGATATGCAACCAACAACATTTTACAATAGGCAGAGATTTCAGAGTGTGAGAATGCTCTAGCCTTGTGATGCGGAGTAGAAGTGTCCCAGAAGGCAACACTAGGGATGTAAGCACTGACAGCAGCCAGTTGCCTGCTCACCACACAGCTCTTTAGGCTGCTATAGCCCAGCAGTAACACACCCCCACCCAAGGCAGTCAAGTGTGAAACAGCAGGATCAGATTTCCACAAACACTATCATTAAAAGTTGAACTTCAACAGGTGATGCTTAAGTACTGTAAGAACATTAATGGAGAAAACAGTGAACATCAGAAACCTTTCACTGCCATCCTCTACATGTTGTGTTAATTATATTAGGTTACTTATTGTAAGGAATAAACAGTTGCAGTAACTGGCCAAAACCAGGGATAAATAACACTTTTCAAGTTATGCAGGTGGGATCCCATCTAAACCAGAGTTCTTCATTCCATTGCTGTGTTTTTAAGCAGTCTCTCACGTGCACACAGCCTGTTCCAACTTTAACAACACTAGGAAGCTGTCTTTAAGAAGTGCTTCACAAAAAGCATCTATGAGAGTTTGCTCAGCGGTATCTCCCAGTTATTTGCTCCAGCAGTACAGAGTAGAAGACAAGACAGCTTAATTCCACGGTGTCAGGTACACTGCAGGGTAGCCAAAACCAGACTACTTCACTAGCTTATTTACATTCAAAATAGGATTCAGGCCAACAAACCAGAGTAATTGAATCTAAGCCTAGAGATCGATTGGTGCAAGAAAAGCATGCACGTCAACCCATACCAAGATAACAGAATGAGTGCAATTCTGTGTACCTTGGATCCTAGGGTGGGTAGTTCTGGTTAATTATTTCCACTGTATCAGTTACACATTCTAGCCAGTACAGCTCAGAGCACTGGTGGGAATTTTCACCCCTATGTTTTTCATGCAGTCAGGATTTAACACTGACATTTCACCTGTAATGGAATAACATAATTTTTAGGGGCAAAAGGCCAAAACTAAGATCATAAAGGGACTGAGAGAAACCTCTGCTGTATAAAGCTTGCTACGTAGCCCAGATTAGGGCTTTGAAGAGTTACTACAGGCAGTCATATCTATGACATGAAAAGTCAGTACATAGGCAAGGACGAGTCCTATATAACTATGCATAACGTATTCATGCTCATTATGAAAAATCATAGCCAATATGTTATTTTCTTCTCTAATTCTCTTTTTAGTCATACATTAATAACCACAACTACCAGAGACAGCACCAGCAAAAACTGATTTTTGTGGTAACCTGTCCTGTTCTCTCACTTCTACCACTGCTTTTATTAGCAGGTGCTTCCCACTGCTGGATACCCGTTGCCTGAATCTGTTTCTGCACTTCTGAAAAGGACAGAAAGAATAACAAAGAATATAAAGCAAAAGCTGCTCTGGCTCCTGTTTAAGTCACAGTAGCCTTGGGTTGTGCCAAGTTTGACCAAGACCAGTTAATACATCTTAAAAAAAAAACACATTAAACTTGCTGCTGATATTATATATTAGCTACCTTTTAAAATGAGTCTACGCAAGGCTCTGAATAACACTGTCAGCCTTGCCTGCTAGTTCTTCTTAGCTAGAACAAAACCATTATGTTTATATGGTTCTGTGACATTTTAGTAATGTTCAATCTTCTCTGAGAGAATGTTCTGAACAAGGCTGAAGTTTCTCTTGTTGGAACTTTTGTTCCCAACAAGAACATCTGAAGGGTACCTGTGTATCAAAGACATTGAAGAGAAGGACACCATACTGGTGAAAGAGGCAGTCGGAGATCCAGCGGCAGTCATGCATGACCTGAAGCAAGAAAGAGCTGTCAGACAAACTTGTGTCCAACTGCAGCCTTCTGGGTACAAGCAGATCATTGTATATGTATATGGCCTCTGCCACCACAAACGTCCTCACACACCCTGTATCCTTACCTTCACAATGTTCTTATCTTCCAGCACCATTTGTAATCCATTTTTGAAAGCCTGAGGTCCCAGAAGGAAGATATCAAATAGAAAAATGCAGCTCTCTGTTGCTATCTACAACAAATTAAGTTGCCAAGAAAATGAGTGAGGGACAGAAGAACAAAGGATTTCGAAGTAGGAGAGAGTGTAGTGCTGCCCACAAGCCACAAACTCCTATGTACATACTATGTGCTTTATGCTGGGGAGAGCAGGTTTAGTTTCCTTAATGCTTTTTCATAAACAAGTCTTGTTTTCCCTAGAGATGCTCAGAGACTTACAATAATTAGAAAGAATGACCCAGTAGTCTACCATACACAGTTAAATACAGGATTTTGAGACATATCAAGAGCAAATCCTATGCACAGTACTTAAAATAAATTCCTACGCTTACTATAGTGACAATTTAAAGAACCACTTCCAGCAAAATTCTTGTGCTCATGACATTCCTCTCATTGTCAAAGACCACTACCGAAGAAATAAAAGACATCATTTTCCATCCTAGCATTTCAAACAGGATATAAAATTGAGGTTTTGCCTGTGTTCAAATTTATAATGGTTTAACAAAAGCTGTTATTTGAAAGCAATTTAGCCATACCAAAGCAAACATTTTGTGGACACTTCCTTCTGCATAAACGAATTAAGTTTGAAGCATGAACTCCCACACAAGCTTTGGATAAACACTTACTTTTAAACCTATTTTAAAATATACTAAGACTATTTTGAGCTAACATATTAAGCCATTCTCCTTTCTGTCCCTTCCTTTTCACAATGTTGATAATATCACAGCTAATTAAGATACTGTATCTTCTTCAGATGGATTTTACTCTTTCAATTACATTGGAATTGTGATTAGGTCTTGCAGTTTTTCAATAGGTAGCAGCTGCACAAGTGTAATACCTCTACCCATATACAAGTATATAAAGATGGCAGACCAAATACATTGTTATATACAAATGTATATATTACATACAAGTTTAGTAATTATTATATTGCCTTATAACGACATAATTCTTTCTGTAACAGGTCTTTTATGAAATGCCTGATCTGTCTTGAAGAACACCATATCCCTTACCAAAACATAAGTCTTAAACACAGGCTAATCCCCAAATGTTTCTCAGTTATGCCTCTGTTTAGTGGTACATTTTGGGAAATATCTGCCTCTTACCTCAAGCCAAGAGAGTTTTCCATGACGACACAAATTAACACCTTCTCCTGCTATACTGATGACACATTGCCGTTTTAGGTGCAGCACCTAATGAAAAAAATGGGGATAAAATAAATAGTGCCAAAGAATGTTAGGCAGAAAGACAAATAGTAAACTGTAAGTCTTCTGGTCATAATCCATATTTAAAAAGGTAAATACAGACCTGTCGGGGGAGACAAAATGAAAATGCATGCTAGGCCTTGGAGCAGGCCCCTCAGCCTGAACACAAGTACTGAGAGGATCCTGCTAAGTCGACCCTGGGAAAAGTAGAGTTAATGTTTCTTTTTGGTAGCTAGAAGAGTGCTGTGTTTTGGTTTTAACAAGGGGTTTGTTATGAGAAGAATGCTGATAAGCTCACTGATGTTTTCGGCTGCTGCTGGGAAAGAAGGAAGCATGAAGACTGCCAGGACTGCATGATTAGCGCGTAAAAACCTGGTGCAGTTAAGCTGGTAGGAAAGTACTGTAACTTGACGGAAAAGTATTGTAACTTTTGAAAGGTATATAAGCAGCCTACGTGCTGAAATAAAGTGTCTCAGCATCACCCATGATCTGAGTCTGTGCCTCAGTCGCCATAAATGGCACCCGAACCTCAGGCCTAATTAGATGACTCAGTGGTCGTACCGGTGGCGTTGCTTGGCTGAACTCCAGGAGCTGAAAGGAAGCTCCAGGCACGCCAAACAGACTTTTTCTGCAGGACAGAAAGGTATGCAGCTGAGAACTATGGGGAATACTGCATCGCCAGAGCACAGGGTTGTACTTGATTTAATGCAACCAATTCTAAAGCAACACGGTCAACATTTAGACAGCAATGACTTCAAGAGACTGCTGCTTTGGGCTCAAGATCGTGACCCACATTTAAACAGCGCTAACATCTTTGATCCCCAAAGATGGGATGATTTAGGGGTTAAGCTATGGGACCGAGCCACCCGGGGAGACAGAATTTCTTCTGGGCTCCTGGCTGCTTGGCGGATCATGCTTGAAGTATTACATTCCCATGTCCCGTGTAGTGATTTAGAGGATGATAGCACAGAGCCGTTACCCGTCACGACAGATTTGTCGGAACTGTTAACCCCTACTGCTCCGCCAGCGCCAGCGAAGCAAGAGATTCCTAAAAAATCTTGTTTGGTGGGGACTGTTGGAGGCAACCTTGATACGGACCCCTGGGTCCCAGAGCCTTTTGACCCAGAGAAAGAATCTGTCCTGTACCCTCCCGACCCTCATGATAAATGGGCTATGGCACACAGACAGGCTGCAGAGCAGGGGGATTTTGATATGTTGCAAGCATTCCCTGTTATATATACTCCTAACCAACAGCCTAAGTGGGAGGCTATCTCCTACTTGGTTCTTAAAGAACTCTGTCAGTCAGTACAGGACAATGGGCTGGGGGACCCTTTCACAATCGCCATTCTAGAAAGTACAGTAGATTCCTATAACCTGGTCCCTCACGATTGCAAAGCAATAGCAAAATTAATACTTACGGGGAGACAATTCATGCTATGGATGTTGCATTAGCGGGAGGCGTGCTCAGCACAGGCGGCAGAAAATTTGTTGTGTCCGCCTGGACACCAACTTCAGCATATTACTTTAGATATGTTAATAGGTGAAGGTGCCTATGCCACTGCTGCTGCTCAAGCTCAGTTGCCCACTGACGTGACAGATCAATCTAAAACCTTGGCGATGAAAGCCCACGCAAACTTCTTTTGTAAATATCCGACGAGAAGCCACAGAGCCTTTTATGCAGTTTTTAGACAGGCTTAAAGCTAGCCTGGACGAACAGACAGACAACTCCACAGCCTGTGATTTGATATTTAAGCAGCTTTCAATAGAAAATGCGAATCTGGACTGTCAAAAGGTATTAAGAGCATTAAAGGCACCCACAGTTATAGAAATGATACAAGCCTGCCAAGGTATAGGGTCGGAGAGTCATCGAGTTATGTTAATGACTGAGGTGTTTGTGGCCATGAATATGCACCCCAATTCTGGCACCTGTTTCCGATGTGGTCAGCCGGGACACGTGCGACGAGAATGCCCTAATACAAGAAAGGGGGCAAACGCCGGACCGGGTATTTGTCCCTGCTGCCAAAAAGGATGGCACTATGCTAAGCAATGCCGATCCACATTTACGTGGGATGGGCGACCTCTTCTGGCACGGTCTAGCCAGCCTCAGGGAAACCTGTCCCAGAGTGCGACGTGGGGGGGTGAGCTCCAACAGCAACTCACCCTCCTGCCCAGCGCTCATGCCAGCGAGAGAACTTCGCGCCGGAACAACGGGCAGCGCCGGAGTGGAGCTGGCCACTGCAGTCAGTCGATCTAGTGTCCACAGCAATGCATCTTGTTCCCACAAATGTTCGTGGACCCCTCAGAAATGGATGCAGCACCTTGTTAATAGGAAAATCATCCACAACTTGGCAAGGCTTACTCATCCTCCCTGGACTGATTGACTCAGACTATAAAGGGGAAATACAAATAATGGCATGGACCCCTACACCACCTTGTCGCGTCCTGATGGGAGCAAAAACTGCACAACTTGTGTATTTCTATGCTCATCCTCCAGGACATTTGAATTGGGAAAGGGGGGAGGGTGCGTTCAGATCCACTGGGGAACCTCAAATCACATGGGCTCAGCCTCTCACATGTATCCATCCTTCCTTGAAATGCAAATTAATCCATAGTTGTTTGTCTATAAAAATTACTTTAATAGGGTTGATGGACAGTGGTGCTGATGTCACGGTAATCGCACAATCTGCCTGGACATCTAACTGGCTGCTGATGCAGTCAACTGATGCCCTAGGGGGGGTGGGCAGCTTGACCTCCCCAAAACAGAGTGCCAACCTTATCACTATCAAGGGTCCAGAGGGCTGTACTGCATCCCTCAAACCCTATGTACTGCCACTTCCCATCACACTTTGGGGAAGGGACTTCTTGCTTCTTGGGGTATTGTCATGGGGACAGATTTATCATAGGGGCTGCTGGAAGGCAGCAAGTCCCGGCCCTGACATGGACAATGGATAATCCTGGATGGGTCAATCAGTGGCCCCTATCTCGGGATAAGCTGTGACATTTGCATCAATTGGTACAAGAACAGTTGCAAGCCAGACATACTGTTCCCACTACAAGCCCTTGGAACTCCCCTATGTTTGTTATCCAAAAGAAAAATGGCACGTGGCGTTTATTACATGATCATTGTAAGATTAGTGAGGTGATAGAGCCTACGGGTGCATTACAACCCGGCCTTCCATCTCCATCAATGTTGCCACAAAATTGGGTTTTAATAGTTATCAATTTGAAAGATTGGGTTTTTTACAATACCTCTTAACGAGCGCAATGCGCCCTGGTTTGCCTTTTCTGTACCCTCTATTAATGCAGCAGAGCCACACCAGAGATACCATTGGGAGGTTTTGCCACAAGGCATGAAAAACAGCCCAACAATATGTCAATTGTTTGTTGCTTGAGCACTGAGCCCCGTTCGGCTTCAAGTGCCTGACGTTTTGATATATCATTACATGGATGATATCTTGATCGCTGGGAGATTTGAAAAACACACTGTCGAAGCACTGAAACTGATAGTTGATGCAATACACCAATCAGGCCCAGTAATTGCAGAGGACAAGGTCCAAGTGATTCCTCCATAGAAGTACTTGGGGTGGAAAGTAAGTAATCAAACCATAACCCCTCAGAAATTGAATATCACCACACAGATTAATACATTAAATGATTTACAAAAATTATCACAGACCATTAATTGGCTATGACCCTTGTTGGGGGTTACTACCCATGACCTCCACCCACTCTTTCAATTGGTGAAAGGTGATCCAGATCTCATGTGATCACACTCCCTAACACAAGAAGCACAAACGGCATTAGAAAAAGTAACAGCAGCTTTGCAGCAAAGGCAAGGTTATAGAAAGACAGACCACCTACAAATCTGTTTATATGTAATGTTGAGCAATTTTCAACCCTTAGGATTATTAGCTCAGTGGAATCCTGCTCAGAAGGATCCGCTAGTCATTTTGGAATGGGTATTCTTGCCACATCAGTCTGGAAGAACAATTGTCACACAGATGGAGCTTTTAGCTTTGGTTCTACAGAAGGGTAGACAAAGATTAATGGAACTCAATGGATCAGACCCTGGAGTCATATACATTCCCCTTTCACAGGACTGTATTAATTGGTTATACCAGCATTCACTGTCTTTTCAGATAGCTCTGGAAGGCTACTCAGGAGCACTTAGCACTCACCTTCCATCTCACCCTCTACTTCAAAATGCATGGCACTTACTGCTGATGCAGAAAACATGGCTTTCACTAACACCATTAAAAAGACCATGACAGTCTTTACTGATGGCTCCGGAAAAACAGGCTGAGCAGTGATAGTTTGGCACACAGATTCAGGGTTGGACCATGATGGCACCATAGTAAAAGGGTCTCCACAAATTGTGGAGTTGGCTGCAATAGTTAGGGCTTTTGAAAAGGTTTCAGAAGAAATTAACATTGTCACCAATTCCGCTTATGCTGCAGGAATAGTCTCAAGACTAGAGAAAGCCTTTTTAAAGGAAGTTACTAATTCTCTTTTGTTTGCTCAATTGCTATGTCTGCGATTTCTATCACAACACGGCACTGCTGCGTATTACATTATGCACATATGGTCTCACACAAGTCTCCCCAGACCTCCAACAGAAGGAACTAGACAAGCAGACTTCCTTGCGGGGACAACCGTCATCCCACAAACTTTTGCACAAGCTCGCATTTCTCATGAATTCTTTCATCAGGGGGCAAGTGCCTTACGGTGACAATTTCATATTACTGCAGACCAGGCTAAACAAATCATTCAAGCTTGCCCTGACTGCCAACACGTTGTCACCCCTTCTCACATTGAGGTTAATCCCCAAGGGCTTCAGGCCCTTGAGATAGGGCAGACAGATGTTACACATATCTGAGTTCAGACTCCTTAAATATGTTCATGTCTCCATTGATACATTCTCCAGTTGTATATTTGCTTCTGCCTATATGGGAGAACATGCCTGTGATATACAGCATCATCTCCTATTTGCAAAATTCAGAGTCCCCAAAATTATAAAAACAGGTAATGGTCTGGATTATATCTCAAAAATAATGCAAGGTTTTTTTAGCCTGTGGGGCATAAAACACATTACAGGCATTCCCTACTCCCCACAGGCCAAGCAATAGAAAAACGTGCACATAGAACCCTTGAGGCCATGCTCAGAAAACAAAAAAGGGGGAGCGCAGGATATACTCTGCATCAACAGTTCCAAAATACTTCCTATGCCCTCAATTTTCTAAATCAGAGTATAAATGATATGCCCCCAATACAGCATCACTTTTTAAAGACTGGTGAGATGCCAATACAAAAGGCTCGTGTAATGGTTAAAAACTTAGATTGAAGAATATGGTAAGGACCTTTTCCACTGATAACTTCGGGAAGAGGGTATACTTGTGCCTCCACAGAAACCAAGCCAAGATGGGTTCCTGCAAGATGGATAAAGCCAGACCTGTTGCAGTCATCCTCGCCATTGTGATCTGACCTCGAGAGTTAAAATGATGGTTGTGTAATGTTTAATTACAGAGAAAAAGACCAGTCATTAGTTCAAAATGTAAATTCATCTTTAGCAATATATAGAAATAGTAGTGTGTGGTGTAATTATACATCAAGCAATGTTTCACACTACACCAAAACGCCATTAGCCTTGCCTGTAGGGGTGTTTCTTTTTTGTGGGGATAGAGCTTGGCCTGGGATTCCGTCTCATTTAAGGGGAAGACCTTGTAGCTTTGGAAGATTTCAGTGGTCTGTGCTGTATGAATTTATCAGACCACTCTAAATTGAAGAACTACATAAGTTAATGGGAAATCTACATGAACATAATAACTACAACATTTTTGGAGACTGGTTTAATTGCTTAGGGATATGGGTGAAACATTGTTTTATGTTAGGTGTATTTTGTTTGCTGATCTTCATATGCATATTAGTGTATATGCCGTGTGTAATATGATATATACAGTGCATGATTGATAAAGCTGTAGGCAATGTAATGTTAGCTGCTTTAGAAAGCAAAAAAGGGGGAGATGTTGGGGGAGACAAAATGAAAATGCATGCTAGGCCTTGGAGCAGGCCCCTCAGCCTGAACACAAGTACTGAGAGGATCCTGCTAAGTCGACCCTGGGAAAAGTAGAGTTAATGTTTCTTTTTGGTAGCTAGAAGAGTGCTGTGTTTTGGTTTTAACAAGGGGTTTGTTATGAGAAGAATGCTGATAAGCTCACTGATGTTTTCAGCTGCTGCTGGGAAAGAAGGAAGCAAGAAGACTGCCAGGACTGCATGATTAGCGCGTAAAAACCTGGTGCAGTTAAGCTGGTAGGAAAGTACTGTAACTTGACGGAAAAGTACCGTAACTTTTGAAAGGTATATAAGCAGCCTGCGTGCTGAAATAAAGTGTTTCAGCATCACCCATGATCTGAGTCCGTGCCTCAGTCACCACACAGACCAAAACCACAACATGAATCTCAGATATATCGTGATCCAAGAGAAACATACACAGTGTTAGTCCACTTACAGATAGACAGCTGGAAATTCCACAGTTAGAAACAGCAATGATAGGTTTAGCATAGATTATGGATACCAAAAGAATTTAGACTTCCCTGATCTCCTCACCAGAAATTATCCTAAATAGGTTTTAGGAACTTCTTTAAGATCACATAAAGGTGTTCCTTTCAGGCAAAAAGGGGAACCAATTTTCTAAGGTACAAAAGAAAAACCTGTTACTATCAGACATAAAAAGTATTCAGACAATTAAGATAAAGCCATCTGTAGCACACATGTAGCACAACAGTAGAAGGCATAAACAGAAACAAAAACCCAGCTTCTTTTTCAAGCAACAGTTAGATTCTTCTGAAAGCAGGGAAGTCCCTTCCTGTGGGGAAAAGCTTCTTCCCCTGTATGTGCAACACATTTACCATAATAAGAGCCCCAAACCCAACTGATGTTACTGCAAGAAAAAATTGCATGGAGGACCTGTAGTATTGACGGTCTAATGCAGGATCTAAAAAACACTATTAAATTTAATAATAAATCTATCATTGGCTCCGAGTTCTGAAACAAAGCCTTTCTACCAAGTCCACTTATATTACTATATATGATTTAAGAGAAAAAGGTCTAGGCATGCATTGAGTTCCAAATACCCATTAAAGCAACACAATCAATTCCCTCTCCAAATGCCAACAAATCCTCATGCTTTTCCTTTCCTAAACAAAAGAATGTTCACCAAATAGTGATACTGACCCTTCACCTCAGTTACTGGTGACAGAGAATCTGAAAATAGCAACCAACACACACTGATGCAGATTCATATCCACCCACTGCAAATTCACGTGCCCTGCATGCTTTTCCTGCACATATGCGCACTTTAAATACACTCTGATGCCACCAGAAATACCATTTCTACCTGACTTAAAGAAGCCAGTCACTACCTATTGCTCAAATTTCACTACAGTCTTGCAAAAGTGATTTGCAGTGTAAGATGTCATGAAACAGTACTCACAATCTGCCACCTAATGGGTCTACTGACAGAATGGAACAGGCTTACAAGTCACATACACTGCATAAGAACTTTCATTAGTACTTACTGCTGGGGCAAATTTCTGCTGGAAACAATCAATAACTGCGTACTCCACATTCTCTTCTTCCCTCTTCTCTAAAAGGAAGAAAAAAAAAATCATTAGACACTTCCTTCACTTGAATGAACTTTGCACAAGGTATGTATTTTAGTTGTATAATCACTCTACTTTTATGGTTTAGCTGTTCAGTTCTTCCCTCTCCGTTTCCTGAACACACCCAAACAGATTACTGAACTGACTGATTCAGTTGTGTAGAGTCTAGAGCATGACCCAAAATCCTGATTTTTGACAGAAAAGCTGGTTGTTTAGAAGCAAGCTGCGGCATTACTTTTTGTTGTTATGATGCATAAAGGAAACAAAAAGGTTTCAGTTTAAAAAATTACATCCATTAGGGAAAAAAAAAAAAATTGCATCCTCATTCCCAGGTTTTTCTGGGGAAAGAAAAGGATTGTAACAAAGATGAAACTAACAGGCAGCAACACCACAGAACATGGACAGCTAAGTGATCAAGGGAGTAAAGAGAACTTAAGCCAGATTTTAGTAATTTTAACACCTGCTTGACAATGTCTAATGAACAAGTAAAGAAGGGTTGTCTAAAAGACTCTCCCTTCTCTTTAGGTAAGATGCAAATGTTAATAATATGCATACATGACAACACAAGGACAATCTTCTAAACTCTAAAATAACAGTCAATCGAAAGATCATAAGAACAAATTTTTAAAGGATCTCCTAGATCATATCAACCCTTGCTCATTTTCTCCCCCACTACCCAAGTAAATGCAGCTAACCTTTCTGTAGTCTAGACAGGCCTTGCACCCTTGTCATGTCTGTATGAGAACAGAACAAGCCGGTCACATTTTAAATCTGTACCTGTGTATACAGCAGAACCACACAACCAAATCAATGCAAGCACATAACAGCCAGCACAGAACAACAGTCTTACTGAGCTCTGAGTTATCTATCATGCCACATACCTTTCAGGAGTAAGTGTAAGATTAAAACAATCACCAGAGAGGAATACTCACTGGCTGAAGCAGTTTGATTTCTCCAAAAGAGCAGTTGTGCTGCTCAGCCACTTTTACAGTTGATGAGAGCTACAGGATAAACATTCTGGAAAGCAGATGAGTTTCCTTCTGATGCTGTGTACGTATCTGCAGGCAAAGAGCACATCTGCAGATAATGAGCTCTGTACCTATGGGTACCTATGTACCTTTCTGTGACTGCTGTTTTTTCAGCATACATCCTGTTCTGATACAGACAAACCTGATCACAGCCTCTGGGAAAGATGTTGTCTGACAAAGACAAATTATCTACATTGCTTGACTAATATAAACATTACCTGAGAGGGAGTATTTTAAGGTATTTGAGGGTCTGAGCTGTCTCTCTGGGGAAGCACAAGGAGAACTCCATGGGCCACGATCTGCTGGTCGCGTGTCTGCTTGTTCGTTCCCTTCAACAGCTGAAGTGCATCTGTACGAGCAAGGCAACCACACATAGCACAGAAGTCAAAACACTACACATTCCACAAGCATGGACATTTTAATAAATAAAATTATTTCATCCAATGCCATCTACCTGTGTCCAGACAGTAAACTGCTGCATTTGAAGCAACTTCCCAATCCAATGCCCATGGTTCTTAAAGAAGATCTTGATGCTACCCAAAAATAAGCTTACTTTGCACAAAAGGGCCTTTATTTCAGATAAAATTTCACATTTAAAGTAAAAGGTGAAAGCAGAACCTGGACAGATGTTCACTGCAAAGGTCAGCAATGGTTTCAAGGAAAGAAAGAGTTCAAAGTACAAAGAATGGAGTACCTGACCTGAGCCCAAGAACCACATCATTTAAGTATCTGTAAGTCTTTATGTTGAATCAGTATCTGATCCATCAGTTATTGTAATTAAAGGGTGATTTTACAAGTCCACCAATACATAAAACAGTTATATTCACTGAAACTTTACTGTAACCAAATGAAAGCTATTAAATCATATAAAATGGTAGCATCTCGGGACCAAAAACATTCACCTGACTGAAAGTTGTCACATATAGGATGCTTAATTTCTACAACAGGACAGTCTGAGGTCAAGAATACTTCACTGGGAAATATGACTTATTACTATAAATTTCCTTATATTGATATAAAAACATCCCATTATAATAGTATATCTCCAACCATGTACACCTCTATCTCAATAGAGCAAAACATAAAAACCTCTTTCTGACCAGCCTGTAGATGTAGCTGAAGAATCTTGTATATAAAATTGTATGTTTAAAGGATTAACACAGGGATCTGCTACTGAGGTAAGCATATTCAAGTATGTGTGAATGTAGGCTTACTTAACAGGGAGAAAGAAGACAAGATGGCAGCAAGCAAGAAGATTGCTGCTAATCACAATTCTATGTGCTTAACTGTATTTTAAGGACTATTCAGTAGACACCACTTCATTCCTACCTCCCTTAAGAGGAAGAATAAACTATTCAAATGTAGTCTTGTGAGAACACTCAAAAGCAAAGCCATCTAGGACCATGGGTCTGCAGAAGTTTGAACCATATTTTCACCAGCTTCCCAAAGTCACATTTATATATGTTTTGAGAGCATTTGCATAAACCTAATCTTCTCCGTGCAACTGTTCTGGAACTGTTCCACAACAGAAGAAATGCTCATGGGAAATCCCCCCTGAAACCACAAGCTGACAAGGAAACAAACCAAAGCAAATTCTTTTACCTAGAAGCACTAGTGGGAAGAAAAAAAGAAAAAAGAAAAAAGCAAGAGTGAGAAATTGTAAGTAATAGCTTGAAAGAACCTTTTACACAGTGGAGGTCTTCTACCCACCACCCTGTTCATCTCTTTAGAGCAGAAAAATACAAATGTGGCACAGCTGAGTCTGAACATCAGTATTACATCAAATGTAAGCGGTGGCTCCCCTAGCAAGCACTTTCCACCCCTTCTGCTGTGAAAGGAAGGAAACATTTCAACTTACTCAGAGAGCATTCCTGTTCCCTCCCCTGAATCTGGTTCATCCAGCAATTCCACTGCAATAAACAAACAATTTATACTCTAGTGGTGACAAGCAATTTTTTGACACTTATCTCCCCAAAAAAAGAACCATAACCAATACTAACTGTAGGACATGGCCATACATGCAAAAAAAGAAACTGAATTCAAAGTATAGTTTAAATAATTTTAAATTCACCCTGATGTACAAATCTCTACAAAATAACTTACATTGGTAGCCTAGATAAGGTGTATTTCAGAACTCTAGCATTTAAACAAGTCTAATGGCTTAGCATCCTACCAAAAAGAAAGTTGGTACTGAACTACAACTAGATACTTTACCGACTATTATATATACAATAAAGCAGGTACAAGGAAAAATACAGAATGGAGTCAGTTACTATCACTTGCTAAGTCCAATACCTGCCTTCTAGCTGTCTCCACCTCAGCACTTTGCTCCTTGTCCCCAAAGCAGAGCAGATGCCAATAGAAACACACGAGACCTTTATAAACTTGAAATGTTTTCCTTAAATAATCCCATATTCTTATTACTAGTGAATCACAGAAAGAGGCTCAGACAAACAGACGCAGTGCAAAACCAAGTTAATTAGAACTTTAAACAATTTAACTTCCCAGCAGAGTCCATTAGTGAAAATCCTGCACATATAAAAACATATGCAATGAATTTACCTTGCCCTCAGGATGTGAACAGGAGGCACGTTTAACTCAACTGGTTACCTTTGCAGTGGCTACTTTCATTACTGGTCTTATTGGACTTTATTCATTATTTAACTAACAAGCTTTATTGCAGTACAGTCACGAGGCCTTCAGAAAGTGGGGAATTATTATTTCACTGATAGGGAATTATTATTTCACTGATAGGGAATTGGGGAACAAGACTTCCGTGACTTAGAACATTCTAATTCCTAGTGATTTTAAAAGATGTGCAACTGAAGAATTCATCAGCAACCACAAAATGGATTTAAAATGCTGAACTAAGAGTAGGCATGACCCCTGTGCCCCAAAACGCGGTAAGAAAAGCCTCACCATTGAGTATTTCACAGTCAAAAAACATCTTTACTCCTGGAGTGCTTCTGCCAGTTTCCAAGTTCTTCACTGAAATGAGGGAGCAGAGAAAATACAGATATACATCGAGTTCTACTCTTTGGCGTAAAAGCTTATAATTTGCAGAACAAAGTAAGACCGTATGACCCGGTAGTATTATTAAGTACAAAAAGAAAAAACAACCCACAAAAAGCACCCAAAACCAACAAATAGGTTAAGTGACTGCTCTTTCACTCTTACAGATGAGTGTTTCTGTAGGAGGCCTGTGCACCAAGCAGGACACGACCGATGGCTGCTACACCTACGCAGCCCCACAGCTGAAAGCACACGCAGGCGCAGCCAACTTCTGATTTAGCGCGTATTTTACTCAGCCCAGTGCCCACGTGGGCTCCGGGGAAGCACCCACGGGCGCCCCGTGGGGCGCAGCAGGGCAGACTGGCAACGCCACTGGAGGCGCCGCGGAGCCGGGCACCCTTCCTTCCCTCAGCGCCCGGCTCGCCGCCCGCCCTCTCCCCTCACAGCAGCCTCCGCGGCGGCGGGGCCCCACCTGCCCGCAGGAGGAGGCTCCGCTCGGGGCTGACGTGCTGCAGGATGCCCTGAAAAACGCCGCATTTTAAGGTGAGTTTAACGGTTCTCCCTAGAAAAGCACCGAGGCGCTGAGGGGACGCGTTGAGGGCCATCAGACCGCACGCGCCCGCCGCGGCGGCCCCGCCCACGCCCAGCGGGGGAGGGGGCGGGACCGGGACCACCCCGACCCACCACCCAATGGGCGGTGGTGGGGACACGTTACAGACAAGAGGGCGGTGCCCCACGCGCCGCCTGCTGGGAGCAGCGGGCGGCCTGAGCCGCCCGGGGGTGACGCCGGCGCCTTGGCGAGGCCGCGCATGCGCGCGGACGGTCCGGCGGCGGCCGCCGGGCGGATGAGGGGAGGGGCGGGCTGAGGCGGGTGGCGGGGCCGGGCCGGGCCGGGCCGGGCCGGGCCGCACCGGGAAATAAGAGCGGGTGCGGGCTCACCTTCCGCCTCAGTGCGGCTGGGCGGCTGTAACCGCACCGGTGCCGGGAGGGGGTGGCCTGAGGTACCGCTGTCGCGCTGCGTAACTCTCCCCCGGCGCGGAGCGCGGCCCTCCCCTCAGGCCCAGCGGCGATGGGTTCCCGGGCATCCACGCTGCTGCGAGACGAGGAGATCGAGGAGATCAAGAAGGAGACGGGCTGTGAGTGCGGGCCTAGGGGGTGCTGCGGGAGTTTGGGCGGCCGGAGAGGGGCAGCGCCCTGTCCCTCAAGCCGGGGAGGTGCCTCGGCTGGCCTTGTCCCTCGGGGGCTGTGCGCCGAGCCGTGCCCTGGCTGGCGGGACCCCACTGACCCCAGCGACCGGCGGCGGGCACGGCTTGTAGACCTGCGGAGACCTGGGGAACGTCTCTTAGTTCGTGGCCTGTGTCTGTCCGTCCATTCGCCGCGTAGGACCGGCCCCGGGGCTCTGCCGGTCGCCCGCTCGCTTGGGGCTGGCAGCAACCACCGGCTGTAAACACGCAGTTGAGTTACTCCCGGGGCTGGCCTGTAGGCGACAGGGGCAGCTGTGGGAGCTGGTGTTGCTTTTGGCGCACTAAAAAGCGAAAGCTGTCATCTAGTCAGCCGGGATCCGCGAGGCCCTTCGGCTCCTGGCCGCGTTGTGGCTGTGGGGAAGACCTCGCGTGGGAGCCTTTGCCGTGGGTTAAGGAGGTGCCGTCTGTACAACGGCAGGGAGACCGAGGTTGGAAGGGAGAGGAGCAGTGCTCTTGGTATTGGCAGGATTGTTTTCAGTTAACTTCTTATATTTTTGAAGAGTTGTCTGGCTCTCTGGTATTGGAGTTTCTCTCCAGCAGCAGTTTTTAGCCCCCAAAAACTCTCATTGTATAGTAAGTTTTTTCCAAATGTTGTTTCATAGGCTATCGATAAAGTTGCCTTAAGCGTATTCAGAATGAATGCTCAGTGGCGTTTAAAACATGAAGGAGGTAATGTAACTTGCGGCAGTTGGGTATGGTTAACTAAAAAAAGTTAAAATTCCTGCAATAGCCAGCAATTATTCAAGCTGGAGTGTAGTATATAGCTACTTTACCCTATATTTGTAGTATTTGGTCAAGCTGTTCTCCATAAATATGAAGTATATTAGAAAAGGTAAAACTCAGTGTTGCTAATTTGGCTGATATAATGGTTGCGTATCCGAGAAGTCTAGCAAACGGTGACTGATAATAAATGAAAGGTGCCATCAACTAATCGGAGAGGGGAGGTTGTGACATCATAGGTACCACTTTGCTGTTCCCCCCCACGCCCAGTTCACCCAGCTTCAGGTAAAAAAGGTCTTCCCAGATCACGTTTTTTTCCTGGTTATGCTTGCTGATCTGTTCTTGCTATGTGCAAATACTTTCCTCAGATTTCTTTCCAATTGAAATAGTGTCGTATATTAATTTTAGGTGATAGTTTACTTGTGTCAGGAAAATGAGTGGCTACAGAAAAGGAGCGGAAGAAAATTAAGACAGTACTGGCTAGCGTAATGGACAGCTGACTGAGTTAACATAGTTTCCATGATCCTTCTTCCATCTGTCAAGAGAACCTTTTACAGGAAAGCAGTGATAAACAAGTAGGAATGTTGATGTCTACTTGTTCTGCAAGAACTTTTTTTCTTTTAAATCACAAATATCATAGAGTAATGGTAGCCTCACTATGTTTATAAAGATGCTTTAAGAATCAAACCTCGAATTTTGAATGTTCCTCCAAAAGGTTTTCCTCTTTTTTCCTCATGCCAATATGTATCGTAAGTGATGTTTTTAATTCATAGAATTTTACTTACGTGACAGTTAAATACCATTAAGATGGCTATATAGACATTCTAAGCAATAAAACAACTCAGCTCTAGCCTCTAAATGCTTTTCTTCTGCCTTGAAAGCAGGGAGCTTAAGGTTTTCATCAGCAGGTTTAAGCTTTGCAGTCTGAATTTAGTTAATTTTCTTGTGTTTACTATTCAATTTTATAAATTATGCCACTTTGTTAATCAAGCATTGCTAATCTCTGAGTCATGCTTGCTTGTAAGTAATCACAATGTGCCTTGTTGACTTTATAAAATTCCCTTCCCCCCTGCACCTCTCCCCCCAGCTTGTAACTGTGGTCTAGGGATGTGATTTTTCCTCTGCCTTTTAAACTTCTCTAGGTAGATGGAAAATTCCACCAAGCTCTTAGCGCTGTTATACACTTCATATAGGTGCAAATATTTATGTAAGGTTCAAGGTGGGTATAAAAACCCAAACAGGATGCTGGTTTATCTGGAACAAAGTTCATGGGAAGAATGCTAAGTTAGTGTTACTGAGTGGAGTATCCTGTGGTTTATTAGAAACTTGATCCTCATGATGCACTACTTACTAAAGAGTTTGAGAAAGGGACTTTGTAGACCTAGAACAATTTGGCAGTACTACATGTCCATCTTGAACTGAGGAATCCTAAGGATTCTTTTTTTGGCCTCTTTACTGTGAAACATGACTTCTTCAGCTCACCTGGGATAAGTGTGAAACAGCAAACAATGTTTAACCCGTTCAGTTGAGTTCAACTATGGAATTATATAACTTATTTCTTGTTCAACTTTATGTAGCACAAAACTGAATAGCTAATGATACTAACGAGTGATAAACTGTATGTTACTGTTCTGTAGCTGAACAGATTAAAATATATCTTTTAGAGGACTTGAAGCGTAGTCTTTCAAAAGCCATACAATGACACTTAATCTCTTGAATGAAATCTAAGTTTGCATTAAAGTTCTGTTTTTTTTATATTGTGGTGAGAAACACTTTTTAGCATCGTAAGTTTAGAAACATCTGCAAAGCTGATGTTACCAAGAACTGGGGAGTAATGTATCCACTAAAACCTCTTCTTGACAGAAAATCTCCCAGCAGGATCTCAGTAACAGGTGCTAGGCCTGAAGTTGATAGTCCTAAATCTTATATGATGCTGTACAAGAATTGTTTGCTTTGCATATAAACATTTTGAAATTTCAGCCTGAAAAAACCTTCAGGTAGACCTTAATTGCTTTTGTATTTCTGTAACAACTATAAGAAAGGGATGAGAGGTCCAAGATGTTGCTTGTCTGCATTCTATTGCAAGCTTTTGGAAAGCCATTGGAATGTAACAGTATTCCAAGTATTTGGTTCACACCCTTTGTTCCCATGCTTTAAAGCAGTCTACCTGAGGATTAATAATAAACTAACTCTCATATCAGAGCTTAGGAGAAAAAATATTTTAGTGGTAGCAGGTGAGGGATTCTCTGATGGATACTTATGTATTTTCTAAGTATATAAATATCTATTTATAGGAGTTTATGCTAATGTTTTAGACAAGAGTTTCAGAATGTCTAATTGTAAAATCTTTCTAATGGTTTAACAGAAGTAAAATAGAGGGTTCAGCTCCTATTCTAGAGATCTTGACTTAAATTTTTAGAAGGACCTTAGTGGGGTAGCAGTGTAGAGAAAATTATTTCAACTAGTTTCCAGCCTTAACCTTTGATTTTAAGAAGCAGTCATAAATTGCAGACATCGTTTCTGGTCCTTCGGTGGTCAGCAGGGAATGTCAAAAATCTTTATTTTGCATGAGAAGGCTCTGAAAAGTATCTAGTGATGTAGCTTTCATGAGGGATGATAGCCAAAAAGGAAATTATGAAAGAGTACAGTGGTGGACCTGAATCATCTTCCTTTCTCATATAGCTATGACAGGCTTTTTGTCTAGAATTATGTTAACAAAAACACCTCATCTATTGTCAGTAGCTGCATACTATTTATTGCATACTAGCTGTTATGGAGGTGTTCCAAAAACTGAGTTGCTGATGTTAGTTTGGAAATGGTATTTGAGGAGAATTCTCATCAATTTTTTTTCCCAGGGAGGAATGGGAATACATGGCTTCCTATGGATATGTAACTCCAGGCTATTCTTTTTTCAACATCAGTTGTTGTTATTGACCATTATATCTAAAACTCTAAATCAGACATACAGAAATTAAGTCTTTAAAATACTGGTGCCTGCTTTCTCTGTGTGTGTTGCTTAACTTAAAATTGAGCAAGCTGCCCAGTCTGATTGTAGAGAAGTTACCTTAGGTGGAACTGTGCAAATTGCCCAACCCTATGCAAAGAATTGAAGTTGCTAAGGAGAGAAGGAAAAAAAAGACAGTTGCTGGCAGGTCATCCTAAAGGAGGGAACAGCTGAACCTAAACAAATAGCATGGAGAAAGAACAAACCTGAAAAAAAATTTATCCTCATCACAGATCAGACAACTGCTGTGCAACATGTTCCCAAATAAGTTTTAGCAAGTAACGAAAGCATTGTACATGTGCTGGTGAAGGCTTGGTGAAAAATTGAATCTGAAAATTATAGTGAGTCCTAGTTTGCCATTGTAGAAAAATCCCACCTTTGTGTAAACATTAAAATTCACTTCAGTCTTACTTCATGTATTTATTAACTTAATCTGAAGAGGCTCTGAAAAAACATGATCTTCTATCGGGCATTCTTTCAGTGTTAAAGGAATTGCTATTCTGGATAGGTTTAACCCACTCCCATCATGGACTGTGCTAAAGATCTAGATGTCTGGTGTTTTGGGTTGTCTATCTTGGTTATGTTGATACCATGATGCTGGACTTAGTACTGGCTTTGGAATTTCTGTTTAAATCTTCAATTTGAAAGTCTGCA